ACCGCAGGATGCTTCTCATAGATGCAATGCTCACATGGTTAGGATGACCAGTCTTCCTTATGTGCCATCATTGTCGCGGAATTCTTTTTTCATGAACGAAGATAACCAATCGTCGATTGCAGAATTGATATTAATGGCGAGTTTTCGCATGAAAATTCGCGGAAAAACGATATTTATCCATCCATGTATGCAGCTTTCTAGTAGACGAAGAATTTTCAAACTGCCTCTAGAAACGCTGCAATTCTTGAGAGGTTTTATTCAGCATGTTCATCATTGTGAGACACTATAATTAATATAATAATGCAACTAATTAATATAAAAATGCATTGCTTCAATTGTTATTATGCTTTATCTTAAGTATCATATATATGTAATTATTTTTCTATTTTCTAAAATTCGTAAAAATGTGTATGAGTGTGCATATAAGTCATACACAATTTTATTTTATTTACAGATAAGAAATTTAATATTTTAATAACTTCTTTATTTTTATCTAAATATATATATATATATATATATATATATATAATATGTAAATATTTATATAATATTATTTGTATAAATATTTATATATTATTTATATTATTAATTTAATTTTTAAGGTAATTATTTTTAAAGATTTAAACAAATTCTTTGACTTTTATTATTCTGTTGATTTTTATCATGAAATTTGCATATATTTTTATTAGGAAATTTGCACATAAATATTTTTCGGTTTTACCGTTTAATTTGTATATTGAATGTTACATTATTTTATGTTATGTTATATTATTTTACCTTTGCCATAAACATTATTTACAAGTCACTGAACAGTGTAAATGAATTACACCATTCTGCAAAGGCTATACATTAAATATCCACATCCTCGATCTTATGGTCACAGAAAAGCTGTGATCTATACCATTGTTCCAATTTGTCTTCCTTCATGCTTGGCGATTGCTAGTTTCGATCTTGAAAACGGAAAATCATGATCGTCTTGAATGTTATTCAACCAGGTCGATGGCTTACTTTTATTCCTCGAAAAAAAATTGCTATCGTCTATACGCACATATTTCTTCTGTACATCGACTAGTCTTTAGGGTGGTAAGATAAGTGACGTGACAAGTTTATCTACCACGCATCTCTTTGGAACATTCGATAATACACACAATTTTCTACGTATGTAATGTTATTGTGTCAGCAAGATGTTCACGATCAATTGTATGATAATATCAAGTATAACATCTTGTTTTTCACGAGCAAAGTACTTCTTTTTTCTGCGTCTATTATTTTATCGAGTGAAACCAACAAAATGGGGAAAAAATTGAAGTTATATTTGTTTGTAATAAAAGTAATAAAATAGAAGAAGCTGATGTGGACGGACCGAGAGATTTCAATGCTCGAATGAACAGAATTTCCAGTATTTATTTTAAAATAGCGAATAAAATTTTTGATTTCCTTAGCGAATAATGATTGAAAAATTATATTAATAATTTAAAAAAAAAGATGAAAACGTATGTTTAAAAATGTTTTAATATTTTTGCACATATTTTAAATAGTATTAATAATTTTTATATATGATATACATATATATATTTTGAAAATTCTCTCCTTATTAACCTATGTTAATTTCTGAGTGCAATTCGCAAAACCGAGACATACGATGCTGCCGTTTTGAGAACATATATTATCGTTTCGCGATTAACGTAGAAAAATTTTCCCCCGGTAAGACGAAACGGATAGCTTGATCTCATCATCGCAAAGCGCAGATCTTTCATCAACGTGGCAGGAAGCGTGAACCAGGAAGTCATGAACATTGCACGGAATATATCCTCGCTTTCTCTTTGTATAAAGTCACCGCCGGAGCAATACACAAGTGCCTCCATAAACATGAAGTTCAAAACTAGAACACTTTTAGCTAATTCGATATAATCATTATTTTGTAAACTGAATATTATACGTAATCCTGAAATATATAAAAATATTATTTTAAAATTAAAAAATATATATATCTATATATATTACATTTATATTTTATAATTATTATATATAAAATGTTATTATCTTTAAAATATAAAGATATATAAAAACATATGAAAATTGTTTGTAATCGTTAAACGTAATCGTTTAAAGATGTGAATTTCTAAAAATTAATTATAGTCATGTAATATATATACATAAACTTGACACAAAATTTAGTACCCAACAATGCGAGTAAAAGTGTTACTATAACAAGTTGGAATAATATAATCAGATGGAAAGTATCTTCAATATTTTTATTAAGTTCCGCTAATTTGCAGTGCCTGTTGACCAATTTGGACAAATGCTTCCGATTATTTTCCACGTTGTCCGGTTTACTTGCGAAAGTTTTGAATTTCGCTTTAAGAATTTTCAGCTGGCCAGTGATGTGTAACGTAATGTTAATATAAAAACTGTCCGAAACACATTGCATTAAACATAATATGAGTAATTGAAAATTTTGAAATATAATAAGTATCAAGTACTGAGATCCGGTTATTATTTTACTTAAATCGCCAGATGGAATTAAAAACACCCATTCCATTGTACCTATGCACAATAAAAATAATGATATAATTTAATATACAGCTATTTTATATGTAAATTAAAATAGAACATACAAAGATTAGAAAATACAAAATAATATATTAATTAGGCAATATACGACAATAAAAAGACATAATAAATATAATACATAAGTAATATAATAAATGGCTTTAAATTCTGATGTTTTAATTTTATATATTAAAAAATCGAATATACAAAATTTACAAATATTTTTTCGTAAAAATACATACATTTTAATAAAAAATTACGATAATAATTTATATGTATATATAGTATTATTTCTATCCCTTAACATACGAAAAACACTTCAATGTAATAGCATAATAAAATAATATATAATAATGTGAAACAGATTTATTCTTAATAATTCTAGAAAAAAATTTATCGAAACAGTAATAACACGCTTCCTAGGATGAAATATTTTATATAAATTATGGACAAGAAAAAAAGCATATTTATAATTATCATTATTCGTGAGTTAATATCTTGAAAACCACTTTTTTATTTATAATAATAATATTTAACAAATGTGTATACACACGAATATATATATTACCTGATATATATGTGTCTTGAAAAAATCTTTGTTTCACATTTATGAATATGACAGCAAATATATAAAGTGCAGTGCATATGAAACCAGAGTATAGTATCACCGAAGTAAACATTTTGGATTTAAATGCATATTCCTTCATAATCTTATAAGATTCTTCATCATTCTTTGCGGACAACCAATCGCTGATAGCACCATCAATATTTCTGGCAAGCTTTCTTTGATTGGCAATAATGCAGAAATTTTTCAATGTTAAAATCATTGTGCATGCAAAGTATAATATAGTTTCTATGCTTGTACTGGCATCTCGATGATTCCCAGTGAGTTCCATAAATAAGAAGCTGAATATCATCAACTAATAATAATTCCTTAAAATTTCCTTAGGAAGTACAGTTAACGTATACAATAAGTGAGTAGACAAAAACAATAAACTGCATTTATGAAATGTCTTATAATATCTGAATATTCCATAATAGATAATCTCAAATTAACAAAACAAAAGATTTTGTTGAATATTGAAGATTTTGTTTTATTTATCTGATTACAAATGATATAAATATTATATTGTAAATAAATATACATTTTAAAAAATTCAAAAGCTATTCATAAAAATATTTTATAATTCTTTTAGATATGTAAATTCTTGCAAAATTGAGTATTATCATATTTACTTGCCGCAACACATTTATATAATTCTTTTCTTCTGCTGCTAACATACCTTCATAAATATTGCTAAACTTCGTTGCATGATCGTGAACCTCGTCTTCTTTTGCAGCGGCCATATACCGACTATTTTCATGAGGGCTCTATGAGTAGAGAAGACATACGCAATATCATCGTTCCAAAGAACACGCGAAGACATTATAGTAGCTGCATGGACTGAACGGACAATTCACAAAACTACTCTGCCTGATCGTTATAAGTGAAGGTTCGATCTTGCAAATTTTATGTTCAATTTGTGAATATCATCTTTATCATTGGATAATCAACCGCGGGATAAAATGTGTTGCTTCCACGAAGTTCATATTTTATTAGTTTTAAACGACTTCTCAAATGATAATAGGATAAATGTGAAATAGGGATAATGTGTGTCTATACATTGTTGTATTACTATCCATTTTCCCGTAGTCGTAAACGTAGTGGCGTTGCAGTAGAGAGGAGACCGAGCAGTATGGCAACGAATGTGCATCGTAGCAGTGAAAAAATTTGTAAATTGTTGACAGATTAAAACAACTGTGTTAATATAAGAATTGGAAATGTTTGTTTATAGGCAAGTGCGATTTCCGGTGCATTTATTTGGAATACATTTTTGGATTTTATTGAGTGTTATAAATAAAGTGACATCGATGTTGTGCAGAAATCATTAAAATTGGAGTAAATGACAATTATCGATATATTTATATACTAGTAACAAAGTACAGTGATATGTTATAATCACAATCTAACGGTAGTTTTGGTCAAAATAAATTGTTATTTATATAAAAGTATAAGAGAATGGACACGAAAATGAAAATAAAACATTTCTTACAAAAAGGCTGATACAGATTTCATCAGAAATCATTTTATGTGACTGCAACAAAGACATCATGTTTTTTTTAAGTGTACACATAGTTTTGATATTACATGAGAAGAAATTGATGCATTGAGAAAAATAACCGGTGAAAAGGTAACGAACGGATATTATCCGATTATTAACCGATCACTTTAATCGGAAAAAAAGACATTGATCAGATATCCAATCAGAAAATATCAATCGATCGGACATCTGATCAGAAAATTCAAAATTCGAAACTTTCCGATCAGATATCCGATTAAAATAATCAGTTAATAATCGGATAATATCCGTTCATTACCTTTTCATATTATGGTTATTTTTCTTTATATTATGATTATTTTTCTCAGTGTGGTTTGGCACGAATGGATAGTCGCATAATGATTATGATTAGTTGTTTTATTGAAACCAAATTGGAGTAAATTTTTACTACTGTAGACTCCTATATTTTTGAACGTACTTTCCAAACGTCGATTTGTAATTTGTAAGATTTCTTTTCACGAAACGTATTATTTTATATCTCAAGTTTCTACCATTACGCGGAGTACAGATAAGTACGACATGGAGGTTTTCAGGATGCTCATATATGTTGCCAGGTTTACCACGATAAAATTTCCAGCTTGCAGCTTGACGGGAGACTGTGCCCGCATGATGATAAAGATTAAATTTTTCGACAATTTTCCAGGAAGATCGTACCAAACGCTTTGATAAATAAAAAGTCCAACTTCTTCCATTTGAGATTTCAGGTAATCTCCGACAAAACTATACACTGTAAGTTGCGTCAGAAAAGTGCACAATACTGTTAAGCTTTTCCCCATCATGACGATATCGTTCATTTTAAACGCTAAAATAAATTGAAAGCCTGAAACAGAGTATTTGCATTTAATAAATATTTGATATGTGAATCTCTCTCTCTCTCTTTATTACATAATTTTTTATATGTTTTATAAATCTATTATAAAATCTAAATAGTATGAAATATTCACCCATTATACATAACAAGATACTGCTAAGAAATAATTGCATCAATAAAACAAAACTGATGGCATTGGCTAATTCTTTAGCCATGTCTATAAGATAGCTCATTCTTTTAATTAAAGCGTTAAAACGATCGTAGACTTGCGAACTTGAAACATCAAAATCGATGAAACTGGCCTTTAAAATTTTTACTTGACCACAAACGTGTAATGTAATATTCAGAAAGAGAGAATCGTTACCTTAAATTAAAAAAAAATATTGAGAAATGTGCAGATTATATACATACATACATATATATATATATATGTACAGATTATATATATATATATATATATATATATATATATATATACTATCTCATAACTGATAAAAAGAATATGATATTCTCACATATTTTTTTTATATTAGTTTTATAAGAAATAGATTTTTATATAATTTTTATGTGTAAATTTTGATATTTAATTTGGATATTTAATTTTTATATTATTTTTATATTGTTGTTATAATTATAAAATTATATATTTCATTTTATATTAATTATACATGCATCTAATCTCATTTTTTACAAATGAAAAATCTCATTTTTTACTTTTATGAATATATTTTATTGTACATTCTTTTATTGTATATTCCATATTATAAATAATATTTGACCACACAACAAGCAAATAAATCGCATTAAATAAAATAATAGAAAAATATTATTTGTTAATTGTAATTGTAATTATTTAATTTGTTAATTGTAATTATTTAAGAATTTTGATATATATTAAGAATTTTGACATATATTCTCGTAAATAAACGTTATATAATATGAGAAGAGTGGAAGGATAGATAAAGAAAAACAAATAAAGCAATAAACAGATGTTACCGAGATTACAAGTACACGTAAGTATTAGCACGATAAATTCAAAGAGACAGATAATTTTATATAAGCTCTCCGGGACACTGAAATATTCCAATGCGCATCTTGATGGCATCGGATATTCAAGTACAATGTCCTCGTCCGTTACGTTCATCTGGTTGTCTTCGTCATCACCCAGAAGAGGAATTAGCGAATATACCGTCACGCTAAAGTAAGAGAAGCACACCATAAAACAGGATAGAAGCCTTCCCATAAAGGCGTGTCTTCGCATGATGGCACGATGCTCCGTATTTCTAATTGTCAAATAATCATTCCGGGCTGATCCGTAATTGTTAGTTAAATTTTCCGCATAAATGCGGAAACATACTGTTTTCAGCACTCCTAGTATACCGCAGAAGATCAACATGATGCTGTCAATGTTTTGCCCTGCATCGGTACAGCCCATGTGAATCTCCATGGTGGGTAAAGTCACTATTATGCTCTGTTGATATATGCGTAAACGATATATTTTTTTATTGAAAAGCTTTTTTATGTCTAAAAAAATATTCCCCAATTCCAGATTGTTAGATTTTCTCAAATATTAATATTTAATTCTAAATAATAATCTTTTTTTTAACTGCTAATGTTTCTGTGTTTACCATTTATTATAATGTAGAAGAAATTATTAGAATTAGAGATTAAATAAAAAATTAGATAATTATGTTTTAAATTTTAAAGCATATAATTTGAATATAAGTATAAATAAAAAGAGATAAAATGTTACAGTATAAATAATAAAATTTATAGATATAATAAATTCTTTTGCATTAAAATATAAAATTAAATTAGATAATTAGAGGATTTAACTTGAAGAATTAGATTTTAAGAATTACATAATTAATTAAGAAATTGATATTAATAGTGAATATAAATTGATATTAATAAAAATTTGCACATCATTTTGTATTTTTCATCTAATTTATTTTTTATATGATATATTGTCAAAAGAAATATCATATTACGACATTAATCATTAATAAAAGAATCATGAAGTAAAATAATATACACATGCTAGACATGAAGAAAAAATAAAGAATCATTTTTGTTAATTAATTCCCAACAGCTTACGACTATATATATATCCATTTACAACCCATCCGATACGTTGTCATTATTGAAGAAAAAGCATTTGACGATGTGAATGCTCCCGATCCAGAAATTTGAACATTTGACGTTATCATCGCGAGAATAAAATTTTTTGTTTATAGTGTCTTCATGACATCGTAAAAAGTTCTCTATCTATCCCCTAAAATGCAATTATGCGCGATGGAAATCGTTGGAACAATATTCAAAAGATGTGTACCATGCAACAAGTGGCTAAAACGCATCTTATAAGCGAATAAATGTTATAAACTTGAAGAGGCCAGACACCGATGGGCCACGTTAACAATTTGAAGGGAGTCATCGCGTATGCGATATCATCCTTCCATCGTTCGCTTGCCATCGAGTCGAGGTAATGACTATAACTGACGCTAATAATCTAAATATGCTCGATAGAAGGAAGCTATTTTGCTTCATTTTTTATTCAGTCTGAGACGTATACCCATTTATCAGTCTGCCTTTTATGCTCTTAACGCATTACAACAAAATATAGAGTATTATGCTTTTACGTAAAATTGTATTGCTGAAATAAGAACACACATGACTATGCTTTCTAAGTCGTCATTCGATAAAAAACTTTTTCTTTTATTCTGTGAAGTGTTAAAGATAACTATGCATGTTTCGTTCGCACTATGTACGCATCGACTGTATTGTATTTATCATCTCGATTTCTCGATTGTTTCAGCTAAGTAATATTAATTCAATCTGTCCAAAAATGAAAATATGTAGCAAATATGATTGTTTTTCTTTATTCTACAGAAAATCAAAATTAATTAATAATGAATGAATGAATTAATTAATTAATTAATGATAATGGGTAAGTAATTCTACATGTTAAAAAATAATGTTAAATGTTATGTTTAAATATAATAATGCGTTAGTAATTTTAAGAATGCATGCATATTATCGATATATCAGAACAAATTGATTTAACACAAACAAACTACTATGGGTAATTAATTTTTTACCCATAGTACAGAACAACATGATTTAATGCAAACAAATTACTATGGGTAATTAGTTTATTAATGTGGCATTTTAATAAATATTCGAATGAACATTTCTTCGTGTATTCTTATTTTGAAAGCATTTATTTCGTATTATTTCGAACATACCAAATATTTACAGTTTTCATAGATTTCTTTTACATTTCGCATTTTATATTTCACACTTCGAGCATTATACGAAGTACAGACAAATATGAAAAAGAGGTTTTTAAAATACTCACATAAGTTGACAAATTAACTGCGATAAAATTTCCAGCCTGTAACGCGACTGGAGATTTTGTTTGCATAAGAATAAAGATTACGTTTCTTGCTAATTTTTTAGGAAAACTGTACCAAGCACTTTGATAAATAGAGAATCCTATTTCTTCCATTTCAGTTTTCAGATAATTCCCGATAAAACTATACAGCGATAGTTGTGACAAAAAGAGACTCAGTGCTATTAAACTCTTTCCTACCATTGCGATATTTTTGACTTTCAATGCGAAGATAAACTGAAATCCTGAAAAATGAATATTTGATTGCTAAAATTTTTGCATGAATTTATAATTCACATATTTTGCTGAACCACAAGTAAATCATACATAATATTCACCCATTATACATAATAATACACTGATAATAAACAGTTCTATCAGTAATATAAAACTGATTAGATCGGCAAGTTCCTTAACCAGTGCTATCAAGTAACGATGTCTTCGAATTAGCGCATTGAAACGATTATAGATGCATGGACTTGTGACATCAAAGTTGATGAAATGGACTCTCAGAATATTTACTTGACCGCAAACATGCAATATAATATTGAGGAACAATATGTCGTTACCTTTAAAAAATAAAATAATGCACTGACTAATTATTATTGATAAACGAAACATTACTTATTATTCTATCGTGCTTAAATTACAATTTTTTGTAATCAAACAATATGTATCATAAAATCTAGAAAATAATATTGCAAATAATATATAAAATATAATGCATTATGCATTTTACATAAGGTGCAAACGTTCTGAAATTTAAAATTTTTTTAAGCAAATAGTAGAATAAGGCATGTTGAAACTATTATGTATTTTATTTTCACTTACATTATTTATGTTTAATAAAAATAAATTCTGACATCTGATCTAATATATTGAGTTAGGAAAATTAAATGATCTTAGACCATCTTAATTTTAAAAATTTACCATAAAATCACTCAAATTTCCGCGCTTTTGCAATATTGCTTATTGTCAATTAAAAAATGAATAATATTAATAAAATGAATAAAAATCTTTATTTATTTAAAACCTTTTATTTATCTATTTAAAACTCTTCAATAAAAAAAGGTATTATTTTCTGTATAAGTAATACTGGATAAAATAAAAAATACTTATTAAACTTATTAAGTAAATATTACCAAGATTAGTTGTAGTTGATAGTATTATTATAACAGTTTCGACAAGACAGGAGATTTTATGCATGCTCATTGGAAAATTAAAATATTCCAAAGCGCATCTTGATGGTATAGCGTACTCCAATGTCATATCTTCATTTGTTATGTTAATTTGATTATTCATGTCGTAATCCAAAATAGGAACTATCCCATATATTAGACAATTAAAGTAAGAAATGCCAAGCAATGAACAGCAAAGAAACCTTCCTACAAAGGCATGTTTTTTCATAATGTCGCGCTCCTTTGTGTCCTCAATTGTCAGATAATCATTCAGAGCAGAATCGTAATTGGTAATTAAACTATTTGGATAAATGCGGAACCATGTTGTCTTCAGCACACCAAGCAATCCGCAACAGATTATCATCAGACAGTCTATATTCTGCTCTACGTCAGTACAACCCATGTATATCTCCATGGAAGACAAGATCACAACTAAGATCTGTTGATTTCTTCATATATGATATTTACAAAAGAACATGTCTCATTCTTAACTCAATGAATTTTTACGAGTAAATATTCTATTTATTTAACAAACGGCCAATACTATTTTCACATTCTCAATTTTTCTCCCATTCTCGCTTTATTTCTTTTTCTCTTTTTTTCTTTCTCCCTATTTCTCCCATTCTTGCTCTATCTTTTTCAATTTCTTTCTCTTTTTTGCTCTATGAAATACGACATAAAAGAAGTGATTTTTTTTCTAGGACGTTTATAAAGGTAAAATTGTAAATGTTAAATATTATATTTATTATCATATATTTTGCTATTTATATAATTTTATATTAATTTGAATATTGAAATAATGTAAGAATTTATTTTACTATAATAACGTATCTACAACATTATTTTTCTGCTTCAAAATATGAAACACAGAATATAACAAAATTTAATGTTATTCAAAATTTAAGTGATATTTTGTAAATGTTTATTTACTTTATTACACTGGTCAACAAAAAAAATAATTTTAACTTTTTCCTCTTATAATTTTGCAGTTTTGGGTTTATTTAAGTGTGCTGATTTCGAGTACGACAATAGTTTTTTTTAACAGCTCTTGTTTTTTAATATTTTTAGACTACCCCCTTTAGACATCACGTGCAGTTTTTTTGAGTTTTACTCGACTCAAAATTATTATTTTTTAAAATTTTCGATATGTCTTCGACTCGGAGAGTTGTTTACATAATCCAGATATTTTTTGTTATATTTGTGGCGAATACATCTTTTAAAAATATCGAAAACCTATTTCAGAATTAATATCTTATAAATAAAAAAAGTAGAGCTGATATAACTAAACTAGTATTTTTTTCGTAATCAGTGCCTTAGATATAACCTATAATACATGTTAAATGTCAGGAAAAAATTTGAGTGTTAACCAGTGTTATTCATACGTTATGATAGAATCATGAAATAAGTAGAGTATACTTTCCGTAATGTTTCTTCAAAAATATTGTATCAATTTTACACATGATTAAGAAAAAATATACAAAAAGTACACATAAAGCTTAAAAGAGAAATTTTTTATTTTTAAAAATTATCAAGGCTTTAATAAAATCCTACTAATTTACAATTTTTCTAATATGAGACACACACATAGCTAATAAAAATATTTCATCTTATACATTACCAAGAATTGAATATATAAAATTTTTACGCCGAAGTTTTATTCAAAGCGTTGCAATAGAAAATTTTGATGTAGAAAATTCTTTGTTGCCTTCTCGAACGATCGCAAAAGTTTCAATGATCTTTAAATTTAAAAGATACTTACCGCACAACAAGTGCCAAAGCCACAACGCAACAGCGAATAAATATCATAAACTTGAAGTGGCCATACGCCAATAGGCCATGTAATCAATTTCAAAGGGGTCATCGCGTATGCGATATCGTCTTTCCATCGATTATTTGTCATTGCCGATATAATGACTTTAACTGATGTCAATAGCCAATGATCCATTTGTTATATCGTCATAATATGAGCAGATGTATGTTCCCACTCATTTATTATTTAACATGAAAAGCATGCATGCTTATCAGTCTGCCTTTTTTTCAACAAACATTATGCAAATAACGACACTCTTACATAAAATTGTTGTCGAGTAAAAATTTATATGATACAATTTCTAAATTGTTACCACCGAGCAAATTTTTTTTTTGCTGAGGATCATGTGCCTTTAGCTTACCTGTACACGCACATTGCTTGCACAGTACTTTATTTCGATATTGGTTTGGCCAACAATAAGTAGAATAAATTCAATTTGTTCAAAGATAAAAATGTTAGCTAATAAGTATTGGTTTTATTATTTAATATAGCAATAAAACTAAAAACTTATAGAAAATTACGCGACAGGTAACATTACATGTCTGAAAATATCTATTTACAATCAATATAATAGTATATGAATAGTAATTTTAATATGTTTATATTATTTATAGGGAAAATTAGTTTGGAACAAACAGATTAATTTATGTGACATTGGTTTATTAATGTGGCATTTCAATAAACATGTTTTAATGTATTTCTATTTAATTTCTATTTATTTAAAATTATTACTTTGTACTATTTCGAAAGTATAATATATTTGCACTTTCCAGATGTCTTTTAAATATTCTTTATTTTACTCTTCGAGCATTATGCGGAGTACAGACAAATACGAAAATGAGGTTTTTAAAATGCTCACATAAGTTGATAGATTGACTACGACGAAATTTCCTGCCTGCAACGCGACTGGAGATTTTGTCTGCATAAGAATAAAGATTATGTTTCTTGCTAATTTTGTAGGAAAACTGTACCATGCACTTTGATAAATAGAGAGTCCTATCTCCTCCATTTCAGTTTTCAGGTAATTCCCGATAAAACTATATAACGAGAGTTGTATCAGGAAGGCACTCAGTGCCATTAAACTCTTTCCTACCATAACCATATCATTAACCTTCAACATGATGATGATCTGAAATCCTGAAAATAATATGTTGATTGAAATGAAAATTTTTCTTTTTAAATATATAATTTACATATTTCGCTGAACTTTATAAGTATCATGATATTTACCCATTATACATAATAATATGCTGATGAGGAATAGTTCTATTAGCAATACAAAACTCATCAGATCGGAAAGTTCTCTGGCCAGCCTTATCAGTTCTTGATGTCTTTGAATTAACGCACTGAAACGATCGAATATTCGCGGACTTGTAACATCGAAGTTGATGAAATGGCTCCTCAAAATGTTTACTTGACCGCAAACATGCAATGTAATGGTGAGAAACAATACGTCGTTACCTTTAGAAAATGCATCGATGCACCGAATTGTCGTATTACAATAAAATACACATTTGTACTTATTATATATTCTATTGTAATTAAATATATAATTAAAAGATATGTATCGCAAAATAATTAACACAAAGAATATTCCTTTTATGTTATATATATATATATATATATATATATACATATATATATATATATATATATATATATATATATATAATATTTAACATAAGGTGTCCCACCGAAAATATACAAACAGATCTTGTTAAATTGAATTAAAAAGTCCTATACCGATTTGTAAACAAGCATATAAAAAAAATTTTGAGATATTAACTAGATTAGAAGATCAATTAATGAATGCACGGTCCGCGTGGCTAGAGCATAAGATGTACGCTCTAGACGATGAGTGCATGGCAAAAAATAAAAGTCGAAGTACCTTTTTTACTATGTTATTATATGACAAAAATTACTCCGCTTTTTGTCTTTTTGTTGCCATGCAACGAAAGCCGCTGGTACGCCTACAGCGTACATTTTACGCGGATAATGCGCTCATTGGTCGATCTTCTTTAATTAATATCTCGAAATTTTATGTGGTTGTTTAAAAAATGGGATAGGACTTTTTAATTTAGTTTAATGAGATTTACTTGTATATTTTTGTCGGTACATCTTACATCAGACATCCTGTATATATATATATATATATATATATATATATATATATATATATCATAATTCTTTGCATAAGGTGCAAAAGTTTTTTTAAAAATTTAAATTTTTTTTAAACGTTGTAACGAAATTTGTTAAGTCATGTGTAATTATTTTCATAAGTAATTATTTCCATTTCTATCATTTAATTTTGTTTAATAAACAAAATTTTTTCATTTATTTTAATATACCTGATCGAAAAGATTAGTTGATTTTAATGCATGATCTTGAATTATCTTAATGGAATAAATTGCCATGAAACTTCTGCGCCTTTGCAATATTTTCTATAATCGATGATAGTTAATATAATATAAATAAGATTAATAAAAATCTTTATATATATAAAATAATCCAGATAGTACAAAAAACATTCTCATGAGCATCCAGAATGTATCCAAGATGATTTAAAATATTTATGTAAAACGTTTTAAGATAGCATTATAAATTTACAAATTTATTTTATTAAAATTTAATATATGTGATTATTATCTCTTTTATATAAGTTATTTAATATAATGCCTTACAAATGTTTATTGAATAATTATTGGATGTCTCTAAGATATCAGTCCTATCGATTATTTTGCATATTCTATGAATTTCCAAAAGATATCTATGTGCTATCTAGGAAACTTTTCATTAAAATATTCTTATTTCTTAATAATACTTTAAATAAGATATAAAATATTCATAAAAAATAGATAAATATTAATTACATATTACCAATATTAGCTGTAGCCCCCGTCAGCATTACAACAATTTCGAGTAGACAGGAGATTTTAAACATACTCGCTGGAAAATGAAAAAATTCCAGAGCGCATTTTGATGGCATAGCATAATCTAGTGCTATACTTTCGTTTGTTATATTAATCTGATTATCATAAACTAAAATGGGAGCTATTCCAGCTACTAGATTAGGTAAATAAGCAAGACTCATTAAGCAAGAGCAAAGAATCCTTCCCATAAAAGCATGTTTTCGCATAATCTTGCGCTCGTTTGTGTCGTCAATCGTTAGATAATCATTTAAAGCAGAGTTGTAATTGACAATTAAACTATTTGCATAAATGCGGAACCATATCAACTTTAGTACACCGAGCAATCCGCAACAGATTACCATCAGACAATCTATGCTTTGCGTTACGTCAGTGCAGCCCATACATATCTCCATAGCCGGCAAGATCACAACTAGGCTCTGTTGATACATTTCCCCACATATAATATTTCGTGCTCAGTAAAAATATATTTCACTCCTAACTCAATAAATTTTTATTAATAAATATTTTATTAAGATGCTACTTTCTCACTCTCATGCTTCTTTTTTTTCAATTTCTCTCAATTTTTCTCTTTTTTTTTAATTCTATAAAAGACGGTATAAAAAAATGTTTCTTTTAAGATTAATTTATAAATGCAAAATGTTACATATGTCAATATATATACATTAATATGGGTCTACCAAAAGTGTGGAAACCCCTAAATATCTCGGAAAATATACGTTTTACAGAAAAGTGTTTCCAACAAAAGTTGTAGGGTTTAAGAAGATCTATATACTGATTCTATCAGTTTGACCTTGGATGGCGTCGTCAAGGTCAGGTCAAGGTCACATTGACTTTTTTAAATGACACCCCCTACATTTGATTGCATATTCTTATAGCTTAATTCAAGAGCTTTCCAAAACACTATAATAATGTTTATTTTTATTAAGTACTTTGCGAGTTATGAGGGTTGAAATAATTTCTTAATTTTACATAAACCATAAAATATCTAGTAAACCATTCATTTTTCGATTATCTTACCTTCATACTTTTATGTACAAATAATGAAAGGAATCAATTGGTGTAAAGAAAACATACAGTTGTTTTTAAGAAAAAATATGGAATTGTAATTGCAAATTACATATTTTTTCTTAAAAACAACTGTATGTTTTCTTTACACCAATTGATTCCTTCATTAATTTGTACATAAAAGTATGAAGGTAAGATAATCGAAAAATGAATGGTTTACTAGATATTTTATGGTTTATGTAAAATTAAGAAATTATTTCAACCCTCATAACTCGCAAAGTACTTAATAAAAATGAACATTATTATAGTGTTTTGGAAAGCTCTTGAATTAAGCTATAAGAATATGCAATCAAATGTAGGGGGTGTCATTTAAAAAAGTCAATGTGACCTTGACCTGACCTTGACGACGCCATCCAAGGTCAAACTGATAGAATCAGTATATAGATCTTCTTAAACCCTACAACTTTTGTTGGAAACACTTTTCTGTAAAACGTATATTTTCCGAGATATTTAGGGGTTTCCACACTTTTGGTAGACCCTGTATATTATTAAAATAATGTTTGTGTAACGAAACTTATGACACTTTTCGTTTTCAATTTTAGTTATTCTTCAATTTTCTGTCTCACGTAGATATGTTTGCACGCATAGAAGCAAAACGATTTTGACCCTCAAGTTTATATCGCGCATATATACTTATTCGCTTTAGTATGCTTTAAAAAACAAAATCATATGTGGATGTGTGCATATGTGTGAAATTATAAAAGTTTCACAGAATAGTGTAAAAGAGAAAAATAATAAAGTAATTAAAGATAAAAAATATTGTAGAATAGTGCAGCAAAAAAAGAAAAATAATTTCTTCTAATTTATATATAATTATATGTTGTATAATAATTATGTACACTTATATAGAGGATGTCACAATTTCCAATACTTTAATAACAAATTTTACAGATAAAATAGAGTCAAAAATTCTAATACGAAAATGTTGATGCTGCAATAATTTTTGATTTATAAGCGATGAAAGCTTGACAATAATGCCACGTAGAATTCGCGCGCTCAGGTCTGTAACTACTTTTATGCTTACCGATCTGGGTCATCTGTTATTGATTTTTTTATGTCAGGTGATATTGATTTTTACTGCACAGCTGATTTTATTTTGTCGATTCATATGCATTTATTATGTACGCCATACGTTATAATTAATTAATATTAACAAATTATAAATAATACATAGAAAACATTTAATTCTTTTTTAAATAAAAATTTAAATAAATGTTTAATTATTACATTTAAACAAAACTATAAAACCTAATATTTTCGCACATTTGAAAAATGACATTCTTTTTAATCAAAAAAATATTTGTAGAAATTAAACTATTATCATTATAAATAAAAAATAAAATTACGTGTGTAAACATCAATATTATCTGACATGAAAAATCAATAAAATGACAAATCGGTAAGGTGTAAATGTAGATACGGACCTTAGGCGTGATTTCTACGCGATATCTGGTAAACTTTAATCGCTTTTAACTCAAAAACTACTTTAGTCTCATCATTTTTATATTATAGAATTGTTGACTATTTTATTTCTAGAATACACTATTAAAGTATATTGCATGGAAGTGAGATACCTTGTATAATTACGTATGTATATAATCTTTTTCTGTTCAGTCATTATTATAATTACGCAAACAAATATATAAATTTCTCTGTAACTATATAATTATACGCGGAAAAAGATTATCATATCCACAATTACATTTAAACATATATAATTATTCCATAATATATCATTGTATGTATAATCATGTGTAATTAAATAATATTCTGCGCAGCAATAATTACGATTACGCAGCCAAATAAATTTCTATGTAACCATAATTATAGGCATGCAGAATTTTATTTAATTATACAATAACATATATGTAGGTACATTATACATACATTCATACAAAAATTAAATTTATCTTAAAAAACTAAAGATTTCTTTTAACAAAAATGAAATGCCTTTAATATCATGAGAAGAAGATTATATATAATATTTCTATAAAAAAATGTAAAATGGACTTTATAATAAATATTCTTTAAAATTACAAATCCTCATAAATTGAATAACTTCTATGTATTTAGATAGTTATAATAATATTTATTTTATATTTAGTTTTATTTTATTATTTTTAGACAATACTTTTTAGAAGAAAATTATTTTTAATTTTTATTATTTTCCATAATTTAGAAGTAAATACTTTTTAAAAATTTTTATAACACATCAAAAAGATTTAATAATATATAAATATTATATAAAAATATTATATAAAAAATATTATATAAAAAAATTTAATAATATTCAGAATCTAACAATAAATAATTATTTTATAATTATTTTGTTTTATATACTATCGTTATGATCATGAAATCATAAAATAGAATCATGGAATAAGTAATGTAGTAACAAGAAAAGAATGATTTTTATGACATTTTGTGATAAGGATCATATAATATTTTTAGATTTAGATTTAAGTAAAAGTAGTTACAGTTTAAGAAAAAATACACACAAATCACGAAACTTAAAAAAAATACACACGAATCACAAAACATAAAAAAATACTTTTTACTGTTAAAATTTTTTAACGCGACTTACAATTTACTCATTTAAAGTGTTACTACAACTGACAAAAGTGTTCCATCATATGGGTTATTCAAAATTCAAAATATAAAATCTTGATATGCTTATCATTATACCGAAGTTTTTTCCAGAAAGATGCAATATCAACTTAGATAATATTCCGTGTTGTCTCCGAGTGATCGCGACTATGTCAATAATCTTCTAGTTCTATCTAGAGAAAGATACTCACCGCGAAACAAGTGCTAACAATACAACGTAACAAGGAATATATGTTATAAACTTGAAGTGGCCATACGCCAATAGGCCATGTAAACAATTTAACAGGCGTCATTGCGTATGCAATATCCTCCTTCCATTGTTCAATTGCCATTGTGGAGATAATGGTTTTAACTGATGGCCATAACCGGATGATCGGCTTGCTATATTGTCACAACGCAGACATTCCAGCTCATTTATTATTCAATGTGCAATTTAGTATTCAACGTGAAGTATATGCTTGTCAGGCTGTCTCTTTTAAAACATTATAGCTAAATGATAAAACTACGCTTTTACGTAAAATTGTTGTCGAGTAAAAATTTATCCATTGCAATTTCTAAATTCTTACCGTCGAAAATATTTCTTTTGCTCTTTTATTCCTTTGCTCTTTTATTTACTCTTCTTTTTGAAGAGGGATCATGTACGTTTGACTTACTTGCATATGCGCACATTGTAATATTTTATTTCAATACTAGTTTGGCCGTGACAGAAGGAAAAGGATAAATTCAATTTGTTCAAGGATAAAAATGTGAGCAAATAAGTAATGCTTTTATTATTCTATATATCAATAAAATTAATTGATGAAAAATTACGGGACACAAATAATTTTACATGTACGAAAATATCTGTATACAAAATCAATATAACAATGTATGAAAAATTACTATGTATATAATTTACTATGTATGTGTGTATATTATTGATATTGTATAGAAAAAATTGATTTGAAACAAATAGATTAATGTGAGTGATAAATATATTGTCGTGGCATTTCAGTAAATTTTTCTGTCGCATTTCTATTTTAAAATCATTATATCGTATTTCGAAAGTATAAGATTTGCAGTTACTAATAATTTCTTTTAATTATATCTTATATTTCACTCTTCGAGCATTATACGGAGGACAGACAAATACGAAAATGAGGTTTTTAAAATGCTCACATAAGTTGACAGATTAACTACGATGAAATTTCCAGCCTGCAACGCGACTGGAGATTTTGTTTGCATAAGAATAAAGTTTACGTTTCTCTGCAAATTCGTAGGAAAGCTGTACCATGCACTTTGATAAATAGAGAGTCCTACGTCCTCCATTTCAGATTTCAAATAATTCCCGATAAAACTATGTAATGAGAGTTGTATCATGAAGGCACTAATTATTATTAAACTCTGTCCTATCATAACGATATCATTGTTTTTCAACATTATAATGATCTGAAATCCTGAAAATAATATCCGTTGAAACATAAATTTTTCTTTATAAATACATAATTTACATATTTCGCTGAATATTTATAAGTATCATGATATTTACCCATTATACATAATAATATGCTGATGAAAAATAGTTCTATTAGCAATACAAAATTCATCAGATCAGAAAGTTCTCTGGCCAGCGTTATCAGTTCTTGATGTCTTTGAATTAACGCGTTGAAACGATCGCATATTCGTGGACTTGTAACATCAAAGTTGATGAAATTGAGCCTCAAAATGTTCACTTGACCGCAAACATGTAATGTAATGTTGACAAACAATAAGTCGTTACCTTTGGGAAATGCATTGATGCCAAATTGTCTTATTGCATTGAAATATACATTTGTACTTATTATTCTATTGCAATTAAACATATAATTAAAAAATATGTATCACAAAAAATAACACAAATAATATTTCTCTTATGTTATATACACATATAGGATGTTTGATAAAGATTAGACTAACGCTCTTGAGCAGATCGAATACAGTAAACTGAATAGGAAAGTCTTTATCAATTTTTACAATAATTGTAAAATATTAATTAAAAAGGGTTTGCAAATAAGCGCGCGTTTTATACAGCTAGATTATGAGATATGTGCTCTATAGTTCTAGGCGTGTCAATAACGAAAGTCATACAGCGACGAAAATACAAAAGTCGAAGAAGATACGATCTAAAATTTTCTTGTCATGTGCCACTCATCGCTAACATATCTATCAGCGATTCGCCATTGATACGCTCATGGTATATCTCTGGCCTAGCCATGTGGATCGCGCACTCATCGATCTTCTTTAATTAATATCTCGAAATTTTATGTGGTTATTTGCAAAATGGTATAAGATTTTTTCGTTCATACAGTATATATATATATATATATATTTTTTTTTTTTTTTAAATATAATTCTTCACGTAAGGCGCAAAAGTTTTTTAAAAATTTTAAATTTTTTTTTAAATTCAGTAAACCATTATGTCATATATGATTATTTTTATCTTTATTTCTCAACAAAAAAATTCTTCCATTTAATTTAATATACCTGATCAGAGAATTTGGTTGATTTTAATATATATATTGATTTTAATATATCTTAAATTATATCAATGGACAAATTGCTATGAAGGGACAAAATCAAGGGACAAATTGCTATGAAACCACACGAACTTTGGTGCCTTCGCAATATTTTCTATAATAGGTAAAATAGTTAATATAATATAAATAAGATTAATAAAAATCTTTATATATATATATATATACATATATATATATATATAAAATAACCCAGATAGCACAAAAAATATTCTCATGGACATCCTGAATGTATCCAAAATAATTCAAGATGATTTGTGTAAAATGTTTTAAGATAGTATTACAAATTTATTTTATTAAAATTTAATATATGTGATTATCTTTTTTTAAGTTATTTAATATAATTCAGAAATCTCTTACGTATATATATATATATATATATATATATATATATTATATCTATACGTAAGATATTTCTAAATTATGACATACGTCAACCTCTAATGCACGAATCAGAAGTTGACTATATCGCAGGGCCGAAAATGAAATGGCGGACGTCGCCCGCGATATTTCAAGTCGGAAAATCTTGTATAATATGTAAAATATTTACATTAAATCATACATTGTTATATTTGTTTCAAACAGCGTTACAATTTTTGTTATATCAAAATATCTACATTATTATAAAAAAATTATGCATATCTCTCCGTTCTTCAATACAGATAAATTTTGTAATCAATCACTATACTTACAATAAAGTTCAGTCAGTTCAAGCCATTTAATTTCGTATATATTTGTTACGGTCTATCTCTTTTAGTTTAAAAGATAAAAGGGGGTGGCCACTTCTAGGTGGGACACGCTGTATATATATATATATATATATATATATATATATATATATATATATATTGTCCTTAAAGTGACATATTCCGGACTCAATTCTGAGATTTTCCCTTCGCAAAATTTTGTCCAAAGTTTAGTTTTTGAATTATGAAAGGAAATAATTAACTTATTACGGGCTCAGTTTAACGGTAAATCGCGGCTGCCTCTTGCTCGACCCGTAATAAGTTAACTATTTTCTTTTATAATTCAGAAACTAAGTTTTGGACAAAATTTTGCAAAAGGAAAAGTTATCTCAGAATTGAGTCAGGAATATTTTATTTTAAAGACAATAGGTTATTTTGAATCACCCTACATGTATATATATATATATATATATATATATATATATATATATATATATAAAGTATAATACCTCATAAATGTTTACTGGATAATTATTGGATATCAGTAAAATATCTGCCTTGTTTATATTACGTATTATTATGTATTATATTGGATGACTTACGGATTTCCAGAGATATCTATGGCTATCTAGGAAATTTTTTATTAAAAAATTCTTATTTGTTATAATATTGGATAAAATATGAAATATTCATAAAAAATGGGCAAATATTAACTACATATTACCAAGATTAGTTGTAGAGCCAAGCATCAATGCAGCAGTTTCAACCAGACTGACAATTTTAAACATACTCGTTGGAAAATTAAGATATTCCAGAGCGCATCTTGATGGTATAACGTAATCTAGTATTATACTTTCATTTGTTATGTTAATCCGATTACTGTCATAAGCTAAAATTTTACTTATTCCAGCTAATAGATTACTAGAGTAAGCAATGGTCATTAAAGAAGTGCAAAGAATTCTTCCTATAAAAGCATGTTTTCGCATAATTTTGCGCTCTTTTATGTTGTCAATTGTTAGATAATCATTTAAGGCAGAACTGTAATTCATAATTAAACTATTTGCATATATGCGGAACCATGTCGCCTTCAGCACACCAAGCGATCCGCAACAGATTGTCATCAGACACTCTATGCTTTGCATTACGTCAGTACAGCCCATACATATCTCCATAGCCGGCAAAATCACAATTAGGCTCTGTTGATACATTTCCCCACATATAATGTTTGGTGCTCAATAAAAATATATTTCACTACTAACTCAATAAATTTTTACTAATAAATATGCTATTAATCGTAAGATGTGAATGCTACTTTCTCATTCTCACGCTTCTTTCCGCTCAATTTTTATCAATTTTTTTCTTTCTCTTTTATTCTATAAAAGATGGTATAAAAAAACATTTTTTTCTTTAAGATTAATGTAAAGTCTTATACGTATATCAATATTTTTGTATATATTTACTATATACATATTTTATTGTATACAATTTTATGTCAATCTTTAGATATAAAAATAATACAAAAATGTATATTATTAAAATATTATATGGGTAACAAAATTTATGTAAATAAAAAAATTTCTCTTCTTCAACATATAAAATACGCGAAAAAATGTAACAATATTTAAAATCAAAGTGACATTATATAACTATTTTGTTTTACATATAATCGTTATGATGGAATCATGAAATAAATAATATGTAGCTTTTTATAATATTTCGTAGAAGGATCGTATGATTTTTATACATGTTTAAGAAAAAATAGACATAAATCATAAAACTTAAAATAAATATTCTTACTGTTATAATTTTTTAACGACTTACAATTATGCTGATTTACAACACATCTAAAGTGTTTCTACAGTTCATAAAAAACCGTTTCATACTATATGCGTTATCCAAAATACAAAATATAAAATCTTGCTATGCTCATCGTTACACCGAAGTTTTCTCCAATCAATTACAATATCGTAGGTAATATTCCGTGTCGTCTTCGAACGGTCGCAAATATGTCAATGATCTTTGACTTCGGAAAGATACTTACCGTCCAACAAGTGCCTAAGACACAACGTAACAGCGAATAAATGTCATAAACTTGAAGTGGCCATACACCAACAGGCCATGCAATCAATTTACAAGGGGTCATCGCGTATGCGATATCATTCTTATATTGTTCACTTGTCATTGTGGAGATAATGGCTTTAACTGATGGCTATAACTGGTGATCGGGTTGCTATATTGTCACAACGCAAGTATTCCAGCTCATTTATTATTCAATGTGCAATTTAGTACGTGAAGTATATGCTTGTCAGGTTGCCTCTTTTAAAACATTATATCTAAATGATAAAACTACGCTTTTACGTAAAATTGTTGTCGAGTAAAAGTTTATCTATTGCAATTTCTAAATTTTTACTGTCGAAAATATTTCTTTTGCTAAGAGGGATCATGTGCGTTTGACCTGCATATGCGCATATTGTAATAGTCTATCTCGATACTAGTACTGGAAGCCTGCCCCGGCCCTATATTAGGTCCATCCGCCACTGCTATTTGGTACAGTGGAAATTTTAATATATTCTAGAGGGATCTTGGGGGATGTGATCACTCTACGGCGTCGTGCTCGTCAGTACCGTTTTCACACGAAAGGCCAGTCGGAAGCCAGCATGTACGCGAATACTTCCACCGGCACTTATTTGATCAGCGAGCGACCTTTCAGGGATCCTCCGTGGCAATCGGCATTGCATCCATTGAGTGAGATACCAATATCAGTTTGGAGTCGCATATCACTGTGTTAAAAAGCATTAGGTGTGAGGTCTGGATAGCTCAATAGTTTAGAGCAGTTGCCCGGAAAGCGAAAGACTCGGATTCGATTCCCGATCCAGCCACTTGCGCCTCACATATTTTTCTAGTCTGCGAATATTGTCTTCTAGCAATTATTCGTTAGGCTGAAAAAATGTGTGAATGCTCTCTCCATAGGATATGCATCAATGCCATTATCATGGATGGATTTTGTCGCTCGTTGACCAAATGAACGTAAAGACACGTCCGACCTCCTCCCACATACATCCCTATCTTTCTCTTCTTTGGCCGTGACAGAAGGAAAAAAATAAATTCAATTTGTTCAAGGATAAAAATGTGAGCAAATAGGTAATGCTTTTATTATTCTATATATCAATAAAATTAATTGAAAAATTACGCGACACAAATAACTTTACATGTCCATGAAAATATCTGTATACAAAATCAATATAACAATGTATGAAAAATTACTATGTATATAATTTATGATGTATGTGTGTATATTATTGATATTGTATAGAAAAAATTGATTTGGAACAAATGGATTAATGTGAGTGATAAATATATTGTCGTGGCATTTCAGTAAATTTTTTGTCGCATTTCTATTTTAAAATCATTATATCATATTTCGAAAGTATAAGATTTGCAGTTACCAATAACTTCTTTTAATTATATCTTATATTTCACTCTTCGAGCATTATACGGAGAACAGACAAATACGAAAATGAGGTTTTTAAAATGCTTACATAAGTTGACAGATTAACTACGATGAAATTTCCAGCCTGCAACGCGACTGGAGATTTTGTTTGCATAACAATAAAGTTTACGTTTCTCTGCAATTTTGTAGGAAAGCTGTACCATGCACTTTGATAAATAGAGAGTCCTATCTCCTCCATTTCAGATTTCAGGTAATTCCCGATAAAACTATATAATGTTAGTTGTATCAGAAAGGCACTCAGTGTCATTAAACTCTTCCCTATCATAATGATGTCATTGTCTTTCAACATTATAATGATCTGAAATCCTGCAAATAATATTTGTTGATTGAACATAAATCTTTCTTTATAAATATATAATTTACATAAATTTTTACTGAACAATCATAAGTGTATGTTTACCCATTATACATAATAATATGCTGATGATGAATAGTTCTATTAGCAATACAAAACTCATCAGATCGGAAAGTTCTCTGGCCAGCGTTATCAGTTCTTGATGTCTTTGAATTAAGGCGTTGAAACGATCGCATATTCGCGGACTTGTAACATCGAAGTTGATGAAATTGAGCCTCAGAATGTTCACTTGACCACAAACATGTAATGTAATGTTGAGAAACAATGCGTCGTTACCTTTGGGAAATGCATTGATGCGCCGAATTGTCTTATCGTATTGAAATATACATTTGTACTTATTATTCTATTGTAATTAAACATATAATTAAAAGATATGTCACAAAAAATAACACAAATAATATTTTTTTTATATTATATACATATATACATATATAGGATGTTTGATAAAGATTGGACCAACGCTCTTGAGCGGATAAAGCGCAGTAAACTAAACAGAAAAATCTTTACCAATTTTTACAATAATTGTTAAAATATTAATTAAAAAGGGTTTGCAAATAAGCATGCGTTTTATACAGTTAGACTATGGGATATGTGCTCTATATAGTTGTAAGCGTATCAATAGTGAAAGTCGTACGGCAGCAAAACACAAAAGTCGAAGAAGGTACGATCCAAACTTTTCGTTGTCATGTGCCACTCATCGCTGACATATCTATCAGCGATTCGCCATTGATGCGCCTAGAGCATACATCTTATGGTCTAGCCACATGGATCGCGCACTCATTGATCGATCTTCTTTAATATTTCGAAATTTTATTACAAATTAAATTATGTGGTTGTTTGCAAAATATAAGACTTTTTCGTTCAGTTTAACGAGATCTACTTGCATATTTTCAATGAGACACCTTACGTCAAACATTCTGTATATATATGTTTTTATACATCATTCTTTGCGTAAGGCGCGAAAGTTTTTTAAAAAAGTTTTTTTTAAAATTCAATAATTCATTATGTCATATATAATTATTTTTATCTTTATCTTTTAATAAAGAAATTCTTCCATTTAATTTAATATACCCTTTAATATATCTCTTTTAATAAAGAAATTCTTCCATTTAATTTAATATACCTGATCAGGTAATTTGGTTGATTTTAATATATCTTAAATTATATATATATATATATATATATATATATATATATATATATCTCAATGGGACAAATTGAACTATGTGATTATGAAACCAAACAAGAACTTCCGCGCCTTTGCAATATTTTCTATAATAGATGAAATAGTTAATATAATATAAATAAGATTAATAAAAATCTTTATACATATAAAATAACCCAGATAGCACAAAAAACATTCTCCTGAATGTATCCAAAATAATTCAAGATGATTTGCGTAAAATGTTTTAAGATAGTACTACAAATTTATTTTATTAAAATTTAATATGTGATTATTATTTTTTTTTAAGTTATTTAATATAATTCAGAAATCTCTTACGTATATGTATTGTAGAGGTTTTGATGGAGAAAAGATGATTTAATATATAATAATACAAAATTATAGATTTATTATTATAATTTCCCTACAGATAGAAATATATCGGAGTAGGCTAGCGAGGGTGAAGGGCGGGGGGAGTTAAATGGGGACATAAGATGTTGCTATTTGTTTGACCTTGAAGAGTCACCTGAAGATCACCTTTAACTTTTTAAATGGGACATCCTATATACTTTTGCATATTCTTGTAGCTTGCCTCAAGAGCTTTCCAAAACATTATAATAAAGTATTTTATTTAAAGTAGTTATTTTAATATAAAATTAAGAAATGATTTCAAGCCTCATAACTCGGAAAGTACTCAATGAAAAAATACTTTATTATAGTGTTTTGGAAAGCTCTTGAGACAAGCTACAAGAATATGTAAAAGTATGTAAAGTATCCTATTTAAAAAGTTGGAGGTGACCTTCATCTGATCTTCAGGTGACTCTTCAAGGTCAAACTAATCATGCACCATCTTATGTCCCCCTTCAAGCCATATAACTTTTGTCTGAAATATATATATTCATATATATATATATATATATATATATATATATATATAATAAAATATAAATGTCTCATAAATGTTTATTAGATAGTTATTGGATACCAGTAAAATATCTGCCTTGTCTATTATATTGGATGACCTATGGATTTCCAAAGATCTATGACTATCTGAGAAATTTTATGTTAAAACACACAACACAAACAACACACACAACACACACACACATTCTTGTTTGTTATAATATTAGATAAAATATGATATATTCATAAAAAATACATAAATATTAACTATATATTACCAAGATTAGTTGTAGACGCAAATATCATTGCAACAGTTTCAAGCAGACAGAAGATTTTAAACATATTCGTTGGAAAATTAAAATATTCCAGAGCGCATCTTGATGGCATAGCGTACTCTAGTGTCATACTTTCATTTATTATGTTAATCTGATTACTATCATAATCTAAAATAGGAACTATTCCAGATATTAGATTACTAAAGTAAGCAATGCTCATTAAAGAAGAGCAAAGAATCCTTCCTATAAAAGCATGTTTTCGCATAATTTTGCGCTCTTTTATGTTGTCAATTGTTAGATAATCATTTAAGGCAGAACTGTAATTGATAATTAAACTATTTGCATATATGCGGAACCATGTCGTCTTCAGCACACCAAGCAATCCGCAACAGATTATCATCAGACACTCTATGCTTTGCGTTACGTCAGTACAGCCCATACATATCTCCATAGACGGCAAAATCACAACTAGGCTCTGTTGATATATTTCCCCACATATAATGTTTGGTGCTCAATAAAAATATATTTCACTACTAACTCAATAAATTTTTACTAATAAATATGCTATAATCATAAAATGTGAATGCTACTTTTTCATTCTCACGCTTCTTTCCGCTTAATTTTTATCAATTTTTTCTTTCTCTTTCATTCTATAAAAGACGGTAATAAACGATAAAAAAACGTTTTTTTCTTTAAGATTAATGTAAAGTCTTATACATATATCAATATATTTGTATATATTTACTATTTATATATTTTTTGTATACAATTTTATGTCAATCTTGAGATATAAAAATAATACAAAAATATATATTATTAAAATAATATATGGGTAACAAAATTTATGTAAATAAAAAATTTCTCTTCTTCAACATATAAAATACGCGAAAAAATATAACAATATTCAAAATCAAAGTGACATTATATAACTATTTTGTTTTATATGTGTTCGTTATGATGAAATCATGAAATAAATAATATGTAGCTTTTTATAATATTTCGTAGAAGGATCGTATGATTTTTATACATGTTTAAGAAAAAATAGACATAAATCTTAAAACAAATATTCTTATTGTTATAATTTTTTAATGACTTACAATTATGCTGATTTACAACACATCTAAAGTGCTTTTAAAATTCATAACCGTTTCATACCATTCATTATCCAAAATTCAAAATATAAAATCTTGCATGCTCATCGTTACACCGAAGTTTTCTCCAATCAATTGCAATATCGTAGGTAATATTCCGTGTCATCTTCGAACGATCGCGAGTATATCAATGATCTTCGATTTCGAAAAGATACTTACCGCACAACAAGTGCCTAAGGCACAACGTAACAGCGAATAAAGGTCATAAACTTGAAGTGGCCATACACCGATAGGCCATGTAATCAATTTAAAAGGGGTCATCGCGTATGCGATATCATTCTTATATTGTTCACTTGTCATTGTGGAGATAATGGCTTTAACTGATGCCAATAACCAATGATCGGCTTGCTATATTGTCACAACGCAGGCATTCCAACTCATTTACTATTCAACGTAACATTTATTATTCAATGTGAAGTATATATACTTATCAGTCTCTCTTTTGAAGCACTATGATTGCACAACGCTTTTACATAAAATTATTGTCCAGTAAAAATTTATATGATACAATTTCTAAATTGTTACCGTCGAGAAATTTTTTTTTCTTGAGCGGGATCGTATGCATTTGACTTACCTGTATGTACGCACATTGTAATACTTTATCTCGATATTATTTAGTCAATAAGTAGCATAATTTCAATTTGATCAAAGATGAAGATGCGAAAAAATAAATATTGTTCTTATTATTCTATATACCAACAAAATTAATTGATGGAAAATTACGCGACACAGATAAATAATTTTACCTATGTTCGAAAATATCTGTCTACAAATTTAATTTTATAATGTATAAATAATAAATTTAATATGTTTATATTCTTGATATTGAGTAGGAAAAATTGATTTGGAACAAATAGATTAATGATAAGTATATTGACGTAGCACTTCAGTAAACATTTTTTTATGTATTTCTATTTTAAAATCATTATATCGTACTATTTTAAAGGTATAAAATGTTTGCAGTTTTCAAATTTTTTTAAATTACATCTTATATTTCACACTTCCAGCATTATACGAAGTACAGACAAATAGGAAAAAGAGGTTTTTAAAATGCTCACATAAGTTGACAGATTGACTACGATGAAATTTCCAGCCTGCAACGTGACTGGAGATTTTGTCTGCATAAGAATAAAGATTATGTTTCTTGCCAATTTCCTAGGAAAGCTATGCCAAGCACTTTGATAAATAGAGAGTCCTATCTCCTCCATTTCAGATTTCAAATAATTCCCGATAAAACTATACAATGTTAATTGTATCAGAAAGGCACTTAATGTCATTAAACTCTTTCCTATCATAACGATATCATTGACTTTCAACGCAAAGATGAATTGAAATCCTGAAAAGAATACTTGTCTGCTAAATCTTTAATTTTATAAATTTATAATTCATATATTTCGCTAAACATAATCATAATTAATGTAATATTCACCCATTATACATAATAATATGCTGATGATGAATAATTCTATTAGCAATACGAAACTGATCAGATCGGCAAGTTCTCTGGCCAGCGTTATTAGATAACAATGTCTTTGAATTAGCACGTTAAAACGATCGTATATTCGTGGACTTGTGACATCGAAGTTCATGAAATGGAGCCTTAGAATGTTCACTTGACCGCAAACATGCAATGTAATGTTGAGAAATAATGCGTCGTTACCTTTGGGAAATTGTACCGAATTGTCTTATTGCATTGAAATATATATATATATATATATATATATATATATATATATATGTATTTATTATTCTATTGTAATTAAACATGTTTCTTAAATTAAAAAATTAAATATGTGTCACAAAAAACAAGTAATATTTTTCTTATGTTTTAATGTATATGTTTAAAACATAATATCTTTTGCATAAGGCGCGAAAGTTTTTTTAAAATTTTGTCTCTTTTTTTAAATAAATTGTAATTGTAATTTTTTTTAAATTTTGTTTCTTTCTTCAAACAAGCTGTAATGATACATTAAGTGTGCCATATGATATTATTTTCATTTGCATTTTTAATAAAAAAATTTGCCGTTAAATGTAATATAATTGTAATAAATTGCTACTAATATTTTATATGTATATATCAGAAGAATTGAATATGATTTTAATATATGATCATAGATCATTTTATTTTGAACAATTTACCATAGAACCACTCAAACTTCCGCGCTTCTGCAATATTTTCTATAAATGAAAAAATTAATATAGTAATAAATAAGATTAATAAAAATCTTTATATTAAGAATAACCCAGATAGCACAATACATTCTTATGATTTTTCTGATTATATCCATAAAGATATTTGTGTTAAATATTTTAAGATGTTTTATAAATTTATTGTTTATGAAAATATAAAATATTTAATATGTTTATTATCTTATGTGTAATCTTATGTGTTTAATATAATTTAGAAATCTTATATATATATATATATATATATATATATATATTATGTTAAAATATAAATATTTCATAAATATCCACTGGATAATCACTGAATGTTTGTAGGATATCTGTCCTATCTACTATATTGAATATTCTTTGGATTTTCAGATGATATTTATGTGTTATCTGGGAAACTATTTATTAAAAAATTCTTGTTTTCTAGTAATACTAGATAAAAATGTAAAATATAAAATATCTATAAAAAATAAGGAAATATTAGATAAATATTAGATAAATATTACCAAGATTTGTTGTAGTCGAAAAAATCACTACAACAGTTTCGATAAGACAAGAGATTATGTACATGCTTGTAGGAAAATTAAAGTATTCCAATGCACATCTTGATGGCAGAGCGTATTTTAACATTTTATCTTCGTTCGTCATGTTAATCCGATTACTATGAACATAATCAAAAAAAGGAATTATCGCATATGTTAAACAACTAAGGTAAGAAAAGCCCATCATAGAACAGCAAAGAATCCTTCCTATAAAAGCATGTTTTCTCATAATATCGCGATCTTTCGCATTGTCAATTGTTAAATAATCGTTCAGAGCAGAATCGTAATTGATAATTAAACTATTTGCGTAAATGCGAAACCATGTTGTCTTCAGCAAACCAAGCAATCCGCAACAGATTATTGTCAGACAGTCTATATTCTGCTCTACGTCAGTACAACCCATGTATAACTCCATGGAAGGCAAGATCACAATTAGGCTCTGTTGATACATTTTCCCATATATGATGTTTCGTGTTTGAAAGAATATCTCACTCCTAACTGAACAAATTCTTACTAATAAATATTCTATTAAAATGTGAATACTACTTTTTCATTTTCATACTTCTTTTCACTCAATCTCTCTCATTTCTTTTCTTTCTCTTTTATTCTATAAAAGACGGTAAAAAAACCGTTTTTTTTAAAGATTGACTCATAAATGCAAAGTGTTATACATATATTAATATATTTGTATATTTATATATACTATTTATATATTATGCATACAGTTTATATATATCAATCTTTATATATAAAAATAACACAAAAATCTAATATCTGTATTAAAATAATATATATGTAATACAACTGTATTAAAATAATATATATGTCATACAACTTATGTAAATAAAAGATTTCAAAATATAAAATACAGAAATACAGAAAATTTCAAAATATAAAATTTAGAAAATAAATTTAATAATATTCAGAATAGAAGTGACATTATATAACTTTTATTTTACATATCGTTACGATGGAATCATGAAATAAATAATGTAGCTTCTTATAATAAGTAATCTAGTTTTTATGATATTTTGTGAGAAGAATCGTATTATTTTTATACATGTTTAAGAAAAAATACACGTAAATCATGAAACTTGAAACTTGAAATATTATTATTGTTATAATTTTTGTAATGACTTACAATTGTGCTGATTTACAACTCATCTAAAGTGCTTTTACAGTTCACAAAAGCGTTTCATATCATATGCATTACCCAAAATTCAAAATAAAATCTTGCTATGCTGATCGTTACACCGAAGTTTTTGTTCAACCAATTATAATATTCCGTGTCGTCTTTGAATGATCGCGAATATGTCAATGATCTTCGACTTCCAAAAGATACTTACCGCACAACAAGTGCTTAAGATACAACGTAAGAGCGAATAAATGTCATAAACTTGAAGCGGCCATACACCGATAGGCCATGTAATCATTTTGATAGGGGTCATCGCGTACGTAATATCGTCTTTCCATTGTTCAATTGCCATTGCGAGATAATGACTCTAACTGATAACCAATGATCCGTTCCCTATATGGTCACAACGCTAGTATTGCAACTCATTTTTTATTCAATATGAAATTTATGCCTCAGTCTGCCTTAAAGCATTATAGCAAAATGCAAATAACTACGCTCTTATAGGAAATATTCTTGAGTAAAAATTTATATGATACAATTTTTCTAAATTGTTACCGTCCATCTATCAACTATTTTTTTTTATTGCGTAGAACGATATTCGCATTTTTCGCTTACTTATATGCTTGCAATGTATTGGATTTTTATTTCGATATTCAATTGGCAACATTAATATATATATATATATATATATATATATATATATATATATATATAGAGCATAGATTGAAAAATGAAAATATAAGCAGTAACTTGCTTTTTTTATATGTCAAGTGAAAATTAATAAATAGAGACACATGATGTAAGTAATTTTGTATGTTGGAAATGTTTGTCCTCAAATTCAATATAATAATGCATTAATAGTAATTTTAAGTCCACACTCGAAGAATTCGTAGAAGGAATTGACATAACAATTATCTCGAAATTGGACGAGAAATTTTGTTGCATATGATTCGGCTCGAATAAATTCTAAACCCACGGCACACGATGCGATTTTTCATGCATAGTTGCATGGCTGTATAATAGCGTGGTCTTAAACAGATTCCTACAATTTTGTTTCTCTATTGATTTTGACTAAGAAATTTGACAATAAATGTATTTTGTTCTTATCATTTAATTAATCTTATTATTTAATATTGTTTGTTATTTTACATTTTTATTACGTTATATTATCTTACCGCTGTTGTGAACATTACAAGCAGCTGAACATTTAAATTATACCATTTTTTGCAAAGACCGTACATCAAGTATTCATATCATTGATCTTTGAAAAGCTGTAATCTGTACCACTGTTCCAATTTGTCTTCTTTCATGTTTGGCGATTGCTAGTTTTGAAAACTAACTAGGAAGATTGTGATTGTCTTGAATATTACATATTTCGTCGGCCGGAACAATGGCTTACATTTATCCCTCGCAAAAATAATTACTGTAGTTTGTATGCACACATTCTTTCCGCACATCAATCGGTCTTTAGGGTCGTGAAATAAGTGAAGTTTTGCTATCGCATCTTTTTAAATTTCTATTTTCTATTTTCATATGTAATAGATAATAAATATAGTAACTGATAAATTTTGATATCTTAATTTTACTAAAAATTTTAAATTTTACTAAAAAATCGAATGTACATAATTTATAAATAATCGCTCGTTTCTTGAGTATCGTATTGATAATTTATAAATATTTTTAATAAAAAATACAAAAAATATTTTAGTAAAAAATTATGATAATTTATATAAACGTATGGTGTTATTTTTATTCTTCAGTATATGTAAGACATTTCTCAATGTAGTAACATAAAATAATATATGTATAATAATGAGAAACAGATTTATTCTTGGAGTAAAGAAATGGAAAAAATTTATCAAAAAATAATATCACGCTTTCTAGGATGAGATAGATGATTTATATAGATGTTAAAGAAAAAAAATCATATTTATAATTATTTGTATTTGTAAGTTAATATCTTGAAAGGCACTTTTTTATTTATAAAATAATGATTCAACAAATGTACACACGAATATGATATAATATCTGATATATATGTGTCTTGCAAAAATCTTTGTTTTACATTTAAGAATATGACCAATATATAAATTGCAGTGCATATGAAACCTGAATATAGTATCATCGGAGTAAATATTGTGGATTTAAATGCATGTTTTTTCATATGATTATTCATGTGATCTTATAAAATTCATCATTCTTCGCGAACAATCAATTGTTGATAATAACGTCAATCATACTTCTAGCAAGTTTTCTTTAATTATCAATAATATGGAAATTTTTTAGCGTCAAAATTACTGTGTACATGAAAAATAATATAGTTCCAATGCTTGTATTGGACATCACGATGATTTCCAATAACTTCATAAATAGGAAGCTGAAAATCATTAACTAATAATGATCCTTTAAAATTATCGTAGGAAATATAGTTAACGTATATAATAAATGAGAAGATAGAAACAATAAAACATATTTATGAAATGTCTTCTAGTATCTTAATATTCCATAATAAACCTTCAAATTAACATATACATTTTGTTGAATCTATCTATTTATCTAACTACAAGTAATGCATAAATTTTATATTGTAAATAAATATACATTTAAGAAATTCAAGAAATATTTAGAAAAATATTTTATGAGTATTTTAGATATATAAATTCTTGCAAAATTGATATCATCATATTTGTTGGCTGCAACATGTTTCTATAATCCCTTTTTCTTGCCTGCTAATATATTTTTATAAATATTGCTTAAACTCCGTTGCATGATCGTGAATACCATCTTTTTTCGCAAGGGCCATTATTTTCACGAGGGGAAAAGACATATATGATATCATCGTTTCAAAGAACACGCGAAGACATTATAGTAGTTGTATAAATTGGACAGTTTACAACAACTACTCTGATCGAAGTTCGTTCTTGCAAATTCTATGTTCAACTTGTGAATATTATCTTTATTATTGGATTGCGATGGATTGATAAAATATGATGCTTTCACGAGGTTCATATTTTATTAGCTGTAAAGGACATCTCAAAGGATAATAAAATAAATGTAAAATAGGAATGTGTGTCTATACACTGTAAAATTAGATAATTAGAGAATTTAATTTGAAGAACTATATTTTAAGAATAATTAATTAAGAAATTAATAATAAATATAAATTGATATTAATAAAAATTTGCTCCTTTGTGTCATAAATAGTCAGATAATCGTTCAGAGCAGAATTGTAATTAATAATTAAACTATTTGGACAAATTTGAAACCATATTATCTTCAGCACACAGAGCATTCCGGCACAGATCATTATCAGACAGTTTATATTTTGGTTTACGTCAGTACAATCCAAGAACATTTCCATAGAAGGCAAGATCACAACTAGGATCACAACTAGGATCTATTGATTTCCCCATATACTTCTAAGACGAGAAATAAGACAAAATTTTGTATTACAAAAATCTTAATAACGCAAAAACTAATAATTTCCGAACCTATGTTGATTAACTTTTTTTTTCTTCTCTAAGCATGAGGAATCCATTCCTGAAATTTTGCCCACCATTTATGAAACACCCTGTATATTCCAACTCGTTTATTATTCAACGTGTCATAGAATATTTAACTTAAGGTATATATGGTTATCGGTCTATCTCTTTTAAAGCATTATGGCTAAATGCAAATAACCACTCTTTTACGTAAAATTGTCATCGAGTAAAAATTTATATGACACAATTTTTCTAAATTGTTACTGTCGAGCAAATATATTTTTTGTTGAGCGAGGTCATGCGTTTAGCTTACCTGTATATGTACATTATAGTACAAGTACTTTATCTCGCTATCTTGCTATATCTTGATTTGGCTAACTATAAGTAGGATAAATTCAATTTGTTCAAAGATGAAAATATGAGTAAATAAATATTGTTTTTATTATTTTATATACCAACAAAATTAATTGATGGAAAATTACGCGACACAAGTAAATTTTATATATCCGAAAATATCTGTTAACAAATTTATTTTAATAATTGTTTGAATAATAATTGTATATATATTACATATATATATATATATATATATATATATATATATATATTATTGATTTTGTATAGGAAAAGTTGATTTGGAACAAATAGATTAATGTGAGTGATAAATATATTGACGTGGCATTTCAGTAAACATTTTTTGATATTTTATTTGTATTTTTATGTCTTTTCCATTTTAAAATCATTATATCATACTATGTCGAAAGTATAAAATGTTTACAGTTTTTAAGTATTTTGTTTAATTACATCTTACTTTTCACACTTCGAGCATTATACGAAGTACAGACAAATATGAGAAAGAAGTCTTTAAAATGCTCACATAAGTTGACAGATTGACTACGATGAAATTTCCAGCCTGTAACGCAACTGGAGATTTTGTTTGCATAAGAATAAAGATTACGTTTCTTGCCAATTTTCTAGGAAAACTGTACCAAGCACTTTGATAAATAGAAATCCCTATCTCTTCCATTTCAGATTTCAGATAATTCCCGATAAAACTATATAACGTTAATTGTATCAGGAAGGCGCTCAGTGTCATTAAACTCTTTCCTATCATAACTATATCATTGACTGTCAATGCGAGGATGACCTGAAATCCTAAAAAGAATATTTGTTAGTCGAATGTAAATGTATTTCTTTATAAATGTGTAATTTACATGTTTTGCTGAACAATCATAAGTGTCATAATAATAGTCACCCATTATACATATTAATATGCTGATAATAAATAGTTCTATTAGCAATACAAAACTGATTAAATCGGCAAGTTCTCTAACTAGCATTATCAGGTAACAATGTCTTTGAATTAGCACGTTGAAACGATCATATATTCGTGGACTTGTGACATCAAAGTTCATGAAATGGAGTCTCAGAATGTTCACTTGACCACAAACATGCAATGTAATATTGAGAAACAATGCGTCGTTACCTTTAGAAAGTGCATTCATGTACCGATTAACTTATTGCATTAAAATACACATTTATATTTATTATTCTATTGTAATTAAAGCTAATTTTTGTAGTTAAAAGATATGTATCACAAATAATAATATTACAAATAATATTTTTTTTACGTCTAATATACATATATTTGAAACATAATATTTTTTGTATAGGCGCAAGTTTTCTAAAAATTTAAAGTTTCTTTTAAATAAGCAGTAACGAAACACGTTAAAGCTGTCATATATAATAATTTCTACATTGTTTAATTAAAAAAAAGATTCTACCATCTAATTTATTATGCATAATTAGGAGAACTGGAAGGTTTTAAAATATATTAATGGAATAATTTGTCATATAAAATCATGCACACTGTGGCGTCTTTGCAAAGTTTTCCATATCCAAGAAAAAAGATGCATAATATTAATAAAACTAGTAAACATATATATGTATGAAGAATAGTAAACTTTCGTTTACATTTATAATATTGAATAAAATAAACATGTAAATTAGATAAATATTACCAAGATTTGTTGTAGCTGCTATGATTAGTATAACAGCTTCGATGAGACAGGAGATTTTATATAAGCTCGTTGGAAAATTGAAATATTCCAGAGCGCATCTCGATGGTATTGCATATTTCGATACTGTATCTTCATTCGTTATGTTAATAAAATTATCTTGATTGTAATTCAAAAAAGGAGTTACCCCATATATTAGACAACTAAAGTAAGTAAAGACTAGTAAGGAAAGGCAAAGAATTCTTCCTACGAAAGAATGTTTTCGCATAATGTCGCGCTCCTTTATATTGTCAATCGTTAGATAATCGTTTAGAGCAGAGTTGTAATTGATAATTAAACTATTTGCATAAATGCGGAACCATGTCGTCTTCAGTACACCGAGCAATCCACAACAGATTAGTGTCAGACAGTCTATATTCTCCTCTATGTCAGTACAGCCCATGTATAACTCCATGGAAGGCAAGATCACAATTAGGCTCTGTTGATATATGTCGCATATATAATATTCCGTGCTCAAAAGAATATATTTCATTCCTAACTCAATAATTTTTACTAATAAATATTCTATTAAAATGCGAATGCTACTTTCTGAATTTCATGCTTCTTTTCGCACAATTTTTCACAACTTTTTCTTTCCTTTTCATTCTATAAAAGACGGTATGAAAAAAGGTTTTTTTTCAAATTAATTTATAAATGCAAAGCACTACATATATATAACAATGTAATTGTATATTTATTATTTGTATATTGTATATACAATTTTATGTCACAATCTCTAGACATAAAAACAACACAAAAATGTATATGTATATGTTAATTCCAATATTTGACAAAATTTGTGTAAATAAAAAATTTCTTTCCTTCAAAATATGAAACACATCAAAATATAACAAAATTTAATATTATTAAGAATTTAAATGACATTATATATAATTATATTATTCCATATACGATCATTATACTAGAATCATGAAATAAATAATGTAGTGCATGCTTCTATCATGATATTTCGTGAAAAGAATCATAATATTTTTATACATGTTTAAGAAAAAATATATAAATCATGAAACTTAAAAAAAATATTTCTTTTTATAATTTTTTAATGTGTGACTTACAATCGTGCTGATTTATAACTCATCTAAAATGTTACAGCTGACAAAATCTTTTCACCATATACAATATCCAAAATTCAAAATATAAAATCTTGCTCATCGTTATATCGAAATTTTCTCCAGAGAGTTGCAATATCAACGTAAGTAATATACTCCGTGTTGTCTTCAAACAATCGCGAATATGTCAATGATCTTCGAGTTCCAAAAGATACTTACCGCACAAAAAGTAGCTAAGGCACAACGTAACAATGAATAAATGTTATAAACTTGAAGGGGCCATACACCGATAGGCCATGTAATCAATTTGAAAGGAGTCATCGCATGTACCATATCGTGCTTCCATTGTTCAATTGCCATTGTCGACATAATGACTCTAACTGATGTCAATAACTCATGATCCACTTGCTATATCGACGCAGGTATGCCAACTCATTTTTTATTCAACATGAAATGCATACCTCTCAGCCTATCTCTCTTAAACCATTAATGCAAATAACTGTTTTTGGGAAATGGAAAATGTCGTTGAATAAAAATTTATAACACATTTTTCAAATTGTCTCTTGCGAGTAACTACTTTTTTTGTTGAGCAGACTTATGTATGTTTTGCTTATATATATGCATACTATATTTATCTCGATATTCGTTTGGCTAACAATAAGTCGTATAAAGTCAATTTGTTCAGATGTGAAAATATGAATAAATAATTTTTTTTTAATTCCACAAGCCAACAAAAATTAACTGATAGACACTTATGCGACACAAGTAGATAATTATTGAAAATTCAATTCTTCAATTTCAATATAAAAATATATTAATAGTAAAAAAAATTCAGATATGTGCATATTATTAATTTTGATAGGAAATATTTATTTGGTACAAGAACTTATATGGATAATAAGTTTATTTACTTGGCTTTTAAACATTTCTAAACATAAACACTTCTTCATTTTATTTTGAAAGTCTTATATGGTTTCTATTTTAAACTTATTAAATATTTACAGATTTCTTCATTCTCACTTTATACTTCACACTCCGACTATTATACGAAGTACAGACAAATACGAAAAAGAGGTTTTTAAAATGTTCACATAAGTGGACAAATTGATTACAATGTAATTTCCAGCCTGCAACATGACTGGGGATTTTGTCTGCATAAGAATAAAAATTACGTTTCTTGCCAATTTTGTAGGAAAATTATACCAAGCACTTTGATAAATAGAGAGTCCTATCTCTTCCATTTCAGATTTCAGATAATTCCCGATAAAACTATACAATGTTAGTTGTATCAAAAAGACACTCAATGCCATTAAACTCTTTCCTATCATTACGGTGTTACTGACTTCCAACGCGAAGATAAGTTGAAATCCTGAAAAGAATATATATTTGTCTGCTGAATGTAAATCTTTTTTTATAAATGTTTAACTTACATATTTTCCCGAATAATCATAATATTATATTTACCCGTTATGCATAATAATATGCTGATAATGAATAATTCTATGAGCAATATGAAACTGATCAGATCGGCAAGTTCTCTGGCCAGTGTTATTAGGTTTTGATGTCTTACAATTAATGCGTTGAAACGATCATAGATTCGCGGGCTTGTGACATCAAAATTGATAAATTGGATCCTCAAAATGTTTATTTGACCGCAAATATGCAATGTAATGTTGAGAAACAACCCGTCGTTACCTTTAAAAAATGGATCCATAAACGAATTTAAGTTATTGCATTGATATACAACACAGTATTTATTATCCTATTGCATATAGATTTATTTTTGTAATTAAAAATATATTTTATCGATGGGATAAAATGTCTTACTAATAAATTCGAATTTGTTTTAGAACGCTCTATAATTACTTTAGACACAATATTTTAAAAATATACTTGAAAAAAAAAAGTTGACAGTTTTATAGATTGATTTTTTAAATCATAAAGTTTGAATGCTACTTGTAAAAAATTCGATTCTTTACGACTTGATTTTCTCGATTCTTTAAAATTGCTTATAAATACAATACATTTTGAATCGTGCGAGTATTCATTCCAACATTTGAATATAATTTTTCTGCATTCGATTACTTTACAAGTGCAATATAAAAAATATTATTTTTTAACAGTATTAATCAAATCCTAGAAAATTTGATTATTGGACTAGACTTGGATTTTTAAAAGTATATTGAACTTGACCTATCTCTGATATGTATCACAAAATATAAATAAATAATATTGTTTTTATTTAATGTTTATTATATTGCAGTGCAAAAAAAATCTGTTATCTAATCTATTATATCTGATCAGGAAAACTGGTAGATTTTAAAACATAAAATTAATGAAATGGTTTGTCGTAAAATCATGCAAGCTTTATCACTTTTACAATGTTTTCAATCAAAAAAAGTGCATAATATTAATAAAATTAGTAAATTAATAATAAACTTTTTAATTAAACTTTTGAATACAAAAATTTTTATTTCGAATCTATATGTATAATCGAAACATAAGTAAATATTACCAACATTGGCTGTAGCCGCTAGTATCATTATAACAGTTTCGAATAAGCAGGAGATTTCATACATGCTTGTTGGAAAATTAAAATATTCCAGAGCGCATCTTGATGGCAGTCCATATTCCAATATCATATTCTCGTTTTTAATCTGATTATTTTTATCGTAATCCAAAAGCGGAATTATTCCATACATTACGCAACCAAAATAACAAAAGCCACACATAGAACAGCAAAGAAATCTTCCTATAAAGGCATGTTTTCTCATGATATCACGCTCCTTTGTGTTCTCAATCGTTAGATAATCATTAAGAGCAGAGTTGTAATTATCAATTAAATTTTTTGCATAAATGCGGAACCATGCCATCTTTAGCACACCGAGCAATCCACAACTTATTATTGTTAGACTTGCTATATTCTGGTCTACATCAGTACAGCCCATATATAGTTCCATGGAAGGCAAGATCACAGCTAGGCTCTGTTGATTGACATTTTCCCATACATGATGTTTTAAGCTCAAAAAAAAATATTTCACTCCTAACTCAATAATAGTTTTATTAATAAATATTCTATTAAAATGTAAATTCTATTTTCCCATTCTATATTTTTCTTAAATTTTTTAAATTTCTTTTTCTCTTTCTCTCTCTGTCTTTCACTCTATAAAATATGATATAAATAAAGTATTTTTTCGGACTTATTTATAAATGCAATACATATAATCGTATATTTACTTTTTATACATTTAATTTTATGAAATATTTAAATATTATAATGAAAATGTAAATTATATACTAAAATAATATATGCGTGTAATAATATTTGTATAAATAGAAAATTTTTTCTCTTTAAAATATGAAACACATAAAAAACGAAATTTAATTACTTAGAATTTATGTAACATTTTATCAGATTATTTATTTTGTTTCACATACAATTGTTATATTGGAACCATGAAATGAGTTATGTAGTACATGATATTTAGTGAAAAATATCCTATCATTTTATACATAATTTAAAAAAACATGTAAATTATAAAAAAAAGAAATCTTTATTATTGTTAAAATTTTTCAACGACTTATAATCGTGCTGATTTACAACTTATTTAAATTGTTACAGATTGCAAAAGCTATGATATGCATTATCAAGAATTGCAAAATCTTGTTATCTCCAACGTTATGCCGAAGTTTTTTCAGAACGTTGCAATATCAATGTTGAAAATATTTTTCGTCGTCTTCGTACGATCGCGAATTGTGTGTATGTATGTCTGATCTCTAAGTGTATATATGATCTATGAATTTCAAAAGATACTTACTGCACAACAAGTGCTTAAGATACTACGCAACAGCGAATAAGCATTATGGATTTGAAGTGGCCATATGCCGATAGGCCACGTAATTATTTTGAAAGGGGTCATCGCGTATGCGATATCATCCTTCCATCGTTCTCTTGCCATTGTCGATGTAATGACTTTAACTGATGCCAATAACCAATGATCCGCTTGCTATATCGATGCAACGCAAGTACTTTATCTCATTTTTTATTCAACATGATAAGTATACATGCTTATCAGTATACATGCTTATAAGTATACATGCTTCTCTATACTCTTAAAGTATGATAACTAAATGAGAGCGTAACTACGTTTTGATATAAAATTATCTTTGAGTAAAAATTTATATGGTACAATTCTAAATTGTTGCCGTCAATCAAGCAACTATATTTCTTTTGTTGGACAGAATCATGTGCGTGTTTTGCTTACTTATGTATATACGCACATTGCATTATATTTTAGCACATTGTACTACATTTTAATCGATATTCGTGTGTCTAACAATAAATATAGTATAAATATAGTATAAATATAGTATAAATATAGTATAAATATAGTATAAATTCAATCCGTGTCAAAAATGAAAAACAAATAACTTATTTTTTTATATTACGGAACAGTAAAATTAACAAATAAACAATTACGTGACATATAGCGTAAGTAACTTTTTATATTTGAAAATGTCTGTCCTAAGATTCAATATAATAATTGCAATAATAATAGTTTAATAATAATTTTACGTTTAGAACCAGGAGAAATATGGATCGAAAGAAGATCACAATTATAACTTCAAAATTAGATACTTTGAATATAATTCATGTTGAATAAATTCTCAGACTTGAAGACCGGTAAATGACTATTTGAATCACAATTATGTTGTTGTATCGAATATACACTAAGTTTCTTTTTGATAAGAAGAGAATCTCATCTCTTTTACGGAGAACGAATCTTCGTGCGATCTTAGAATGAAAACGAATTAGTGAATAGATAATTATTTTTAAAAAATTTTTGAATTTATTCTAAAAAATATTTTTTAATTCATATACATGATTTTATTCTAGTAATAAATTTATTATTAAACTTTTGCATGTGCGTATATGTGTGTGTGTGTGTGTGTTTGTTTATTTGTTTCGCGGGTGTTACGATAGTACGGAGTGATTTTAATATTAAACTCTTAGATTTTAACTGAATTACAATTTTATTCTTTTTTCTTTTTAATAAACGTAAATTAAATGGGTTGTGAAAGTATGTGCGAAGAAAGTTAATAGAATCGATAATTTTATCTACTATAGCAAAAAAAAAATAAGTCATTGGATTTAGAAAATAATAGAATAGAAAATCGACAAACATTGATTAATTTAAATAGCTAAAAAAATTTACTTAATTCTAATGAGAAAAGAATATAAGAAAGATTATGTTACTATTTGGGTTGACTCTTCTGATATATTGGTGATATGACACAAATGACTTAATTAGGAATCAAACCCGAATCTTTCCGCTTTCCATGTAACCACTTTTACCCTTGAATTGACAACAGATCTCACATCTTATACCACTTTCACAATACAGTACTTTCGCTCTTATGCAATGTCGCATAATCAGTAAAAAATTGCACTTTATATATAATATTATAATAATAAAATTGGTATAAGAGTTTCATAAGAATAAACTTAATAAAATTATGAAGGATGTCCCATCACTTCCGTAAAATACTTTAATAGTATACGGTAGAGATAAAATAGAATCAAAAAGTTTAATACGTAAATGTTAAGGCTGCAACAGCTTTTTTATAAGAGATGAAAGTTTTCCCATGATATCGCACAGAACTCGTGCATTCAGCTCCATAAGTACACTTAAACACCTTGCACAATGATAGGCAACAGTCAATAAGAACAGAAAGAGTATTTATTCTCTGCTCCTATTGGTGAGTATTTTCTGTTCCGCGTATTTATTAGTGAATAATTTCTATTCCTTATTTCTATTGCCTGTTGCCTAGCATTGTGCAAGGGGCTTTACATGTACTGATCAGCTATTATTGATTTTTTCATGTCAGGTGATATTGATTTTACGGCATGGTTGATTTTTTATTTTAATTTGTAATGAAAATAGATTCCTACAAATATTAGATTAAAAAGAAATGTATCTAATTTTTCAAATATGTGAAAACATTTTATAATTCTGTTTAAATATAATACTTAATCGATTATTTAAATTCTTATTTAAAAAAGAAAGTTTTTTGTATATTAATTACAATTTATTATATTAATTAATAATAAACGCATATAAGAAACGATAAAATCAGCTGTGTAGAATCATGAAAAAATCAATAACAAATGACAGATCGGTACGTGTATAAATGTAGTTACAAGCTCGAACGCGTGAATTCTACGCAACATCATTGCCAAACTTTAATCGTTTATAATTCAAAAACTATTGCAGCATCAATATTTTCGTATTAGAATCTTTGACTCCATTTTATCTCTAGAGTATGCTATTTGAGTATTGTACAAAGGTTGTGAGACAATCTGTATATGTAAAATAATAAACTATTAAGAAAATTTTTGTTTCCAAGAAATATCGGATAACACACAAAATACACACAGAAAATTAAATCAATATTACCAAAATTAGTTATACTCGCCAGTATCATTATAACACTTTCGACGAAATAGAAAATTTTATACATACATCTTGGAATATTGAAATATTCCAGAGTACACCTTGATGGCAGTGCATACATCAATATTATATCCTCATTCATTATGTTAATTCCATTACCTTGATCATAATCCAAAAGGAATGGAATTATTCCATATATTAGGTAACTAAGGTATGAAAAGTCCAACATGAAGCAAGAAAGAATCCTTCCTATAAAAGCATGTCTTCTCATAATATCACGATCTTTTGTATTGTCAATCGCCAGATAATCGTTCAGAACAGAGCCATAATTGTATCATTCTATTGTTTACTTGTCATTGTCGATACAATGGCTCTAACTAATGCCAATAACTGATGATCTAATCGCTATATCGACACGACACAAGTATTCTAATTCATTTTTTATTCAACATGAAAAGTATGCATGCTTATCAATTTATCTCTTTTAAACCATTAATACAAATAATTGTGTTTTTATGGAAAATGTCGTTGAATAAAAACTTATAATACATTTTCCAAATTGTTGTCATCTCTTGCGAGCGACTACTTTTTTGTTGAGCAGACTTATATATATTTTGCTTATTTATATACACACTATATTTACCACGATATTCGTTTGGCTAACAATAAGTCGTATAAAGTCAATTTGTTCAGATGTGAAAATATGAATAAATAATTTTTTTTATTCTACAAGCCAACAAAAATTAACTGATAGACACTTACGCGACACAAGTAGGTAATTATTGAAAATTTATCTTTAATTTCAATATAAAAATATATTAATAGTAAAAAAAAATTCAGATATGTGCATATTATTGATTTTGATAGGAAATACTTATTTGGTACAAGAACTTATATGGATAATAAGTTTATTTACTTGGCTTTTTAATAAACACTTCTTTATTCTATTTTGAAGGTATTATATGGTTTCTATTTTAAACTTATCAAATATTTACAGACTTCTTCATTCTCACTTCTTTATACTTCACACTCCGACTATTATACGAAGTACAGACAAATACGAAAAAGAGGTTTTTAAAATGTTCACATAAGTGGACAAATTGATTACAATGTAATTTCCAGCCTGCAACATGACTGGGGATTTTGTCTGCATAAGAATGAAAATTACGTTTCTTGTCAATTTTTTAGGGAAACTATACCATGCACTTTGATAAATAGAGAGTCCTATCTCTTCCATTTCAGATTTCAGATAATTCCCGATAAAACTATACAATGTTAGTTGTATCAGAAAGAGACTCAATGCCATTAAACTCTTTCCTATCATTACAGTGTTATTAACTTTTAACGCGAATATAAATTGAAATCCTGAAAAATATATACATTTGTTTGTTGAATGTAAATCTTTTTTTTATAAATGTGTAACTTACATATTTTCCCGAATAATCATAATATTATATTTACCCGTTATGCATAATAATATGCTGATAATGAATAATTCTATGAGCAATACGAAACTGATCAGATCGGCAAGTTCTCTGGCCAGCGTTATTAGGTTTTGGTGTCTTAGAATTAATGCGTTAAAGCGATCGTAGATTTGCGGACTTGAGACATCAAAATTGATAAAATGGATCCTCAGAATGTTTATTTGACCGCAAACATGCAATGTAATGTTGAGAAACAACCCGTCGTTACCTTTAAAAATGCATCGATGAACGAATTTAAGTTATTACATTGATATACAACACAGAATTTATTATTCTATTGCATATAAATTAATTTTTGTAATTAAAAATATATATTACCGATGGGATAAAATGTTTTACTAATAAATTCGAATTTGCACGTTTTCGAACACTATAATTACTTTAGAAACAATATTTTAAAAATATACTTGAAGTTGACAGGTTTTATAAACTGATTTTTTAATCATAAAGTTTGAATGTTACTTGTAAAAAATTCGAGTCTTTAGGTCTTGATTTTTTTGATTCTTTAAAAAGTGCTTATAAATACATTTTGAATCGTGCGAGTATTTATTCCAACATTTTAATATAATTTTTTTGCTATCGATTATTTTACAAGTACAATATAAGAAATATTATTTTTTAAGAGTATTAATCAAATTCTAGAAAATAAAATTTAATTATTGGACTAGACTTGGATTTTTAAATGTATATTGAATTTGATCCCATTTCTGATATGTATCACAAAATATAACAAAATAATATTGTTCTTATATTATTATTGTTCTTATATTATTGTTCTTATATTATATAATATTGTTCTTATATTATAACGCATTGCATAAGGCGTAAAAGTTTTTTAAAAATTTTTCTTTAAAGGAATAGTATTGATACACGTTAAAGCTATTATATATAATTATTTTTATAGATATCGTTTAAAAAAATCCGCTACCTGATCTATTATGTCTGATCAGGAAAACTGGAAAATTTTGAAGCATGAAATCAATGAAATGGTTTGTCGTCACGCAAACTTTAGCACCTTTACAATGTTTTTAATCAAAAAGAAATGTATAATATTAATAAAATTAGTAAAAAAATAATAATTAGTAAAATTAGTTTATTTATGTGTATGTAGACTAAACTTTTAAATACAACAATTTTTATTTCTAATATCAAAACATAAGTAAATATTACCAAAATTTGCTGTAGCTGCTATAGTTAATATAACAGCTTGGACGAGACAGGAGATTTTATACATGCCCGTTGGAACATTGAAATATTCCAAAACGCATCTCGATGGAATTGGATATTTCAATATCGTATCTCTATTCGTTATGTTAATGCGATTATCTGGATTGTAAAAGAAAGGAGTTACCCCATATATTACGCAACCAAAATAACTAAAACCCAACATGGAACAGCATAGAAACCTTCCTATAAAGGCATGTGTTCTCATGATGTCGCGCTCCTTTGTGTTCTTAATCGTCAAATAATCGTTTAGAGCTGAGTTGTAATTATCAATTAAATTTTTTGCATAAATGCGGAACCATCCCATCTTCAGCATACCGAGCAACCCACAACATATTATTGTTAAACATGTTATATTCTGTTCTACATCAGTACAGCCCATATGAAGTTCCATGGAAGGCAAGATCACAATTAGGCTCTGTTGATTGACATTTTTTCATACATGATGTTTTAAGCTCAAAAAAAATATGTCTTACTCTCTACTCAATAAATTTTTACTAATAAATATTTTATTAAAGTGCGAATCCTATTTTCTCATTCTTATAATTCTTTTAATTCTTAAATTCTTTAAATTTCTTTTTCTCTTCCTCTCTCAGTCTTTCACTCTATAAAATATGATATAAATAAAGTATTTTTTTTTTACTTTTTTATAAATGCAAAGCATTGTACATATAATCGTATATTTGTATATTTATTATTTATATATTTAATTTTATGAAGTCCTTAAATAGTATAATAAAAATGTAAATTACTAAAATAATATATGCGTGTAATAAAATTTGTATAAATAGAAAACATTTTTTTTAAATATAAAAAACATAAAAAGATGAAATTCAATATTATTTAGAATTTATGTGACATTTTATGTCAGATTTTATTTTGTTTCACATACGAGTGTTATATTGGAACCGTGAAAAAAGTAACGTAGTACATGATATTTCGTGAAAAATATCGTATCATTTTATACATAATTAAAAAAACATAAAAAAAAGTAACAATAATAAAGTAACAATAATAAAAATTAACAATAATAAAGATTTCTTTTTTTTATAAATTATAAAAAAAAGAAATCTTTATTATTGTTAAAATTGTTTAACGACTTACAATCGTGCTGCTTTACAACTCATCTAAATTGTTACTGCTAGCAAAAGCTATGATATGCATTATCAAGAACCGCAAAATCTTGTTATCTCTATCGTTATGCCGAAGTTTTTCAGAACATTGCAATTTCGATGTTGAAAATATTCTTCGTCGTCTTCGTACGATCGTGAATTGTGTGTATATACATATGTGTCTAATCTTTGAGTGTATACATAATCTTTGAGTTTCAAAAGATACTTACCGCACAACATGTGCCTAAGGCACTACGCAACAGCGAATAAATATTATAAATTTGAAATGGCCATATGCCGATAGGCCACGTAATTATTTTGAAAGGGGTCATCGCGTATGCGATATCATCCTTCCATCGTTCTCTTGCCATTGTCGATATAATGATTTTAACTGATGCCAATAACCGATGATCCGGTTGCTATATCGATGCAACGCAAGTCATCATCTCATTTTTTATTCAACATGATAAGTATACATGTTTATCAGTCTCTATACTCTTAAAGCATTATAAGTAAGGGGGAGCGTAACTACGTTTTATGTAAAATTGTCGTTGAGTAAAAATTTATACAGTACAATTTTTTCTAAGTTGTTTTCGTTTATCAAGCAACTATATTTTTTTTGTTGAACGGAATAATAAATTATATGCGCATTTTGCTTATTTATATACTCGCACATTGTAGTACATTTTAGCATATTGTACCACTTTATTCAATATTTACTAGGCCAAGAAAAAATATAGAAATAGATTCAAAAATTATTCAAAGATGAAAATATAAACACATATAATTTGCTTTTTTATACTGCAAATCAACAAATCGGCAAATACAGAATAATGCGACACATATGTAAGTAATTCTACGTATCAAAAAATGCTTGTCCTCAAATTCAATATAATAATGCATTAATAGCAATTTTACACACAGATCCGGAGAATAATGGATCGAATAAAGAGGCGCTACATCTATAATCTCGAAATTGAACGAGAATCACTTATCGAACGATATTTCTTTATCATCAATCCGACGATCATGGACGTAATTTCACAAAAGGAAGGAATAATGGAATTAGTAGAATGTAACATTAATTTAAGTTTATGATATTATTGATATTGCATAAAATTGGATTAAATATAAACAGATTATACATAGATAAAGTTTATTTACGTGACATTTTAATAAATACTTTTTCATGTACTTTTATTTTAAAACCATATATCATATTATTTCGAACATATCATATACAGTTTGCATAGAACTTTATCATTTTCATTTTATATTTCATACTCCGACCATTATGCGAAGTATAGATATATACGAAAAAGAGGTTTTTAAAATGCTTACATAGGTTGGCAAATTGATAACGATAAAATTTCCAGCCTGCAGCACAACTGGAAATTTTACCTGCATAAGAATGAAGATAACGTTTCTTGCCAATTTCCTAGGAAAACTATGCCAAGCACTTTGATAAATAGAGAGTCCTATCTCCTCCATTTCAGATTTCAGATAATTTCCAATAGAACTAAATAACGTTAGTTGTACCAGGAAAGCACTTAATGTTATTGAACTCTTTCCTATCATAACGATATCATTGATTTTCAATGCGAGAATGACCTGAAATCCTGAAAAGAATATTTGTTAGTTGAATGTAAATCTTTTTTACAAATATGTAATTTACGTGTTTTGCTGAACAATTATAAGTGTCATAATAGTCACCCATTATACATATTAAAACGCTGATAATAAATAATTCTATTAACAATACAAAACTGATCAAATCGGTAAGTTGTCTGGCTAGCATTATCAAGTAACAATGTCTTTGAATTAGCGCATTGAAACGATCATATATTTGTGGACTTGTAACATCAAAGTTCATAAAACGAAGCCTTAGAATCTTAACTTGACCGCAAATATGCAATGTAATGTTGAGAAACAATAAGTCGTTACCTTTGAAAAATACATTCATGTGCCGAATTAACTTATTTCATTAAAATACATATTTATATTTATTATTTTATTGTAATTAAAGTTAATGTTTGTAATTAAAAGATATTCATCGCAAAAAATAATAAATAATATTTTTTTTATGTCTAATATACGTATAATATTTTTCTTATGTCTAATATACATATATTTGAAACAATATTTTTTGCATAAGATGGAAGTTTTAAAGTTTCTTTTAAACAAGCAGTACACACGTTAATGCAGTCATATATAATCATTTTTACATTGTTTAATAAAAAAAGAATGATTCTATCATATAATTTACTATGCATGATTAGGAGAACTAGAAGGTTGTAAAATATATCAATGGAATAATTTGCCATATAAAATCATGCAAACTGTAGCGTCTTTAAATGTTCCATAGCCAAAAAAAATGAATAATATTAATAAAATTTATAAACATTTTTATATACAAAGAAGAATAAACTCTTATTTACATTTATAATATTGATTAAAATATTAAACATATAAATTAGGTAAATATTACCAAGATTTGTTGTAGCTGCTATGACTAGTATAACAACTTCGATGAGACAGTAGATTCTATACATGCTCGTTGGAAAATTGAAATATTCCAGAGCGCATCTCGATGGCATTGCATATTTCAATACCGTATCTCTATTCGTTATGTTAATAAAATTATCTTGATTAGAATTCAAGAAAGGAGTTACCCCATATATTAGACAACTAAAGTAAGTAAAGACCACAAAGGAAAAACAAAGAATCCTTCCTATGAAAGCATGTTTTCGCATGATGTCGCGCTCCTTTATATTGTTAATCGTTAGATAATCGTTTAGAGCAGAGTTATAATTGATAATTAAACTGTTTGCATTAATGCGGAACCATATCGTCTTCAGTACACCGAGCAATCCGCAACAAATTAGTGCCAGACAGTCTATATTCTCCTCCATGTCAGTACAGCCCATATATAGCTCCATGGAGGGCAAAATCACAAATAGGATCTATTGATTGACATTTCCCCATACATGATGTTGCATGCGTAGAAAGAATATATCTCACTATCTCAATGAATTTTTATTATTATATATTCTATTTAAATGGAAATGCTATTTTCGCACTCGCGTCTCACATGATTTTCTTTTTCCCATTCTCTCCCTCTTTCCTTTTCTCTCTTTTTCTTTCTCTCTCTCTCTCTTCCTCTTACTTTATAAAATACAATATAAAAAGCACTTTTATCCACATTACTTTATGGAAAATATTATAAAAATAATTATAATATATTTATAAATTTAATATATTTAATTCTTTTATGTAATCTCAATTTTTTTTAAATGTTGCTAAATTATGTATTATTGAAAAAATATATAATAACATATCTTATGAAAATAACAGGTAGAAAATTTCTTTCTAAATATAAAATGTAAAAAACAAAATATAGTATTATTTATAGCTTATATGACATTTATTTTTATATAATTAAAAACTTATTTTTGATATAAAAATTAAAAATGGCGCCAAATAATAGTGTATGTACACCATTTTGTAACAATTTCTTTACATAAATATATATTTTCAACAATTAGCGTGTGTACTGGCGCTATTTTTTTGTCCAAATAGAGAATATTATTATATAATAAATGTCATTTTAATATAAACAAAACAGTATTACTTTATATTTCAAAAAATTGTTATATTAAAAACAAGATGTTTTGCGTAATGGTTATTTTAATTTTTCATAAATTGATACTGCTGATAATTTCCTTAATTTATTATTCAGCATATTAGTGTAAAATATTTTGAATTAAAATTTATATATAATTTCTTATTTTCTAATAGTTTTTAGGCTTAATTTTTTATAAAATTTTTAAACTTTGATATTGATATTTTTATAAAAATTACAACTATTTTGTATCATAAAATATAGCTTTTTTTAGTTAAAATGTTTCTAAAATAAATAAATTTTTGTCCTAGTTGTACATCCTAGTGACGCAATTTTTTTATAATTTTATTTTTATATAGGAAACAAAAATAACCATTATCAAATAATTTGCATTTATTATAACAATTATATATAAATGTTTGTATGTATGTGTGCAGATTGCTTATATAAAGATTGTAAGGATAAACCAACGCTTTTGAACGGGTAAAGTGCAGTAAACCAAAGGTACTGTCAACCATTTTGCAATTTCCACAATAATTATTAAAAGATTAATTAATAAAAACTGGCGAATAAATGCACGTTTTGCATGACTAGATCATATCGACTAGATCATATAGACGTTGAACATATGTTTTAGATATGTTAGTGGCGAGTATTATACGACAACGATAAGTTTGGCCGCATGTACTCACTGTGTGATGCTTTTTAAAGAAATATTTTCACATTGAAACTTTAAGTCATAATATTTCTGCTTATACAACACGAGCAAAAATAAAAATACTTTATATAAAGAACTAAATTATTGATGAAGTATGTTAAGAATTCGATTGATTCCGTTATTAAAATCGTATATAAAATCGTATATAAATCTAAGATATTCTCAACTAGCAGATTTGCATATAGATACACAGAATACCTTGCTGCTGCTACACGTGAAATACTATTATATGAACAATGTAGTGCAAGTCCCATATTATTTCTCTTAATTCTTTTAAAAAATCGTATCATTTTTACACATAATTTAAAAAAAAACATACATAGCTTTCTCCAAAGTATTCCAATATCAATATAAAAAATATTCGTTGTCCTTGTACGCGAATTGTGTGTGTCAGTAATCTTTGAATTACAAAGGATACTTACCGCACAACAAATGCCGAAGACACAACGTAATAGCGAATAAATATCATAAACTTGAAGTGGCCATACACCGATAAGCCATGTAATCAATTTAAAAGGAGTCATCGCATATGCGATATCATTTTTATATTGCTCACTTGTCATTGTCGAAATAATGGCTCTAACTGATAACCTATACCAATAACCTATACCAATAACCCACTCGCTATATCGATACAAGTATTCCAACTTATTTTTTATTCAACATGAAAATTATGCATGCTTATCAGTCGGCCTCTCTTAAAGCATTATAGCAAAATAACTACGATCTTATGGAAAATGTCTTTGAATAAATATTTATGGTACATTTTCCAAATTTTTATCGTCCATCTAGCAACTATTTTTTTTATTGTGCTAAGCCATGTGCGCGTTTTTACTGATGTACTCGTACATTATACTACATTTTATTTTGATAGTCGATAGGCTAACAAACAATGTGGAATAGAAAATTCAAAATTGTTCAAAAATGAAGATATAAATACATAACTTGCTTTTTTATACTGCAAATCAATAAAATTGAGAAAAATACAGAATAATGCGACACATATGTAAGTAATTCTACATATAACAAAATGTCTATCCTCAAATTCAATATAATAAATGCATTAATAGTAATTTTACACGTAGATCCGGAGAATGATGGATCGAAGGAAGAGACGTAACAACTATAATCTCTAAATTGAACGAGAATTATTTGTGTATATAATTTGTTACATATGATTTGGGTCAAACAACTTCTAAGCTAACAGTACCCGATTTTTCGTATGCAAGGTGTAGTAATCATGTTAGTCGAGTTGCTAGAAATTTTGTACGACGCATGCTGACACGTTTTTTATAATAGTTTTAGTGCTATTTTTCTAGTGTGTTTTATTGCTAGTTTATTACAATAATATTTAATCATATATGATAATTAAATTCGCAAAGCACGATGTAAGTTATGGTGCAAGTTTTTTTGAGAGATTCTTTATACGATACTTTATTGTGTGTGTGATTACAGTTCATACTGTTATAGCAAAAACGTTGTTGGTTTTGGCTTCATAAACATAAATTAACATGGCAGGTTAAAATTTTTTGAAAGTCTTTTAAGAATAAATAAAAATCTATTTGCTTTCTTTATGTAAATTTATTTATCTACTTTGATATAAATACTTTCGTATGTTTTTTAAATTTAATACAAAAAAATGTGATACAAATTATAGTTATGATCTAACATATTATTATCCTGGGTTTAGTTCTTATTAGCATAATTTCAATATTTGTGTTTTACATGAAAGACTTATTAATCTTTTAAATATACCCATATACAGGGTAGACCGATAACTCTGTCCACCTGGAATATCTCCGTTATTTTTAGAGATATAATATTTATATATATACAATATACAATAATATTTTATCATTTCAAAATTAACAATATACATATGATATATACATACATGATATGTGATATATACATAAGATGGATATAACAAATTTTTTAACTCTACAAATCTTCATTAATAAAGTTTTATAAATTCTTTTAGAATAATAGAGGATAGAAAACTTTTTACACAATAATGAATTAATAATAATTGTAATATACGATTGATACAGAATAAGAGATTAATAATAAATATAATATATAATATATGATTGATCATAATTGCAGTCAATATAAAACATACAAGAAAAATAGCATCAGAATTACCATCAATGTTAGTAAACACAGCAGCACGCACCGCTCAAAATTTCTAACAATTCGACCAATATGATTGTCAGGCGTTTTGCATGCGACTTGAACAGGAAAAATCACATCATGTGCCACGTCCTTAAGTTTTATCAACAATATTCCTTATCCTCTTCAAAGAACTATTCTTTTATGTCATAGTTCCAAATTGCAAAGAAGATTCGTGTTGTTCCATTATTCGATTAATTCCACCGTTCGATACTTTTCTCTCAATTTTTTCTCTCAGTTGTTTATTAATACCGTTATTAACAAACAAAAGATCTTGCTTTGTTATTCCACCAATCTGACAATCATGGCCGCAATTTCACAAAAGGAAAGAATAATGAAATTAGTAGAATGTAACATTAATTTAAATTCATGATATTATTGATATTGCAGGAAAATAGGATGAGATATAAACAGATTGTGAATAAAGCTTATTAACGTGGCGTTTTAATAAACTTTTTAACATACTTTTTCATGTATTTTTATTTTAAAATAATATATTATATTATTTCGAACATATCATATATGTATATACAGTTTGCACAGAACTCTATCATTTCCATCGTATATTTCATACTCCGACCATTATACGAAGTACAGATATATACGAAAAAGAGGTTTTTAAAATGCTTACATAGGTTGGTAAATTGATAATGATAAAGCTTCCAGCCTGAAGCATGACTGGAGATTTTACCTGCATAAGAATAAAGATAACGTTTCTTGTCAATTTCCTAGGAAAACTGTACCAAGCACTTTGATAAATAGAGAGTCCTATATCCTCCATTTCAGATTTCAGATAATTCCCGATAGAGCTAAATAACGTTAGTTGTATTAGGAAGCCACTTAATGTTATTACACTTTTTCCTATCATAACGATATCATTGACCTTCAATGCGAGGATGAGCTGAAATCCTGAAAAGAATATTTATTAGTTGAATGTAAACCTTTTTTATAAATATGTAATTTACATATTTCGCTGAACAATCGTAAGTGTCATATATAATAGTCACCAATTATACATATTAATATGCCGATTAGAAATAGTTCTATTAGCAAAACAAAACTGATTAAATCGGTAAGTTTTCTGGCTAGCATTATCAGGTAACAATGTCTTTGAATTAACGCATTGAAACGATCATATATTCGTGGACTTGTAACATCGAAGTTCATGAAACGGAGCCTCAGAATGTTAACTTGACCGCAAATATGCAATGTAATGTTGAGAAACAATACGTCGTTACCTTTAAAAAATGCATTTATGTGGCGAATTAACTTATTGCATTGAAATACACATTTATATTTATTATTCTATTGTAATTAAAGCTAAATTTTCTTAATTAAAATTTATGTATCACAAAAAAAACAATTAATATTTTTTTTACGTTTAATATACATATATTTGAATCATAATATTTTTTGTATAAGCCGCAAGTTTTTTAAAAACTTAAAGTTTCTTTTAAATAAGCAGTTAAAAAACACGTTAAAGCTGTCATATATAACTATTTTTACATTGTTTAATAAAAAAAAAGATTGTACCATCTAATTTATTATGCATGATTAGGAGAATTGGAAGATTTTGAAATATATTAACGAAATAGTTTGTTATATAGAACCATACAAAATATAGCATCTTTGTAATGCTTTCCATAGTCAAGAAAAAATAAATAATATTAATAAAATTAATAAACACATTTATATACGAAAAATAATAAACTTTTGTTTACATTTGTACTATTGATTAAAATATGAATTATACATATAAATTAAGTAAATATTACCAAGATTTGCTGTCGCTGCTGTGACTAGTATAACAATTTCGATGAGACAGTAGATTTTAAACATGCTCGTTGGAAAATTGAAATATTCCAGAACACATTTCGATGGAATTGGATATTTCAATATTGTATCTCTATTCGTTATGTTAATGCGATTATCTTGATTGTAATTCATGAAAGAATTTACCCCATACATTAGACAACTAAAGTAAGTAAAAGCCAATAAAGAAGAGCAAAAAATCTTTCCTATGAAAGCATGTTTTCGCATGATGTCGCGCTCTTTTATATTGTCTATCGTTAGATAATCATTTAAAGCAGAATTATAATTGATAATTAAACTATTTGTATTAATACGGAACCATGTCATTTTCAGTACACCGAGCAATCCGCAACAAATTAGTGTCAGACAGTCTATATTCTTCTCTATGTCAGTACAGCCAAAGTATAGCTCCATGGAAGGCAAAACCACAAATAGAATCTGTTGATTGACATTTCTTCATACATGATGTTGCGTGCTTAGGAAGAATATATTGTACTACTAACTTAATGAATTTTTGTTACTATATATTCTATTTAAATGGCAAATGCTATTTTTTCACTCGCGTTTCACATCTTTTTCGCTTCTCCATTCTAGCTCAATTTTTCTCTCTCTCTCTCTCTCTCTCTCTCTCTCTCTCTTTCTCTCTCTCTCTCTCTCATTTTATAAATATAAAATATATTTCTAAATATAAAATATAAAAAACAAAATTTTAGTATTATTTAGAGCTTATGTGACATTTATTTTTATATAACTAAACACTTATTTTTGACAAAAAAATGCGCCAAGTAATAGTGTATGTACACCATGTCATTTTAATATAAACAAAACAGTATTACTTCATATTTCAAAAAATTGTTATATTAAAAACAAGATATTTCGCGTAATGATTATTTTAATTTTTCATAAACTGATGCTATTAATTTTCCTACTTTATTATTTAACATATTAATGCAAAGTATTTTTAATTAAAATTTATATGTATTTTCTAATTTTGTAATAGTTTTTAAGCTTAATTTTTGAAAAAGTTTTTAAACTTTGATATTAATATTTTTATAAAAATTAGTTAAACTAATTTGTATCATAAAATATAGCTTTTTTTAGTTAAAATGTTTCTAAAATAAATAAATTTTTGTCCTAGTTGTACATCCTAGTGGCGCAATTTTCTTAATTTTATTTTTATATAGGAAACTAAACTAACCATTACCAAATAATTTGCATTTATTATAACAATTATATATAAATGTTTGTATGTATGTGTGCACATTGCTTATAAAGATTATAAAGATAAACCAATGTTTTTGAACGGGTAAAGTGCAGTAAACAAAAGGATCTGTCAACCATTTTGCAATTTCAACAATAATTATTAAAAGATTAATTAATGAAAACTGGCGAATAAGTGCACGTTTTGCACGATTAGATCGTGGAACATATGTTTTAGATATGTTAGTAGCGAGTATTATACAACAACGATAAGTTTGACCGTATGTACCCACTGTGTGATGCTTTTTAAAGAAATATTTTTACATTGAAACTTTAAGTCGTAATATTTCTACTTATAGAACACGAGCAAAAATAAAAATACTTTGTATAAAGAACTAAATTATTGATTAAGTATGTTAAGAATTCGATTGATTCCGTTATTGAAATTGATAATTTAAGATATTCTCAACTAACAGATTTGCATATAGATACACGGAATATCTTGCTGCTGGTACACATGAAATACTATTATATAAACAGTGTAGTGCAAGTATATTATTTCTTTAAATTCTTTTAAAAAATCATATTATTTTTACACATAATTAAAAAAATAAATAAATAGATTATAAAATTTCGAAGGGAATTTTTCTTAATATTAGAATTTTTAATGACTTATAATCATGTTGATTTATAACTCATATATCATTATTATATCTGACAAAAGCCATTCATCACATGATGTTATCAAGAATTCAAGGTATATAGTCTTGACATGTTCATCGTTACAACGCTTTCTCCAAAGTATTCCAATATCAATATAGAAAATATTCGTTGTCCTCGAACACGAATTATGTGTGTCAGTAATCTTTGAGTTACAAAAGGATACTTACCGCACAACAAATGCCGAAAACACAACGTAATAGCGAATAAATATTATAAACTTGAAGTGGCCATACACCGATAAGCCATGTAATCAATTTAAAAGGAGTCATCGCATATGCGATATCATTCTTATATTGTTCACTTATCATTGTCGAGGTAATGGCTCTAACTGATGCCAATAACCTATGATCCACTCGCTATATCGATACGATGCAAGTATTCCAACTTATTTTTTATTCAACATGAAAATTATGCATGCTTATCAGTCGGCCTCTCTTAAAGCATTATAGCAAAATAACTACGCTCTTATGGAAAATGTCTTTGAATAAATATTTATGGTACATTTTTTAAATTGTTATCGTCCATCTAGAAACTATTAATTTTTTTTATTGTGCTAACCATGTGCGCGTTTTTACTTACTGATGTATTCGTACATTATACTACATTTTATCTTGATATTTGCTAGGCCAACAAAAAATATAGAATAGATTCAAAAATTATTCAAAGATGAAAATATAAACACATAATTTGCTTTTTTATACTGCAAATCAATGAAATCGACAAATACAGAATAATGCGACACATATGTAAGTAATTCTACATATAAAAAAACGTCTATCCTCAAATTCAATATAATAAATGCATTAATAGTAATTTTACACATAGATCCAAAAAATGATGGATCAAAGGAAGAGGCGTAACAAGTATAATCTCTAAATCGAACGAAAATCATTTGTGCATATAATTTGTTACATATGATTTGGGTCAAACAACTTCTAAGCTGACAGTACACGATTTTTCGTATGCAAAGTGTAATCATGCTAGTCGAGTTGCTAGAAATTTTGTACGAAGCATGCTGACACGTTTTTTATGATAGTTTTAGTGCTATTTCTCCAGTGTGTTTTATTGCTCGATCATTACAATAATATTTAATCACATATGATAATTAAATTTGCAAAGCGCGATGTAAGTTATGGTGCAAATTTTTTTTTTAAGAGATTCTCTATGCGATATTTTATTGTGTATGTGATTATAGTGCATATTGTTATGGCGAAAACGTTATTGGTTTTGGCTTCACAAACATAGATTAACATGGCAGGTTAAAATTTTTTATCTATTTGCTCTCTTTATGTAAATTTATTTATCTATTTATTTATCTACCTTGATATAAATACTTTCGTATGTTTTTTAAATTTAATACAAAAAAATGTGATATAAGATATAGCTATGAGATATAGCTCTAACATATTATTATCCTGGGTTTAATTCTTATTAGCCTGCATAATTTAAATATTCGTGTTTTATATGAAAGACTTATTAATCTTTTAAATATACCCATATATATTACACAAATGTAATTCTTTATATAGCATTGTTAAATAATTTGACTTATATTCCTGTTATAGCCAATGCTTAAATTTTGTTTAATTTATTTCATTTTTTCTTTCTTTCGATAATTAACAAAAGTGGAACTACAGTTAATTTTAAATTTTTTTTATTTTTAGTTTCTATAATTATATTTATTGTGTGTGTGTGTGTGTTTCTAAGATATACAATAATATTTTATCATTTCAAAATTAACAATACACATGGTATATACATATATGATGTATGATATATACATATCGAAATAATAAATTTTTTAACTCTACAAATCTTCATTAATAAAGTTTTATAAATTCTTTTAGAATAATAGAGAATAGAAAACTTTTTACAAAATAATGGATTAATAACAATAGTAATATACGACACAGATGATAATAATTATAATATATAATGTATGATTGATCATAATTGCAGTCAATATAAAACACACAAGAAAAATAGTATCGGACTTACCATCAGTGTTAGTAAGCACAGCAGCACGCAAAATTTCTAACAATTCGACTAACATCATTGTCAGACGTTCTGCATGCGACTTGAACAGGAAAAATCACATGTGCGACGTCCTTAAGTTTTATCAACGATATTTCTTATCATTTAGAGAACTATTCTTTTATCATAGTTTCATTCTTTTGTCAGTAAGTTTCAAATTGCAAAGAAGATTAATGTTGTTCCATTATTCGATTAATTCCACCGTTCGATATATTTCTCTCAATTTTTTCTCTCAGTTGTTTATTAATATCGTTATTAACAAGCAAAAGACCTTATTGATCTTCTTTATCCCAATCAATCTGACAATCATGAACGCAATTTCACAAAAGGAAAGAATAATGAAATTAGTAGAATGTAACAATTATTTAAGTTTATGATATTATTGATATTGTATAGGAAAATTGGATAAGATATAAACAGATTGTAAATAAAGCTTATTAACGTGACATTTTAATAAATACTTTTTTATATATTTTTATTTTAGAACAATATATTATATTATTTTTAACATATCAAATACATATATACAGTTTGCACAAAACTCTATCATTTCCATCTTATATTTCATACTCCGACCATTATGCGAAGTACAGATATATATGAAAAAGAGGTTTTTAAAATGCTTACATAGGTTGGCAAATTGATAACGATAAAACTTCCAGCTTGAAGCATGACTGGAGATTTTACCTGCATAAGAATAAAGATAACGTTTCTTGTCAATTTGCTAGGAAAACTGTACCAAGCACTTTGATAAATAGACAGTCCTATCTCCTCCATTTCAGATTTCAGATAATTCCCGATAGAACTAAATAACGTTAGTTGTATCAGGAAAGCACTCAGTGTTATTAAACTCTTTCCTATCATAACGATATCATTGACTTTCAATGCGAGGATGAGCTGAAATCCTGAAAAGAATATTTGTTAGTTGAATGTAAATCTTTTTTGTAAAATGTAATTTACATGTTTCGCTGAACAATTATAAGTGTCATATATAATAGTCACCAATTATACATATTAATATGCCGATTATGAATAGTTCTATTAACAATATGAAACTTATCAAATTAGTAAGTTTTCTGGCTAGCATTATCAGATAACAATGTCTTTGAATTAACGCGTTAAAACGATCATATATTCGTGGACTTGTAACATCGAAGTTCATGAAACGGAGCCTCAGAATGTTAACTTGACCGCAAATATGCAATGTAATGTTGAGAAACAATACGTCGTTACCTTTGGAAAATGCATTCATGTGCTGAATTAACTTATTGCATTAAAATACACATTTATATTTATTATTCTATTGTAATTAAAACTAATTTTTGTAATGAAAAGATATGTATCACAAAGAATAACAAATAACATTTTTCTTATATCGAATATACATATATTTAAAACATAATATTTTTTTATATAAAGCGCAAGTTTTCCAAAAATTTAAAGTTTTTTTCAAACAAGCAGTTATGAAACACATTAAAGCTGTTATGTATAATTATTTTTACATTGTTTAATAAAAAAAAAGATTCTACCATCTAATGTATTATGTATAATTAGAAGAACTGGAAGATTTTAAAATAAATGGAGCAGTTTACTATATAAAACCATGCAAATTGTAGTATCTTTGCTTATGCTTTCCATAGCCAAAAATAAATGCATAATATTAATAAAATTAATAAATATTTATATATGAAGAGTAATAAACTTTTGTTTACTTTTGTAATATTAATTAAAACATAAATTATTCATATAAATTATGTAAATATTACCAAGATTTGCTGTTGCTGCTATGATTAGTATAACAATTTCGATGAGACAGTAGATTTTATACATGCTTGTTGGAAAATTGAAATATTCGAGAGCACATCTCGATGGTATTGCATATTTCAATACCGTATCTGTATTCGTTATGTTAATGAGATTATCTTGATTCAAAAAAGGAATTACTCCATGTATTAGACAACTAAAGTAAGTAAAGGCCAGGAAGAAAAAGCAAAGAATCCTTCCTATGAAAGCATGTTTTCGCATGATGTCCCGCTCGTTTGTATTGTCAATCGTTAGATAATCGTTTAAAGCAGAATTATAATTGATAATTAAACTATTCGTATTAATACGGAACCATGTCGTCTTCATAACACCGAGCAATCCGCAACAAATTAGTGTCAGACAGTCTATATTCTCCTCTATGTCAGTACAGCCAAAGTATAGCTCCATGGAAGGCAAAACCACAAAAAGAATCTGTTGATTGACATTTCTCCATACATGATATTGCGTACTTAGGAAGAATATATCTTACTATTAACTTAATGAATTTTTATCACTACATATTCTATTTAAATGATAAAAATGCTATTTTCTCACTCGCGTTTCACATCTTTTTCGCTTTTTCATTCTAGCTCAATCTCTCTCTCTCTCTCTCTCTCTCTCTCTCTCTCTCTCTCTCTCTCTCTCTCTCTCTCTCTCTCCCCCCCCCTCTCATTCTCACTCACTCACTTATTATTTATTCTTATCTTGTACAGATTCTTCACATAACTGATAAATAATTGTTATCGCACGTGATACACTGTTAACGCATTTCTTTTTTTAAGTCGTTTTCGTAATAAATTTATATCGAGTGTATGATTAGTAATTGAATGAGTTAATCATTCATAACTTCGTTGGTAAATTTTATTGATTGTGATTAAGTGCATGAGTAAATTAGTAAATAACGATAAAAGAAAAGAAAAAACTTCGCTTTCATCTAACACGATGTGTCAGAGTGTTTGTGTATGTATTAGGGAAGTCTCATTGTTATCAACGTGTAAGAATTATTTATTAGCAATATGAAGAATCTCTATAAGATAAAAATAAATAATAAATAATTGAATGAGAATGAAAAAGAAAGGACGAAAGAGAGGGGGGAGAGAGAGAAAGGAGTGAGAGAGAGAGAGAGAGAGAGAGAGAGAGAAAATTAACGTGCGTGTGTGTATACGCTTGCGTATACATTCTTTCTCTCTCTCTCGTTCTCTTTCTCTCTCCCACACACTGATTGCTACATTCATCGCGTATCCGCGATCAGCTGATCGGGGCGAGCGGCCCACGTAATGGCCATCACACATAAATTTCCATAAGCACGTAAGATATATGCTTAAGGAAATCGATCAATCACGGTCGAATATTAGCCCCTTGAAGAACCTTATTATGTGCTTATGAAATTTTATATGTGATAGCCATAATCGTGTATATCGGACGGTCAATCACGCCGTCCCTGCCTACCTCTTGTACTCGTTCCGTAATTAGTTAATTATTTTCCCTTGTAGTTTAAAAACTAACCTCCGGGCAAAATTTTGCAAAAGGAAAAATTGTTTTAGAATTCACTCAACAATTCGATATTTTAAAGACAAATGTTTGTTTAGAATCATCTTGTATATCATTTTATAATAATTCCTTTACATAAATATATATTTTTCACAATTAGTGCGTGTGCGCCTCTTTTCGTCAAATAGAGAATACATTTATACAATAAATGTCATTTTAATATAAACGGAATATTATTATTACTTTACGTTTCAAAAAATTGTTATATTAAAGACAAAGTATTATGCATAACAAATATTTTAATTTTTCATAAGCTGATATTACTAATAAATTTATTATTTTGCAGCATATTAGTGCCAAGTATTTTTTTATATATATTTTCTTATTTTGTAATAATTTTTAGGTTTAATTTTTGAAAAAATTTTTAAATCTTAATATTAATATTTTTATGAAAATTAGAACTACTATTTTGTATTATGTAACATAATTTTTTTAAGTTAAAATGTTTTCTAAAGTAAGTAAATTTTTATCTCAGTTATGTGTGCGTAATTTTTTTATAATTTTACTTTTGTATAGGAAACTAAAATAACTATTACAAAATAATTTGCATTTATTACGACATATATATATATATGTGTGTGTGTGTGTGTGTGTGTGTGTGTGTGTATGCAAATTCTCTATATACAGATTATAGCAACGCTTTTAAACAGATAAAGTGCAGTAAACAAAATATCCAGTCAACTACTTTGCAATTTCTACAATAATTATTAAAATAAATGATAAAATGAATGATATGATAAAATGAATGATAAAATGAATGGTATGATAAAATGAATGATAAAATGAATGATAAAATGAATGATATGAATTAATAAAAATTGGCGAGTGCACGCTTCGCATGATTAGATTATGGAATGTAAGCTTTAGATATGCTAATAGCGATTACTACACGGCAAAAATAAATTTGCCAAATGAATCCGAAGTGTGACGCTTTTTAAAGAAATATTTTCACATTGAAACTTTAAATCATACATATTTCTGTTTATAGAACACGAGCAAAAATTAAAATGCTTTATATAAAGAACTAAATTATTGATTAAGTATATTAAGAATTCGATTGATTCCGTTATTGAATCGATAATTTAAGGTATTCTCAACTAGCGGATTTGCATGTAGATACACGGAATACCTTGCTGCTACTACACGTGAAATACTATTATATATAAACAGTGTAGTGCAAGTCCCATATTATTTCTCTAAGTTCTTTTAAAAAATCATATCATTTTTACACATAATTTAAAAGAAATATACATAGATCATAAAATTTCAAAGGAAATTTTTCTTAATATTAAAATTTTTAACGACTTACAATCATGTTGATTTATAATTCATATATTATTATTACATCTGACAAAAGCGATTCATCACATGATGTTATCAAGAATTGAAAATGTAAAATCTTGATATCTTCATCGATATACTCAAGCCCTTTCTCCAAAGCATTTCAATATCAATGTAGAAAATATTCGTCGTCTTCGCACACGAATTGTATGTACCAGTGACTTTAGAGTTACAAAGGATACTTACCGCACAAAAAATGCCGAAAACACAACGTAAGAGCGAATAAATATCATAAACTTGAAGTGGCCATACACCGATAAGCCATGTAATCAATTTAAAAGGAGTCATCGCGTATGCGATATCATTCTTATATTGTTCACTTGTCATTGTCGAGATAATGGCTCTAACTAATGCTAATAATCGATGATCCACTCGCTATATCGATGCGACGCATTTCTACTCATTTATTATTCAATGCGAAAAGTATACATGCTTATCAATCTGCCTTTCTTAAAGCATTATGGCAAAATGCAAGTACAACTCCGCATTTACGTAAAATTGTCGTTGAGTAAAAATTTATATGATACAATTTTCCTAAATTGTTACCGTCCATCTTGCAACTCTATTTTTTATTTTCCAAGATCATATATGCGTTTTGCTTATATATTCGCTTATATATTTCGCTTATATACTTGTATTGTATCTCGATATTCGATTGGCTAGCAATAATTATAGTATAGATTCAAAAATGAAAATAAGTAGATAACTTGTTTTTTTTTTATATTATAAGCCAATAAAATTAACAGAGAATTATGCGTGATGTAAGTAATTCTGTCAGAAAATGTCTGTTTTCAAATTCAATATAATAATTCATTAATAATTATTTTATGTCTATGTCCAGATAATGATGGATCGAAGGAAGAGGCATAATAACTGTAATCTCGAACTCGGATGAGATACATGATAAAAGTGAAATAAATTCTAGGCCCGCGACACATGATGCGATTTTTTCGTGTTAAATCGCATGCGAGATTATTATTACAATTATTAGCAATCATGCTAGCTGAGCCGATAGAAATTTTGCACGATACATGCTACTATGCATGTTAATATGTTAGTTATTGATGATAATGCTATCTTATCAGCATATTTTATTGCTAGATGATTGCAATAATATTCAATCATTTATTATCCTCTGTTATAAAAATCAAAAATTCATACTTCTTCATAAATTAAGGTTTATAAAAAATAAAGTTTTTAAAATATTGTTCTATCGATTATATATAATTAATGTAATTGAAGCAAAGAAATGTAATTTAAGTTTACATATTATTTATATTGCATAGAAAAAATGTATTTATTTCTATTATATAAATAGTGACTGTGGATAAAATTTATTAACGTGACATTTTAATAAATACTTCTTCATTTTTTATTTTGAAAACAATATGTTGTACTATTTCGAACATACGAAATATTTACAGTTTGCAAAGAATTCTATCATTTGCATCTTATATTTCACACTTCGAGCATTAAACGCAGTATAGATAAATATGAAAAAGAGGTTTTTAAGATGCTCACATAAGTTGACAAATTGATTGCGATGAAATTTCCAGCTTGCAACGCGACTGGAGACTTTGCCTGCATAAGAATAAAAATTACGTTTCTTGCCAATTTCCTAGGAAAACTGTACCAAGCACTTTGATAAATAGAGAGTCCTATTTCTTCCATTTCAGATTTCAGATAATTCCCAATAAAACTATACAATGTTAATTGTGTCAGAAAAAGACTCAGTGCTACTACACTCTTTCCTATCATTACGATGTTATTGATTTTCAACGCGAAGATAAATTGAAATCCTGAAAAAAGAATATTTGTCTATTGAAGTCTTCCTTTTTATGAATATGAAATATGAATGTGTGTAATTTACATATATCGCTCAACAATTATATAAGAAACATAATACTTACCCATTACACATAATAATATACTGATCATGAAAAGTTTTATCAGCAATATAAAACTGATTAGATCGGCAAGTTCTCGGACCAATGTTATTAAATGTTGATGTCTTTGAATTAGCGCCTTGAAACGATCACAAATTCGCGGACTTATGACATCAAAATTGATGAAATGGAGTCTCAAAATGTTTACTTGACCACAAACATGTAATGTAATGTGAAGAAACAAAGCGTCGTTACCTTTGGGAAATATTGTACATTAATGCACAAGATTATTTTGTTGCAATATTTGTTATTCTATTATATTTAAATTATTATTTTTAGGCAAAAGATATGTATCAAAATATAAAGCAAATTATATTGCTTTTATATTATTTAATACATCTAATATTTTATAGATATATACATAACATAACATAATATGCATTGCGTAAGACGTAACTTTTGTGGCGTAAGTTTTGTTTTTGCACAAACAGTAATGTGAAATTATAAGTAACTATATTTCCATTTATATCTTCGTTTTCAAAAATATTATGTCATTTAATCTAATATGATTGATTAAGAAGACTAGGAAGATATAATACATTTCGGACCATTTTAATGGAATAGTTTATCAGAAATTTAAATTTTCGCTCTTATGCAATGTCACATAATCAATTAATTATTGCATTTTAATGAAATTAATAATAATTTTTATACAGAATAATATATTTAATAAAAATTTTTATATAGAATAATAAATTTTTTAATAAGAAAATTTGTGTTTCCAAGTAATATCAGATAAGACACCCAAAAAATACTCATAAATAATAAGGTCATTATCACAATTAGGTTATTACCAAGATTAGTCGTAGTCCCCAATACCATCACAATACTTTCAATGAGGCAGGAAATTTTATACATGCTTCTTGGAACATTGAAATATTCTAGAGTACATCTTGACGGTAGTGCATACTCTAATATTTTATCCTCGTTTGTTACATTAATCCCTTTACCTTGGTCGTAATTCAAAAAAGGAGTTATTGCATATATTACACAATTAAAGTAAGAAAAGCCCAACATGGAACAGCAAATAATCCTTCCTACAAAGGCATGTTTTCGCATAATGTCGCGATCGTGTGTGTTGTCAATCGTCAGATAATCGTTCAGAGCAGAGTCATAATTGTTAATTAAATTATTTGCATATAGGCGGAACCATGTCGACTTCAGCACACCGAGCAATCCACAACAGATTGTTGTTAGACAAGTTATATTCTGTTCTACGTCAGTACAGCCCAAGTATACCTCCATAGAAGGGAAGATCACAAATAGGATCTGTTGACATTTCCATACATATTTCGTGATCAGAAAAAATATATTTCACTATTAATACCACTACTACTACTTCAATGAATTTTTAAAACTAAATGTACTCTATTTTAATTGAAATACTATTTTCTCACTCGCAAGCTTCTTCTCTCTCCCATTCTCAATTTTCCCCAATATCTGTCTTCCTTTCTCTCATTCTAAAATTTCTAAAATACGATATAAAAGAAATGCTTGCTTTTACACTGTTTTCTAAATGTAAAGTATAAATGAGTTATACGTATAATTATATATTTATATATTTAGTATTTGTATATTTAATTGTATGTAATTCTTAAATCTTTAAAATGATGTTAAATCGTATGTTATAGAAAAAATATATGTGTAATACCATAATTCATAAACATATAAATAGAAAATTTCTTTTTGCCAAAATATATATCAAAAATATAACAAAATTTAATGTTATGTAGAGCTTATATGATATTTAGTATATTATTTTTAATATTTTCATCTCTAAGAAATTATCTTTTTAAGAAAAAATAAAAAAGAAGTGTCAAGTATACACCTCTCAATTGTTACAAATATAAATTTATATATTATAAAGAAATATATATATAAAATAATATATATAAAATAATAATATATTAAAATAATAATATATTAAAAATAATGTATATAAAAATTTATATAAAAAAATTTTCTTCTTAATTAGCGCAATTTTTTTATACCTTTATTTTTGTGGGAAATGAAAATAATTATTGCAAAAGAATTTGTATTTAATATAATAATTATATATACAAATTGCATTATGCAAATTGACTCATAAAAATTGTACTAACTCTTCTCAAGATAGTCTCTTGTCTCATTTTGCAATTTTAGTAATAATATTTGAAACATTAATTCTTAAATAGGAGAATGAACACATTTCGTGCGACTAGTGAAAATGTATTTTAGATGTACTAGCAATAAGTGGAATAAGGTAACAAAAAAATTGAAGGCATGTGAAGCCCAAAATGTGTTGCTTCTTAAAGCAAAATTTTTGCATCGAGACTTTGCATCATAATATCTTTACTTATAGAACACGAGCAAAAATAAAAACACTTTCTTTATGTAAAGAACTATTGATTAAATCATCACATATTTAATCAAACTATTGATTAAATATGTTAAAAACGATTAGTTCTGTTATTTAAATCAATAATCTAAAGTATTCTCAACTAACAGATTCCCATATAGATATATAAGGTACCTTGCTGCATTTCTCAAAAAGAATCATATGATTTTTACATATGATTAAAAAAATATACACACAAATCATAAAATTAAAAAAAAATCTCTTTCCTAATGTTACAATTTCTCAATAACTTACAAACATACTGATTTATAATTCATATATCATTATTATAAACAAAAGCGATTCATTACATGCATTATCAAGAATTGAAAATATACAATCTTGTTATTTTATTATTACACCGAAATTTTCTTCAGAACATTGTAATATTAACGTAGAAAATATTCTTCGTCGTCTTCTTACACGAATTGTGTGTGCTAACGATCTTTGAGTTACAAAGAAAGAATACTTACTGCACAACAAGTGCCTAAGCTACAACGAAATAGTGAATAAATGTTATAAACTTGAAGTGGCCAGACGCCGATAGGCCATGTAATCAATTTGAAAGGAGTCATTGCGTATGCGATATCGTTCTTCCATCGTTCATTTGCCATTATGGTGATAATGGCTCTAACTGATGCCAATAACCTATGATCCTCTCGCTATATCGAGACACATTCCTACTCATATATTATTCAACGTGAAAAATATATATGATTATCAGTCTGCCTCTCTTAAAGTATTATGGCAAAATGCAAGTACAACTTCGCATTTACGTAAAATTTTTATTGAGTAAAAATTTATGTAATACATTTTCTAAATAGCTACCGACCATCGAGTAACTGTTTCTTTTGTTGAATGGAATCATATGCAGTATCAATATATTCACACGTTGTGCAACATTTCAATTCGATATTAGTTTAGCTTACAATAAATAGTATAGGTTTAATTTTCAAAAGTGAAAATAAGAGAAGATAACTTGCCTTTTTTATTTTACAGACCAACAAAATCAATTGTTGGAGAATTACGTGACATGGGTAAGTAATTATATCAAGAAGTATATATCAAGAAAAGTCTGTGCTCGAATTTAATGTAATAAGGTACTTACAATTATTTCAAAATATGCGTATATTATTGAAAGAAATATTAATTCGGTACGAACAGATTAATGTGGATAATAAGCTTAACATAATATTTTAATAAATACTACTTCATATATTTCTATTTTGTAAGCATTACATTATATTATCGAACGTATTATTAAATATTTACAATTTGCACAGATATCTTTCATTCGTATTTTATATTTCATACTCCAAGCATTATACGAAGTACAGACAAATATGAAAAAGAGGTTTTTAAAATACTCACATAAGTTATAAGATTGACTACGATGTAATTTCCAGCCTGCAACACGACTGGATGTTTCGTCTGCATAAGAATAAAAATTACGTTTTTTGTTAATTTTCTGGGGAAACTGTACCAAGCACTTTGATAAACAGAAAGCCCTATTTCTTCCATTTCAGATTTCAGGTAATTTCCAATAAAACTATACAGCGTTAGTTGTGTTAGGAATATAATCTGTACCATTAAACTCTTTCCTATCATAACGGTGTTATTGACTTTTAATGCAAAAATGAACTGAAAACCTAAAGAGAATATTTTTCTCCTAAATATAAATCTTTTTTTGAATTTTTTACTTATTTAACAGAATATTCACCCGTGGTACATAATAATAAGCTGATCATAAAAAGTTCTATCAATAATATGAAACTGATCAGATCGGCAAGTTCTCTGGCCAGCGTTATTAGATGTTGATGTCTTTGAATTAGCACGTTGAAACGATCACAGATTCGTGGACTTATGACATCAAAGTTGATGAAATGGATCCTCAGAATATTTACTTGACCACAAATATGCAATATAATGTTGAGAAACAATACGTCGTTACCTTTCGGAAATGCATGATTGCATGAAATGCACGGAATTGTTTTATTGCATTAATAATCAAAAGTACTATTCTGTTATACTTAAATTATTAATTTTGTAATTAAATTATGTGATATATATATGTGTATATATATATATATATATATATATATATATATATAATATATCACAGCAAATATCATGCAAATTTTTGCGTCTTAGCAATGTTGTCAATAATTATTAGATAAGTGCGTAAAATTAATAAAATTAATAAAATCTTTATGTATATGAAATAATATACAAAAAAATTATATAAAAAAGTTCTTGTTTCTAAATAATATTAGATAAGACATAAAATATTCATAAAAAGTAATTATTACCAAGATTAGCTGAAGTCGCCAGTATTGTTATAATAGTTTCGAGAAGACAGGAAATTGTATGCATGCTCGTTGGAAAATTCAAATATTCCAGAGCGCATCTTGATGGCATTGCGTATTCTAATATCACACCTTCGTTTGTTATATTGATCCAAGTATCTCGGTAGTGATTAAAAAAAGGAATTATCCCATATATTACACAACTAATGTAAGAAAAGCCCAGCATGGAATAACAAAGTATCCTTCCTATAAAAGCATGTCTTCGCATAATTTCGCGCTCTTTTGTGTTTTCAATCGTCAGATAATCGTTCAGAGCGGAGTTGTAATTGTTAATTAAACTATTTGCATAAATGCGGAACCATATTGTCTTCAACATGCCAAGTAATCCAGAACATATTGATGTCAGACAAACTATATTTTGCTCTACATCAGTACAGCCCAGATATAGCTCCATGGAAGGCAAGATCGCAATTAAACTCTGTTGATTGATATTTTCCAATACATGTGAAAGTTCGTGCTCAAAAAAATATATCTCACTCCTAATTTAATAAATTTTTAGCAATAAATATTTTATTTAAATGTAAATGCTAGTTTCTTATTTTTATGTTTTTTCTCCTTCCCATTTTCAATTTTCAAGTACAATTTCTCTCAATTTCTTTCTCTCTCTTTTACTCTATAAAATACGATATAAAAATAACATATTTTATCAGACTAATTTGTAGATGCAAAGCATTATACATATATATAATCATATATTTATAAATTTAATCTTTATATAATTAATTTTATCTAACTTATTCTATTCTTACTTATTAAAATTACGTGAAATTGTATATTATTGAAATAGTATATATATTGTACAATAACATAAATTGTAAGTAGGAAAATATTTTTTACATTATAAAATATAAAAAATATATAAAATACAACAAATTCTAATATTTTTTTAAAAATAAAGCTTGTATGATATTTTGTAACATATAATAACTAAAAATTTAAAAAAATAAATATAAAAAAATAAATATAAAAATAAATATAAAAATAAATATAAAAATAAATATAAAAATAAATATAAAAATAAAAAAAATAAATATAAAATGCTATGTACACACGCCAGTTGCAAAATTTGCATTATATATTATAATATAGTTACTAAATATAACATGCAATATATTTTTACAAAATATTGTTATTTTAAAATGTGTACTATAGTTATATATATTTAAATTTAAAAAATTGTTCAAAAAATTATTCAAAAATTGTTTAAAAAATTATTCAAAATAATTTAATTTTAAACATGATTTTTTAATTAAATGTATTAATCAAAAATCGTTAAAATTAATGACATAAATATTATTATGGATATTGCTCAAAAATTGCACATAAATTCTCCTTTATTTTCAAATTTTAATATCTATTACTTGTTAAATCTCAGAGTTATTAAATTTTGTCAAATCTTAGAGCCATTAACGCAATCACCTGTCAAAAGCAAAAACTATACAAAATGATTAATATTATATTTTATTAATATTTGATTAATATTATATTAATATATTACGTATATAACAATCGGCGATGATGTTTCATAAAAAAATATTTTTACATTGAAAATTTGCATTGTAACATCTCTTTTTATAGAATACATACCGAAAAGACATTTTCTTTATATAATTGAAACTCAAACTACCGATTAAATTTATTACGAATTTAATTGGTTCAGCTATTATTAAAATACAATAATTTAAGATACTTTCAAATTTCGATAGATATATAGGATGCGCGTGAACTTGATTTAACACTATCGTGTCACTTGGTTTCATTATACATACAACTGTTATGAATCATGAAACAAGTAGTATAAAACGTATTAAATTATGGCGCAAATTTCTCATAATGTTTCTCGAAAAGGATTTTATCATTTTTAAACATGATCAAAAAAACACACATAAGTCATAAAACATATAAAAGACATCATGCTTATTATCAAAATTTTTCAACGACTTACAACTCGTGCTGATTTACAACTCATCTAATGTATTATTACAGCTGGTAAAAGCGTTTCATCATAACGTGCATTATCAAGAGTTGAAAATGTAAAATCTTGATTCTCACATTATGTCGAAATTTTCTCCAAAGCGTTGCAATATTAATGCAGAAAATATTTTATTTATTATTTTCGAGCGATCGCGAATCATTTTTTTTTCAAGATCTAAAAGATACTTACCGCACAACAAGTGCCCATAACACATCGTAACAGCGAATAAATATTATAAACTTGAAGTGGCCATACCCCGATAGGCCACGTAATCAATTTGAAAGGAACCATCGCGTATGCGATATCGTTCTTCCATCGTTCACTTGCCATTGTCAATATAGTGACTCTAACTGATGCGGAGAACCGGTGATCCTCTCGCTATATCGACATAACGCATTTCAACTCATTTATTATTCAACGTGAAAAGTATACATGCTTATCAATCTACCTCTCTTAAAGCATTATGGCAAAATACAAATAACGACGCTCTTATGGAAAATGTCGTTCTTATGGTACAATTTCTAAATTGTTACTGTCCATCGAACAACTACTTTTTTATTAAATAAAATTATATGCGTTTTGCTTACTTACATATGAACACGTTTTTCTACATTTTTTCTCGATATTCGTTTGTTTAATAATAAGTAGTATAGACTATAAGTTTGTTCATAAGTAAAAATATAAGCAAAAAAACTTGTTTTCTTTATTCTACAAACCAACAAAATTAATTGATAGAAAGTTTCGTGACATGAGAATAACTGTGTTAGAAAATATTTATCTTCAAATTTAATATAATAATGCATTAATAGTAATGTCAAGTATATGTTATTGATATTGGTTAAGAAATTTGGCACAAACAGATTAATTTGGATAACAAATTTATTAACGTTAAATGCTTAAATTAGCACTACTTTATGTATTTCTATTTTGAAAGCATTACATCGTACTATCGAACGTATCAATTATTTACAGTTTGTAATTAAATTCGTTCTTTCGCGCCTTATATTTCACACTCCGAGTATTATACGAAGTATGGACAAATACGAAAAAGAGGTTTTTAAAATGCTCACATAAGTTGATAGATTGACTACGACGAAGTTTCCAGCCTGCAACGCAACTGGACATTTCGTCTGCATAAGAACAAAGATTACGTTCTTCGCCAATTTCCTAGGAAAACTATACCAAACACTTTGATAAATGGAGAGTCCTATTTCTTCCATTTCAGATTTCAAATAATTCCCGATAAAACTATACAATGATAGTTGTGACAGGAAGACACTCACTACTACTAAACTCTTTCCTACCATAACGGTGTTATTGACTTTTAACGCAAAGATAAACTGAAATCCTGAAAAAAATATATTTTATTTTGTTTGCTTAATATAAATTTTATTTATTCATAATTATATATAATTTACATATTTCGCTTAATAAATAACATAATAACATAATATTCACCCATCATACATAATAATATGCTGATAATGAATAGTTCTATCAGTAATATAAAACTAATCAATTCGGCAAGTTCTTTGGCTAGCGTTATCAAATCTTGATGTCTTTGAATTAGTGCGTTGTAGCGATCGTAGATTCGCGGACTTGTGGCATCGAAATTGAAGAAATGGATCCTCAAAATGTTTATTTGACCACAAACATGCAATGTAATGTTGAGAAACAGCGCGTCGTTACCTTTGGGAAATATACGATACTGTTTTATTGATATATAAAATTTGATATATAAAATTTTATTGATATATACAAATTTTTATTAATAAATATATAAAAATTACTTATTATTTTATTTATAATATTTAAATTATTATTTCTGTATGAAAAAAAAATATATATATATATATATATATATATATATATATATGTTACAAGATATAAATAAAGTAATATTGCTGTATTTAATATATAAATAAAAATATATATATAATATTCATTGCATAAGATACAAAAGTTTCTGAAAATATAAAAATTTTTTTTGAAACAATAGCGGAACATGTTGAGATTGTCAAATGTAATTATTTTTCTTTACGTTGTTTAACAAAAAAAATATATTATCTAATGTAATAATGCTTGATCAATAGAATTTAATACTTTTTATGCATCTTGAATTATTTCAATAAAACAATTTGTCATGAAACCACGTACATACAAACTTCTATGCCTTTACAATGTTATCTATAATTAATAAAAAAGTGTATATTATAAAGTATAAAATAAATAAAAATTTTGATATATGTGAAATAATGCATTATATTATATTATATATGTGGAATAATGTATTATATTATATTGGCAGTTAATAAAAAAATTTTTTTTAATAATATTAGGATAAGACACAAAATGATGACACATACAAATTTAAATATGTATTACCAGTATTAGCTATAGCCGCTAATATCATTATAATAATTTCGACGAGACATAAGATTTTATACATGCTCCTTGGAAAATTTAAATATTCCAGAGCGCATCTCGATGGTATTGCATACTCTAATATCGTATTTTCGTTCGTTACATTAATCCGATTACCTTGATTATAATGCAAAAGTGGATTTATTCCATATATTAGGCAACTACTGAAAGAAAAGCTCAGCATGGAATAACAAAGGATTCTTCCTATAAAAGCATGTTTTCGCATAACATCGCGATCTTTTGTGTTGTCAATCGTCAAATAATCATTCAGAGCAGAGTTGTAATTGTTTGTTAAATTATTTGCATAAATGCGGAACCATGTTATCTTCAGTGTTCCAAGCAATCCGCAACATATTGATGTCAAACATACTATATTTTGTTCTATATCAGTACAGCCCATGTATAGCTCCATGGAGGGTAAGATCACAATTAGACTCTGTTGATTGACATTTCTCCGTATATGATGTTTCGTGCTTAGAAGAATTATATTTCACTACTAAAAATTTATCTCACTACAATGAATTCTTATTAATATATATTCTAGATGAATGCAAGTGCTACTTTCTTATTCGCATGCTTCTTATCTCACTCTCATTCAGTTTTCTGCCTCTTTCTCTCTGTTTTCTCATTCAGTTTTCTGCCTCTTTCTCTCTTTTCCGAAAATGTCAATTTTATGTTAAAATATCCAAATATTATGCAAAGAAGGTTTATAAGACTCAAAACACCGAGAGACAAGGAATTCTTTTCGATTTGAATGTTTAATTTTATTACTGTTAACTAAGCAAATCGTAAAAATTAATGGCAAAATATTATTATGATTATCCCCGAGAATTTGTACATAAATTCTTTGATATTTTAAAATTTTAACTCTCTTTTACTAATTTCTAAGTCTTAAAATCTATCAAATTTTGTTAAATCTTAAAGTTACTAATACAATCTCTCGAAAAATAGCAAAAAATATTATGCAAAATAATATCCAATATTTTCATTGTATATATTGCGTATGTACACAGAATATGTAGTTCGATAATGAATAACGGTGATGTCTTATGAAGCAAAATGCAAACTTTCGAAAATTTGTATTGTAATATCTCTGCTTATAGAACACAAACGAAAATAAACACATTTTCTTTATATAAAGAATCAAATTATTGATTAAGTACGTTAAGAATACGATTGATTTCGTTATTAAAGTCGATAATCTTAAAATATAAAGATAAAGCATTCTCAACTAGCAGATTCACATTAGACACACGGGATACCTTGCTGCTGTTGTACGTGAATTTTGGGCGAAATATTATAAACAATATGATGCGTTTCCCACAATATTTCTTGAAAAATTTCATATCATGTTTTACACGATTAAGAAAAAATATACATAAATCAGAAAATTTAAAAAGAAATCTTCCTTATTATTGTATTAGAATTTTTCAACTTATAATCATGCTGATTTTTAACTTATATGCCATTATACAACTGACAAAAGCGATTCATTATATGCGTTATCAAGAATTGAAAATGATATCTTTATCTTCTTTATGAAGCTTTCTTCAGAGCATTACAATATCGACTTAGAAAATATTCCTCGTCGTCCTTATACATGAATTGTGTGTGTTTTTGAGTTGCAAAGAATATTTACCGCACAACAAGTACCGAAGCCACAACGTAATAGCGAATAAATGTCGTAAACTTGAAGTGGCCATACTCCAATAGGCCACGTAATCAATTTAAAAGGGGTCATCGCGTATGCGATATCGTTTTTCCATCGTTCACTTACCATTGTTAATATAATGATTGTAACTGGTGCCAATACTGATGATCCACTCGCTATATCGGTATGATACAAGTATTCCATTCTCATTTTTTATTCAACATGAAAAGCATACATGCTTATCTGCCTCTCTTCAAGCATTATAGCAAATTGCAAATAACTATGTTCTTATGGAAACTGTCGTTGAGTAAAAATTTACTTGATACAATTTCTAAATTGTCTACCGAGCAACTATTTTTTTTATCGAGCGGAATCATGTGCGTCTTGCATATGCGTGCGCATATTTTTGCATTTTATCTCGATCGTTTGACAATAAATAGTATAAGTTTGTTCACAAGTGAAAATAAAAGTGAAAATCAAATAACTTGCTTATTTTATTCTACAGACCAACAAAATTAATAAAGAATTATGTGATATGAGTAAGTAATTTTATGTTAGAAAATGTCTATTCTCGAATTTAATATAATAATGTACTGACAGTAATTTCAAATATGTGTTTGTATTAATTATATTAATTGATATAAATATAAGAAATACTAATTCGGTAGGAACAAAGTAATATGGCAATAAATTTATTAACGTAATATTTTAATAGACATTTTATCTATTTCTATTTTGAAAGTATTACATTATACTATCGAACATATCAAATATTTACCGTTTGCACGGATTTCTTTCATTCACATCCTCCGAATATTTCATACTTCGAGCATTATACGAAGTACAGACAAATATGAAAAAGAGGTTCTTAAGATGCTCACATAAGTTGAGAGATTGACTACAATGTAATTTCCAGCTTGCAACGCGATTGGATATTTCGTCTGCAAAAGAATAAAGATTACGTTTTTTACCAATTTTCTGGGAAAACTGTACCAAGCACTTTGATAAATAGAGAGTCCTATTTCTTCCATTTCAGATTTCAGATAATTCCCGATAAAACTGTACAGAGTTAATTACGTCAGAATTATAATCTGTAACATTAAACTATTTCCTATCATAGCGGTATTATTGGCTTTCAACGCGAAGATAAACTGAAAACCTGAAGAGAATATTTCCCTGCTGAATGTTAATTTCTTTCGTAATTTACTTATTTCGCAAACTAATCATAATATTTACCTGTCATACATAATATTATGCTGATTATAAAAAGTTCTACCAGCAATACGAAACTGATTAAATCGGCAAGTTCTCTGGCCAGAGTTATCAGTTCTTGATGTCTTTGAATCAACGCATTGAAACGATCATGAATTCGCGGACTTGTGACGTCGAAATTGAAGAAATGGATCCTCAAAATGTTTATTTGACCACAAACATGCAATGTAATGTTGAGAAACAACGCGTCGTTACCTTTGGGAAATATACAATACTGTTTTATTGATATATAAAAATTTTAATCATTACCTTTTGGGAAATGCTTGGAATTATTTTATTGCATTAATAATCAAAACAGTACTGAATATTCTGTTACATTTAAATTATTATTATACTTTTGTAATCAAATGACACATACACAGATATACACATATGCATATGTATAACAAAATATAGCAAATAATAATGCTCTTATATTTATATATATATATATATATATATATATATATATATATATACACACACACACACACACCCATAAAGCATGATATACATAGCATGAAAAAAGGCAAAAATGTTCGAAAACAATTTTTTTCTAAACAAGCAATTGAAACTGTCATATTTAATTATATACATTTGTAAAAAAAATTATGTCATCTAATCTGCTTGATCAGCAGAACAGGGTGGTTCTAATGCATCTCGGAATTAAACTATAAAGCTACGCAAATTTTCACTTAACAATATTGTCTATAATTAATAAAAAGTGCGTAAAATTAATAAAATTAATTAAAATCTTTATGTATGTGAAATAATATACAATAAAAAAGTCCTTGTAAGTAATATTGGATGAGACATAAAATATGCATAAGCAATTAAATAATTATTACCAAGATTAGCCGAAGCCGCCAGTACTAATATAATGGTTTCCAGGAGACAGGAAATTGTATACATGCTCGTTGGAAAATTGAAATATTCTAAAGCGCATCTTGATGGCACTGCATACTCTAACATCATATCTTCATTCGTTATGTTAATCCAATTACCTTGAAAATAATTCAAATATGGTATTATTCCATGTATTAGACAACTAATGTAAGAAAAGCCCAACATGGAATAGCAAAGAATCCTTCCTATAAAAGCATGTCTTCGCATAATTTCGCGCTCTTTCGTATTGTCAATCCTCAGATAATCGTTCACGGCAGAGTTGTAATTGTTAATTAAACTTTTTGCATAAATGCGGAACCATATTGTCTTCAGCACACCAAGTAATCCGCAAGAGATTGTTGTCACACAAATTATATTCTGCTCTATGTCAGTACAGCCCATATATAGCTCCATGGAAGGCAAGATTGCGATTAGACTCTGTTAATTGATATTTTCCCATACATATAATGATTCAATGCTCAAAAAATATATCTCAAATATCTCTCCTAACTCAATAAATTTTTAGTTATAAATATTTTGTTAAATATATGCTACTTTTTCAGTCTCATGTCTTCTTCTTCTCACTCTCGTTCAATTTCCCTTAATTTCTTTCTCTCTCTTTCACTCTATAAAATATGATATAAAAATAATGCTTTTTATCGGAATAATTATTTAATTTTTATAGATGCAAAGTATTATGCACATATTCATACTTTTTTATATTTATTATTAGTATAATTAATGTTATCTAATTCTTACATATTAAAATTATGCAAAATTTATATTGTATATTATTAAAATAATGTATATATAATAATATAATTTGTGTAAATAGAAGATATTTTTGCATCAAAATATAAAACGTGAAAAATACAACAAATTCTAATATTATTTAAATTTTCTATGATATTTTGTAACATTATAATAACTAAAAATTTACATTTAAAAAATAATTAAAAAAGATGTCAAGTCAAACACAATAAAAAATATACAATATTGTAACATATTGCTACTAAATAGTATATAATATTGTTACTAATTATACTTTTACAAATATTATTTTAATGTGTGCAAAACATATTTATTTAAATTTATTTAAGTTTAAATAATTGTATTAAAATTATATTAAAAACAATTTGTTGTAAAAAATAATTGTTCTAATTTCTTATAAACTAGAGGGTATTAATGTTATTTGTTGATGCTCGAGTTAAGAAAATATCGACTATATCAAAATATCCAAATATAACATAATAGGATTAGCAAGAATTAAAATGCTAAGAGACATTAAATACTTTTCGGTTTAAACATTTAATTACAAACATCACTATATATTTAACAAATCGTTAAAGTTATTTTCGGATATAAATTATTGCGAATATGTCCGAAAATTGTACATAAATTCTCCTTTACTTTCAAATTTTAATTTCTATTAATGAACATGTTAAACCTCAAAGATACCAAATTTTGTTAAATATGAAAGCCACTAACGCAATGATCTGTCAAAAGCAAAAACTATACAAGATTAATATTATATTTCTGTAGCATATACTGTGTATGTGTATAATACGTGACAATCGGTGATGATATTTTATAAAAAAACATTTTTACATTGAAAATTTGCATTATAACATTTCTTCTTATAAAAAATGTAGACTGAAAATAAAAAGATACTTTTTACATATATAATTAAAACTTAAACTATCAAGAATTCAATTGGTTCAGTCATTATTAAAATATGAGGTATTCACATAGCTAATTCGTATAGATATTTTGCTATTTCTACACGAGAACCGTTACGAAATTATAAAACAAGTAATATAAGACGTAATAAATTATATCGCAAACTTTCCATAATGTTTCTCAAAAAGGATTGTATCATTTTTACACATGATTAAAAAACACACATAAGTCATAAAACATATAAGTCATAAAACAAAAAACATCATGTTTATTATCAAAATTTTTCAATAACTTACAATTGTGCTAATTTACAACTCATTTAATGTGTTAATATTACTAAGAGGATTTCATCATAACATGCGTTATCAAGAAAATATAAAAAAATCTTGATATTATCATCACATCAAAACATTTTCAAAGTGTTGCAATATCAATGTAGAAAATATTCTTTATTATTTTCAAGCGATCGCGAATGTGTCAATGATCTTCAAAATTCAAAAGTTACTTACCGCACAACAAGTGCTTACGATACATCGTAACAGCGAATAAATGTTATAAACTTGAAGTGACCATACACCCATAGGCCACGTAATCAATTTGAAAGGAACCATCGCGTATGCGATATTGTCCTTCCATCGTTCACTTGCCATTATCGATATAATGACACTAACTGATGTCAAGAACCGGTGATCCGCACGCTATATCGACATAACGCAGTATTATATCTCATTTTTTATTCAACATGAAAAATATATGCTTAACAGACTACCTCTCTTAAAGCATTATGGCAAAATGCAAATAACTACATTCTATGGAAAATGTCGCTCTTATGGAAACTTTATATGGTACTAAATTGTTTCCGTTTATCGAGCAACTATTTTTTATTGAATAAAATTATATGTGTGTTACTTACCTACATATGAGCACATTTTTCTACACTTTACCTCGATATATACGTTTGAATATAACAATAAATAGATTTAGATTGTTCAAAAGTAAAAATAGAAATAAATAACTTGCTTTCTTTATTTTATAAACGACACAATTAACTGATAAAAAATTTCGTGATACGCTTAATTTTACATGTCAGGTAATATTTATTTAGAAATTTAACATAATAATACATTAATATCAATATCACATATGTGTATATTGATATTGTATAGGAAATATTAAAATATATGTTTATTATTGAATAGGAAATTTGGCACAAACAAATTAATTTAGATAATAAGTTTATTGCACTTAAATAAACACTTCTGCATGTATTTCTATTTTGAAAGTATTATATTGCACTATTTCAAATCTATCAAATACTTACAGTTTGCACAGATTACTTTCATTCGCAATTTATTTTTATATTTTACACTTCGAGAATTATACGAAGTACAGACAAATATGAAAAGGAGGTTTTTAAAATACTCAAATAAGTTGAGAGATTGACCGCGATGAAATTTCCAGCTTGCAGCGCGACTGGATATTTTGTTTGCATAAGAACAAAGATTACATTTTTTGTCAATTTCCTAGGAAAATTATACCATGCACTTTGATAAATGGAGAGTCCTATCTCTTCCATTTCAGATTTCAAATAATTCCCGATAAAACTATAAAGCGATAGTTGTGTCAGGAAGACGCTTAATACTGCTAAACTCTTTCCTATCATAACAGTGTTATTAATTTTCAACGCAAAGATGAATTGAAATCCTGAAAAGAGAATATCTGTTTAATATAAATCTTTTTTTATATATAATTTATATATTTGATTGAATAATCCTAAATAATATAATATTTACCTATCATACATAATGACATGGTAATAATGGATAGTTCTATCAGCAACACAAAACTGATCAATTTGACAAGTTCTCTGGCCAGTCTTATCAGATCTTGATGTCTTTGAATTAAAGCATTGAAACGATTGTAAATTCGTGGACTTTTTACATCAAAGTTGAAAAAGTGAATCCTTAAAATGTTTACTTGACCACAAACATGCAAAGTAATGTTGAGAAATAACACGTCGTTACCTTTGGAAAATGCATCGATGCACGAAACGGTCTTATTATATTGATATACAAAATATTATTTATTGTTGTATTTATTATTCTATTTATATATTTTTATAATCAAAGAGTATGTATATATGTGTTACAAAATATAGTAAATAAAATATTTCTACTATATTACACGCACACGCAACGTAATATACATTGGAGAAGGCAAGAGTTTTCGAAAATTAAAAAATTTAAGAAACAGTAACGGAATATGTTGACACTATCATATGTAATTTTTATTTTCATTGTTTAATAAAATAAAAATTCTGCAAAAAATTTAATATAGCTGATCAAGAAAATTATGTAGTTGCTGTGTATCTGGGACTATAGTGGAATAATTTGAAATCACGCAAACTTCCATACCTTTGCAATATTACAAAATATTATAATCAGTAGAAAAATGCGCATAATAATAGAATTAATAAAAATTGTATATATGTGGAATAATGTATTCAATATAATAATGTCTGTGTTTTAGTAATATTGGATAAAAACACAAAAGTATAAAAATAAAATATCCATATAAATTTATGTATACATTACCAATATTAGCTGTAGTTGCCAGAATCACTATAACAGTTTCGACGAGAATGGAGATTTTATACATGCTCGTTGGAAAATTGAAATATTGCAGAGCGCATCTTGATGGTACTGCGTACTCTAATATTATATCTTGATTCGTTATGTTAATCTGATTAACTTGATCGAAATGCAAAAAAGGATTTATCGCATACATTACACAACTAATGTAAGAAAAGCCCATCATGGAATAGCAAAGAATCCTTCCTATAAAAGCATGTCTTCGCATAATTTCGCGCTCTTTTGTGTTGTCATTCGTCAGATAATCATTCACGGCAGAGTTGTAATTGTTAATTAAACTATTTGCATAAATGCGGAACCATACTGTCTTCAACACTCCAAGCAATCCGGAACATATTGATGTCAAACAAACTACATTTTGCTCCACATCAGTACAACCCATATATAGCTCCATAGAAGGCAAGATCGCAATTAGACTCTATTGATTGATATTTTCCCATACATGTGATAGATATGAATGTGATGATTTGTAACAAAAAAGCATATTTCAATTCTAACTCAATAAATTTTTAATTATAAATATGCTATTTAAATATGAACGCTACTTTTTCAGTCTCATGTTTGTTATCCTTCCACTTAAGGTTCAGTTTCTCTCTCTTTCACTCTATAAAATATGATGTAAAAGTAATTCTTTTATTAGACTGATTTGTAAATCCAAAATATACGCATATTCATACTTTTTTATATTTATTATTTGTTTATTTGTATAATTAATTTTATCTAACCTTTGCATATTAAAATTAAGCAAAATGTTATATATATTAAATATTTTGTATTACAAAATATTTTATACAAAATATTAAATATTTAGCGCAATCTTTATTATATTTTTACTTTCCTGGGAAATTAAAACAACTTTGACAATAATTTAACTTACAATTTGTATAAGTTTAATATAACAGTTCTAAAAAATTTAAAATAAAACTGTTTTGTACAGATTGAAATAACAATATCTTATAAAATTATATTAATACATTATTTTATAACATTTTGTTACAATAATACATTTTTCATACTTAGTATGCACTTGATGCCTTTTTTTACTTTTTTTCGAAAAAGCAAGTTTTAATCATATTTTTTTATATAGTATAACATCTTTAAACAAAATAAAAAATAATTTTAATTGCTTTTAATTGCTTTTAATTATAAATTTCTCTTTCTCTCTCTCTCTCTCTCTCTCTCTCTCTCTCTCTCTCTCTCTCTCTCTCTCTTCCTCTTTTTTCTCTTTATATACGTATAATATATGTATATATTTTTCTCATTAAAAGTACAATAATTTATATTAAATAATGAAATTCTTATATTTTTTATCATATATTTATCGATGCTTGAATTAAGAGAAAATATCTTTATACATGCTCGTTGGTAAATTGAAATACTGCAGAGCGCATCTTATTTATATTAAAATATCAAAATATTTATAATTATTAAATAAAGGAAAGAAAAAGAGAATCAAAATGCCGAGAGACATCAAATTTTTTTCAAATTAAACATTTAATTTTAAATATCGCTATTCATTAAAGATCATTAAAATTAATGACATAAATGTCTTTGTGATATACTTGAAAATTGTACATAAATTCTCCTTCACTTTCAAAATTTCTGTTACTTGTTAGATCTCAGAACTATCAAATTTGATCAAATCTGCAAGCCACTAAAGCAATCGCCTATCAAAAGTAGAAACTATACAAGATGATTAATATTATATTTCTATAACATATTCTATGTCCGTGTATAATACGTATGACAGTCGATAATAATGTTTTATAAAGAAATATTTGAAAATTGAAAATTGCATCATAAAAAATTTTCTCATCTCTTCTTAGAGAAAACAGAAACCGAAAATAAAGAATTATATAAAGATGTATATAAAGATGCATATAAGAATTATATAAAGACAATTATATAAAGACATTTTCTTTATATAATTGAAACTCAAACTATATCAAAAGTTAAGTTTATCAAGAATCTAATTAGTCCAACCATTATTAAAATACAATAATTCAAGGTACTCTCAAATAGCCGATTCGTAGATACATAAAATCCTCTCTGGTGCGCGAGAACTTGATTCGAAATACTATTGTGTCACTTGATTTTATTATACATATTATCGTTACGACGAAATCATGAAACAAGTAATATAAGACGTAATAAATTATGATGCTAATTTCCCATAATGTTTCTCATAAAGGATTGTATCATTTTTATACATGATTAAAAAAAACATAAAATATATAAAAAACATCATGCTTATTGTCAAAATTTTTAACGACTTACAATCGTGCTGATTTACAACTCATTCAATGTTATTACTAGTAAGAACGTTTCATCAAAACGTGCATTACCAAGAAAATATAAAATCTTAATATTACTATCACGTTGATATTATCATCATGACGAATTTTTTTCCAGAGCATTGCAATATCAATGTAGAAAATATTTTATTTATTATTTTCGATCGCGAATGAACTTCAAGATCCAAAAGATACTTACCGCACAACAAGTGCTTACGATACATCGTAAGAGCGAATAAATGTTATAAACTTGAAGTGGCCATACGCCAATGGGCCACGTAATCAATTTGAAAGGAACCATCGCGTATGCAATATCCTCCTTCCATCGTTCACTTACCATTGTCAATATAATGTCTCTAACTGATGCCGAGAACCGATGATTCGCACGCTATATCGACATAACGCAGTATTATATCTCATTTTTTATTCAACATGAAAAGTATAGGATTACCAGACTGCCTTCCTTAAAGCCTCCTAAATTATGGCAAAATGCAAATAACTACGTTCTTATGAAAAATGTCGCTTTTATGGAAACTTTGTATGGTACAATTTCTAAATTGTTATCGTCTATCGAGTAACTATTTTTTTATTGAATAAAATTATATGTGTCTTACTTATCTATATATGAGCATATTTTTCTACATTTTATCTCGATATACGTTTGAATAAACAATAGATAGTATCGATTTAGATTATTTTCAAAAGTGAAAAAAAGTAAATAACTTGCTTTTTTTGTTCTATAGATAAAATTAATTCAATAGAGAATTTCGCAACACAATAATTCTACATGTCAAAAAATATCTGTCTATAAATTTAACATAATAATACATTAATAATAATATTACATATGTGTATCTTAATGATAGTACATGGAAAATATTAAAATATACATATGTATATTATTGCATAAGAAATTTGACACAAACAGATTAATTTCGATAATTACTTTATTATACTTAAATAAATATTTCTTCTATTTAATCTATTTCTTTTTGAAATATCATATCGTACTATTTTAAACCTATCAGATATTTACAGTTTGCAAATTCCTTTTACTCGCAACTTATAGTTTACACTTCAAGAATTATACGAAGTACAGACAAATATGAAAAAGATGTTTTTAAAATACTCAAATAAGTTGAGAGATTGACCACGATGTAATTTCCAGCCTGCAACGCGACTGGATATTTTGTTTGCATAAGAACAAAGATTACATTTTTTGTTAATTTTCTAGGAAAGTTATACCACGCACTTTGATAAATGGAGAGTCCTATCTCTTCCATTTCAGATTTCAAATAATTTCCGATAAAACTATACAGCGATAATTGTGTCAGGAAGACACTCAATACCATTAAACTTTTTCCTATCATAATGGTGTTATTGATTTTCAAAGCGAAAATGAACTGAAATCCTGTAAAGAGAATATTTACTTAATTTTTTTTACTTACAATTTACATATTTCCATAAATAATCATAAATAACATAATATTTACCTATCATACATAATAATATAGTGATAATGAATAGTTCTATCAACAATACAAAACTGATCAAATCGACAAGTTCTCTGGCCAACATTATCAAGTCTTGATGTCTTTGAATTAGCGCATTGAAACGATTGTAGATTCGTGGACTTTTTACATCAAAGTTGAAAAAGTGCATCCTCAAAATATTTACTTGACCGCAAACATGCAATGTAATGTTGAGGAACAACACATCATTACCTTTGGGAAATGCATCGATGCACGAAACTATCTTATTGTATTGATATACGAAATATTACTTATTGTTCTATTTATATTATTAAAATTATTATTTTTGTAATCAAAAAATATACACAGGGTAAATTAAAGTAATCTATTGTCCTTATGATGACATATTCTTTTCAATTTTAAGATAGCTTTCCTTTTATGAAATTTTGCCCGAAACCCAGTTCTTGAATTATAGAATAATTAACTTTTACGGACCGAATAAATATAAGAGATAGGCAAGAGCAGTGCGATTCACCATCAGAGACAAGTACTTACGTGGGGAATTTACTGCAATCAGTTAATAATAATAATAATAATGACTACAAATGAGCGAGCGAGTGAGTGAGATAGATAGATAGATAGATAGATAGATAGAGAGAGAGAGAGAGAGAGAGAGAGAGAGAGAGAGAGAGGGACAGAGAGAGAGATAGAATGTGTATATATTTGCATGTGTGTATGTATCTGTGCATTCTATCATGTGTAACGATCAGCTGATCGTAACAGGCGCCCTACATAAATACCCGCGTTTGTTAAATCGCCATTTTTATCTACCTCTTGTATTTAACCTATAATAATTTAATTATTTTCTTTTATAATTTAAATATTAAGCTTCAGACAAAATTTTGCAAAAGGAAAATTATTTCAAACTGAGTCAGGAATATGCTATTTTAAGGATACTAAGTAGTTATTTTGAATTGTTCTATATATGTGTCACAAAATACAGTGCATATAATATTGCTACTGTATTCAATATATACATACATATATATATATATATATATATATATATATATATATAATATGGCATAAGGTATAAAAGCTTTCGAAAGTTTAAAGCCTTTTTTAAAGAATCAGTAAAATGAAACACGAAATTGTTATATTTAATTTTTATTTTTGATACTTAATAAAAAATATTCTGCCATATAATTTAATATACCTGATATATAATTTAATATACCTGATCAAAAAAATTAGGTTCTATGTATCTCGTATCATCGTGGAACAATTTGCGAAACTACGAAAACTTTCATACCTTTACAATATTTATAATTAGTAGAAAAATGCACAATAACAGAATTAACAAAATCTTTATGTATGTAGAATAAATAATGTACTATTTAATAAAAAAATTTTTGTTTCTTAGTAATATTGGATAAAGAACACAAAATTATAAAAATAAAATATCCGTTAAAATATAAATTTATGTATGTTTACGTTACCAATGTTAGCTGTAGTCGCCAGTATCACTAGTACAGTTTCAACTAGAATGGAGATTTTATACATATTCGTTGGAAAATTAAAATATTCCAAAGCGCATCTCGATGGTATTGCGTATTCTAACATAATATCTTCGTTCGTTATGTTAATCCGATTATCTTGATCATAATGCAAAAAAGGATTTATTGCATATATTACACAACTACTGTAAGAAAAACCCAACATGGAATAGCAAAGAATTCTTCCTATAAATGCATGTTTTCGCATAATATCGCGCTCTTTTGTATTGTCAATCGTCTGATAATCGTTCAGAGCAGAGTTGTAATTGTTAATTAAACTATTTGCATAAATGCGAAACCATGTTATCTTCAGTACACCGAGTAATCCGCAACAGATTGTTGTCAGACAGACTATATTTTGCTCTACATCAGTACAAGCCATATAACAAGTACAGCCCATGTATAACTCCATGGAAGACAAGATCACAATTAGACTCTGTTAATTGATTGAGACATGTTCTCATACATAATGTTTCCCCCATACATGATATTTCTCAGAAAAATTATATCTCATTATTAATTTAATGAATTTTTACTAATATATATTTTATTTAAATGCAAATGCTACTTTCTCACTCGCATGCTTTTTCTCTCTCCCACTTTCGCACAATTTCAGTCAATTTTTTTCTTTCTTTTTCACTTCTATAAAATACGATATAAAAATAATGTTTTTTATTATTAAAATAATTGTGTAAAATATTTTTGTAAATTAAAAATTTCTTTGCCTCAAAATATAATACACAAAAAATACAACAAATTGTATTATACAACAATAAATTGCATTATCAATATCATCTGAAAGTTTATATTATGTATTTTGTTATTGTTTATAATAATTAAAAATTCATTTTTCTAGAAAAAGTATAAAAGAAACACATCAATTGTAAGAAACGTGCATTATTAAAATTATATTGCAAAATAATATATAATCATTTTTTTTAATAACGTTATTTTAATGGGTACAAAACAATGTTATTTGTTACATTGTTATTTAAACATTGTTATTTAAAAATTGTTATTTAAACTTATAAAAAAATTATTATATTAAAATTATTGTGCAAATTATCAAATTGTCGTGCAAAATAGATGTTTCAATTTCCTACAAATCGCTATCAATTTTATTATTGAGCATTCCAATATCATGTTTTTTCAATAAAAATTATTTTTATTTTGTATTATAATTTTTTTATAATGTTTCTATTTAAAAAAACAAATTAACATAAGTTTTTATTCTTGTTAGTTAACACAATTTCTTTATATTATTATTTTTAGAAAATTGAAAGAATTTTACACAATAATTTATATTTAATGTAACAATATTTTTAAGATTAAAATAATATTGTATTGTACAAATTAAGATAACACTATTTTGTACAATACTTTTTAACAACTTTTTAAAGTAATAATAAGTTTTTCATTACTGGAGCATGTACTTGGCATCATTTTACTTTTTTTAAACAAGCAAAATTTTATCATTTTCTTATATCATCTTTAATCAATATAGAAAAAAATTTTAATAAAAAGCTGAAGCTGCAATAGTTTATAAGTTATAAACGATCAAAATTTACCAATGATATCGCTTAGGCCTATAAGCACATGTGTCTCGATCTGTCACCTGTTATTGATTTTTTCAAGTCAGGTAATATTGATTTTTGCCGCACAACTGATTTTATTTTGTCGTTTCTTATGTATATGTGTATTACATCGTATATTATAGCGATTAATTAATATTGATTAATTACAAATAATGTATAGAAAATATTTAACTTGTTTTCAAATAAAAATTTAAATAATAAATTTAAATAATTGATTAATTATTACATTTAAATAAAATTATAAAACTTAATATTTTCACATATTTGAAATACATTTCTTTTTAATCAAAGACATATTCATAGAAATTAATAATCTATTATCATTAATTTTTTCTCCTATTTTTTTAGGTTTTTTAAGATTTTAAAAGAAAAATAATATGTTTTATAAATTTTCACATTGAGTCTTTGTATCATAATAACTCTGCTTATATACGAACAAAAATAAAGAAACTTCTTTTCATATAATTAAGCTATCAATTAAGTATATTAAAATTTCCATTAGTTCAGCCGTTTATCGTGAAATCCTATTTAATCTAAAATATTATCCTAAAATCTTTAAATTCTTAAATTCTACTTAATCTAAAATATTATCAAATAATCGATTCGCATATAGATACACGGGGAGTTTTGCCTGCTGTTGCACATAAACTTAATACGAGACAATATTATATCTCTTTGTAATCTTGATTTTGTTTCATCATTGTGATAGTATAGAAATAGAGAGCGTGATGGATCGTATTTTATTTTTATACATGAAAAAAATATACTTAAATAAATCATAAAACTTGAAAGGAAATCCTTTTTATTGTTAGAATTTTTAACGACTCTTATTATCGTATTTAACAACTCATCTAAAATATTCTTACAAAAGCAAAAATCATTATTATGCGTCATCAAGAAAATGTAAAATCTTTAGCTCATTACACGAAGTTTTCTTCAGAGTGTTGCAATATCAACGTAAAAAAAAATATTCCTCGTAGTTTTCTAATCGATATGAATTGTGCGTGTCAATGACCTTTAAATGTCAAAAGATACTCACCGCACAACAAGTGCCTAAGCCACAACGCAATAGCGAATACATATCATAAACTTGAAGAGGCCATGAGCCGATAGGCCACGTAATCAATTTGAAAGGAATCATCGCGTATGCGATATCGTCCTTCCATCGTTCACTTGCCATTGTTGATATAATGAGCCTAAGTGATGCCAATAACCGATGATCCGCTCTCTATATCGACACAATGCAGGTATTCCAACTTATATTTTATTCAGCATGAAAAGTATACAGCTTATGCTTATATCAGTCTGTCTCTATACTCTTGAAGCATCATGCCTAAATGCAAATATAACCCCATTTTTACGTAAAATTGTCGTTAAGTAAAAATGTATGATACATTTTCTAAATGGCTACAGTCCATCGAGCAACTATTTCTTTTGTTGAATCTAATCATGCGCTTTACTTATCTATACTTGCTCAGTATGCAATATTTCAATTCGTTATTCGTTTGGCTAAAATAAGTAGTATAGGTTTAATCTGTTTAAAAGTGAAAAGATGAGCAAATGTAATTTATATTTCTTATTTTATAAACCAACAAAATTAACTTAGGATAACTATAAATTAAATTAATAGAGGATAACAGGACACGGTAAGTAGTTTTACATGTCAGAAAACATACCTGTTTTCAAATTCAATATAAGAATGCATTAATTTCAAATATATAATATAATAAAAATATATAGTAATTATGAGTATATATATTATTGACGTTACATTGAAAAAAATTGAGTTACCTTTGATTAATATAGAAAAAAATTTTATTAACGTGACACTTTAATAAACACTTCTTTATATATTGTACTTCTATTTTGAAAGTATATCGTACTATTTGGGATATATCAAATATTTACAATTTACACAAATTATTTTCATTCGCACTTTATATACATTTTTATTTCACACTCCGAGCATTATACGAAGAACAGACAAATACGAAAAAGAGGTTTTTAAAATGCTCACATAAGTTGATAGATTCACTACGATGAAATTTCCAGCTTGCAACGCGACTGGATATTTTGTTTGCATAAGAATAAAAATTATATTTTTTGTCAATTTCCTAGGAAAATTGTACCAAGCACTTTGATAAATGGAGAGTCCTATCTCTTCCATTTCAGATTTCAGATAATTCCCAATAAAGCTGTACAGGGTTAATTGTGTCAAGAAGGCACTCAATATCATTAAACTCTTTCCTACCACTACTGTATTATTGTTTTTCAACGCTAAAATAAGCTGAAAGCCTGAAAAAAATGTTTATTCAATAAATATAAATTTCTTTTTTTACATTTGTAATTCATATTTTGTTGAACAATTTAGTGACATAATATTCACCCATTATACATAATAATATGCTGATAATGAATAATTCCATAAGCAATATGAAACTTATCAAATCAGCAAGTTCTCTGGCCAGCGTTATCAAGTAACGATGTCTTTTAATTAACACATTGAAACGATCATAAATTCGCGGACTTTTGACATCAAAATTGACGAAACGGATCCTCAGAATGTTTACTTGACCACAAACATGCAATGTAATGTTGAGAAACAACGCGTCATTACCTTTGAAAAATACATTAATATCCAACTATTTTATTGTATTGATAAAACAGTACTTAGAATTTTAATTTTCGTTTCTTTTCATTTTTATTAAATTATTATTGTTTTAGACGGAAGATATCTATCACAAGAAACAAGAAAAATATTATTTTGCTCTATTTAATATGTTATGTGTATATATACAGTATGTCTAACGTAAAGTGTCCCACAGATCTCATTAAATTGAGTTTTTTAATTCAGAACTTTTTAGTTTTTTACCGTTTTGCAATCACATAAAATTTCTACATATTAATTAAAAAAGATCGATCAATGAGTGCGCAATCCGCGTTGTTAGATCATAAGATGTATCAGGTAGACTAGCGGTGAGTGTCACATGGCAATGAAAAATTATATTAAAAATACATCGACTCTTGTCTTTTTAGACATTCCGTACATATAACATATGTATTGCATAAAGCGCGAAAGTTTTCGAAAATTTTAAGTCCTTTTTTTTTATATAAAGTAATGAGACTGTCAGACTGATGTGTAATATGTATTAATTATTTTCGTATAATAAAATAAAATAAAATTCTGCCATTATGCAATTTGATATATCTCACGCATTTTTTCCATAAACCTATTATTTTAGCAGTTATATAAAAAAGTAATATATTTTTAAATACATTTAATACAATTTAAATTTATATAGAATTTAATACAATTAAATTGTATTAAATTCTTTATAAATTTAAGGATAAATATGTCGATGAAGAGAGCCCACTACGATTACCTTAGGTTTTTGAAAAAAATGCATATAACTTTTTTTATAGAATTTCTCAGCGGCTTTATTTTCTGCTTAAATTTTTTTTCTCAAATCAATATTTTCGGATATAAAAAGCATTAAAATTGTAAACTTCTTTTTTTAATAACTTTTTCATAAACAACGAGCGACGGCTAAAACTTTTTGAATGTTACTCAGGTCAGTGATTTTGACAACATATGTCAAGATCAAGGTAATCGAGGCGGCTTTCCTTCATCGACATATTTACCGAAATCTCATTGATTTTAATATATTTCAAACTATCTCAATGAAATAACACAAACTTCTGCGCCTTGCATCTATAATTCATATAAAAAGTGCATAATATTAATAAAATTAATAAAAATCTCTGTGCATATTGAATAACATATATATTATCCAATAAAAAAATTCTTGTTTTAAAATAATATTAGATAAACATAAAATAAAAAATTAAATCAATATTACCAAGATTAGTTGTAGTCGCCAGTATCATTATAAAAATTTCGACGAGACACACGGTTTTATACATGCTTGTTGGAAAATTCAAATATTCCAGAGTACATCTTGATGGCAATCCATACTCCAGTATCTTATCCTCGTTGGTTATGTTAATCTGATCAGCTTGGTCATGATTCAAGAAAGGAGTTATCGCATATATTAGACAACTAAAGTAAGAAAAGCCCATCATGGAACAGCAAAGAATCCTTCCTATAAAAGCATGTTTTCGCATAATATCGCGATCTTTTGTATTGTCAATCGTCAGATAATCGTTCAGAGCAGAGTCATAATTGTTAATTAAACTATTTGCATAAATGCGGAACCAGGTCGTTTTCAGCACACCGAGCAATCCGCAGCAGATTATTGTCAGACAGTCTATATTCTGCTCTACGTCAGTACAGCCCAAGTATACCTCCATGAAGGACAAGATCACAACTAGGCTCTGTTGATACATTTCCCCACATATGATGTTTCATGCTCAGAAAAAATATACATCACTCCTAATTCACTGAATTTTTATTAATAATTATAGTATTTCTATCAATGCTACCATTATTTTCTCACTTTCATACTTTTCTACCTTACAATCGTTTAATTTTTTCAAGTCCTCTCTCTCTCTCTCTCTCTCTCTCCCCCCTCTCTCTCCCCCTCTCCCCCCTCCCCCTCTCTCTCTTTCTCATTCTACAGAATAGATACGATATAAAAAAGTAGATTCTTTTTAAGGTTAATTCATATAAATGTAAGTATTATATATATAATCGTACACACACATCCATATATATTTATATATTTATATTTTTATGTATTTATATATTTATATATTTATATTTTTATATATTTATATATTTATATATTTATATATTTATATTTTTATATATTTATATATTTATATATTTATATATATTTGTGTATTTAATTATAAATAATTCTTGAACATAAAAATAAATAAAAAATAAAAAAAGATAAAATGTATAATAAAACATAACAACAACATGTATAACAAAACTTATGTAAATAGAAAATTTCTTCACGTCAAAATATGAACTACACAAAAACAAAAGTTAATGTTATTTAAAATTTATGTGATATTTTGTAATATGTTACTTATATATTTAATTATATAGTTCTCCACATGCGTTAAAATAGAATCATTAAATATGTAGTTTAGCACATGCTTCTCATATATAATTTTTTTCAAAATTATCGTATTATCTTTTTCATAAGGAAACTTTTTAATTGCACATAAATCGTGCAATTGAAAAGAAACCTTTCTTAGTCTTAAAATTTTTCAACGACTTACAATATATCATGCTGATTTACCATTTCTCTAAAGTATTATTATTGTTTGCTAAATTGTTTCACCACGTGAGTTATCAATAATTAAAAGTTTAAAATCTTGATTCTCATCGCGACACCGTAGTTTTTTTTCCAAAGTGTTGTAATATTAATATTCTTCATTGGAAATTTTTTTCGTTTTCTTCGCCCGGTCGCGATCATATCAATGATTATTTATTTCTAATTCCAAAATATACTTACCGCACAACAAGTGCCTAACGCACAACGCAATAATGAACAAATATCATAAACTTGAAGTGGCCATACACCGATAGGCCATGTAATCAACTTGAAAGGAATCATCGCATAAGCGATATCGTCCTTCCATCTTTTGCTTGCCATTGTCAAAATGATGACTGTAACTGATGCCAATAACCGATTATCTGCTCGCTATATCAATATGACACAGGCATTCCGACTTATTTTTTATTTACGATGACTATTATATAAAAAATACATGCATGCTTATCAAACGGTCTCTATGTTCCTAAATTTAAATAATTGGTATATTATACCGATACAGATATACAATGTAGGTATTTCAATTCATGTTTTATTCAACATAAAAGGCACACATGCTTATCAGTCTGTCTCTTTGCAAGCATTACGAATAAATGCAAATGACTGCGCTCTTTTGTAAAATTGTAGTTGAGTAAAAATTTATATGAGAAATTTTTCTAAATTGTTATCGTCCATCGAGCAAATATTCGTTTTGTTAAACAGAATCCTGTGCATTTTGTTTAGCTATCTATGCGCACATTGTGCAACATTTTATCTCGATATTTTTTCGGCTAAAATAAATAATACAAATTATATCTGTTTAAAATATGAACAAATAATTTATTTGTCTTTATTCCACAAACCAATAAAATTAATTGAAAGAAAATTACGCGATACAAAATAATTTTATAAATCAGAAAATCTGTTTTCAAACATATCAATTTCCAATTTGTAATATAATAAGTATGTATATTAATTTCAAGTATTTATATTATTGATATTGCATAGGAATATGTTTGGCACAAACAGACTGATGTGTGGGTAAGAAATACATTTATTAACGTGTTATATTTATAAACATTTCTTCATGTATTTTTATTTTGAAAGCGTTCCATCATGCTATTTCAAACATAGTAAATATTTACAGTTTCCACAAATTTCTCTCATTCACACCTTGTTTTACACTCCAAGTATTATACGAAGTACAGACAAATACGAGAAAGAAGTTTTTAAAATGCTTACATAAGTTGATAGATTCACTATGATGAAATTTCCAGCTTGCAAAGCGACTGGATATTTTGTCTGCATAAGAATAAAAATTATGTTTCTTGCCAATTTCCCAGGAAAGTTGTACCATGCACTTTGATAAATGGAGAGTCCTATCTCCTCCATTTCAGATTTCAGATAATTCCCGATAAAACTATATAGCATTAGTTGTGTCAAGAAGGTACTTAATATCATTAAACTTTTTCCTACAATAACGGTGTTATTGATTTTTAATGCAAGGATAAGCTGAAACCCTGAAAAAAATATTTGTGTGTTGAATATAAATACAATATTTCTTTCTAAATACTTGTAATTTACGATATATTTTGCTTAATTATCAAGTGACAATATTTACCTATTATACATAATAATAGGCTGATAATGAATAGTTCCATCAACAATACTAAACTGATTAGATCGGCAAGTTCCCTGGCCAGCATTATCAGGTAACGATGTCTTTGAATTAACACGTTGAAACGATCGTAAATTTGCGGACTTTTAACATCAAAGTTAGCGAAATGAATCTTCAGTATATTTATTTGTCCACAAACATGTAATGCAATGTTGAAAAACAATGCGTCGTTACCTTTGAATAATGTATTGATGCAGGGAATTGTCTTATTATGCATTGATATATACAAAACATACAATAATTATTATTCTATTATACACTGGAACCTTTTAATAGTAAAAATTGCAAAAAAGCATATCACATTCCATCCACTATGTATAATAACAGTCTTATTACAATACAATATTTTAGAGCCTGATATGATCAACTCTTGAGAGGTTCCAATGTATTTAAATTTTTGTAATGAGAAGATATATATCACAAAATGTATATAACATAATAGGCGTTGCAAGAAGCGAAAGTTGTCGAAAATTAATTTTTTTTTAAACAAGGTGTAGTGAGATATGTTGAAACTATTATGTATAATTATCATTATTTCATAACAAAAAAACTCTGCCATCTAATCTAAATCTATGCTTGACCAGAAAAATTGATTACTATTTTAATGCATCTCGAAGTATGTCAATGGAACAATTTACTATACAAATTTCTGCGCTACTACATTATTGTTTAATCAATTAAAAAGTGCATATTAATAATAAAATTAATAAAAATTTTTATATGCAATAATTTTATATAATAACATACTTTTCAATAAAAATATTCTTGAGCCCAAGTAAAGCATATTAATTATTTATATTTATAATTAAAAAGTATAAAATATTATAGAATATAGAATATAAAATTATAAAATATTATAAGATATTTATAAAAAATTAGGTAGATATTACCAGGATTAGCTGAAGTTCCCATTATCATTATAAAAGCTTCGACGAGACAGGAGATTTTATGCATGCTAGGTGAAAAATTCAAATATTCCAAAGCGCATCTCGATGGAACTGTATACTTCAATACCACATCTCTGTTCGTTATATTAATGCGATTATCTTGTTCATAATCCAAAAAGGGAATTATTGCATACATTAGACAACTAAAATAAGAAAAGCCCAGCAAGAAATAGCAAAGAATCCTCCCTATAAAAGCATGTTTTCGCATAATGGCGCGCTCTTTTATGTTGTCAATCGTCAGATAATCGTTCAGAGCAGAGTCATAATTGTTAATTAAACTATTTGCATAAATGCGGAACCATGTCGTTTTCAGCACACCGAGAAATCCGCAACAAATTAATGTCAGACAGTCTAAGTTTTGCTCTATGTCAGTACAGCCCATGTACAGCTCCATGAAGGGCAAAATTGCAACTAGACTCTGTTGATACATTTCCTCATATATGTTGTTTCATATTTAGAAAAAAATATATTTCACTCCTAACTGAATAAATTTTTAACAATAAATATTTTTATCTAAGTAAGTACTATTGTAAAGTACTACTATTACTTTCTTTCTCTAATATTTTTCCTCTGTGTTTGTCAGACTGATTTATCAATGCAAAGTATATTATTCGTATAATTATATATGTATATATGTATATATTTGTACATCTAACTATAAGTGATCCGTCAATAACGCAAAAATAGATATTATTAAAATAATAAATACAAATATATATATAAACAGAAAATTTTTTGACGTTGATATATAAAACAAAATAGTTCAACAAAAATTCATATTATTTATAATGTATGTGATATTTTATAGCAAATCATTTCATCTAATTTACATTTTACATGCTATCATTATAATGGAGTTACGAAATACGTAATGTGGCATATGCTTTCCATAATTTATCTTGAAAATCGTATTTATTTTTTCGTAATTTTTTTTTCACATCAAGAGAAAACGTAAATCATACAATTAAGAAAGAAACTTTTCTTATTGTTAGAATTTTTCAACGACTTACAGTTATGCTAATTTATTAACTCATCTATAGTGTTATACTCCTCGCAAAAGCATTCACCATAAACGTTATCAAGAATTGAAAATCTTTCCATCGCAACACCGAAATTTTCTCCACAGCATTGCAATATTAATGTTGAAAATATTCTTCATTGTCTTCAACTAATCGCAATCGTATCAATAATTCATCGAGTTACAAAAAAAACTTACCGCACAAAAAGTGCCTAATGCACAACGCAATAGCGAATAAATGTCATAAACTTGAAGTGGCCATACGCCGATAGGCCACGAAATTAATTTGAAAGGGGTCATTGCATACGCGATATCGTTCTTCCATCGTTCACTTGTCGCCATAATGTCTGTAACTAATGCCAATGGCCAGTCTACTCTCTATATCGTCGCAAAAATTCCAACTCATTTATTATTCATAGATCAAGGCATATTGTGTAAAAGATATATACTTATCAAATTATCCTTCTGCTCCTATAGTCAAAAAAACCGATATAATGTCGGTGTATCGACATAATGCAGACATTTCGATGCTAGAAGATATGCTGCGAAAATATATTATCAGACATATTATCAGTCTTTTACGGGATTATGAAATGTATTTGTAAATTATGCTCTTATATAAAATTATCGTTGAATAATAATTTATACGACAAAGTTTCTAAATTGTCGTCCATCGAGCAACTATTTCTTTTTACGGTATGAAATACTAGAAAAGAATCGTGTGCGTTACGTATCTATGTTACATTTTAGTTTACGTCTCGAATCTTCGATCGATTAAATATTATAATTTCAATCTGTCCACAGTGAAAATACATAGTGTATAACTCACTCTTTTCTGTTGCAGATCATGGCGTACTGAGTTGGTATACCGAAAAAATATAATGCGATATAGGTAAATAATATTAATTAACAGATAATTTTATCTTTCTTTCTGTAATATAATAATAATTCTGTAATATAATAATTCAATAAAGTAATTGATAATAATACGCGATTGTAATTAACCATTTTAATGATAAAACATTTAAATAAACTACATATTTTATTTAAAATTTTATTTTATTAAATAAGTTATAAATATTTTATATCTTGAAAAATATTTTATTTACGCTTATAATATTTCACGTATCGACCATTATACGAAGTACAGAAAGATACGAAAAAGAAGTCTTCAAAATGTTTACTAAAGTTGACAAATTAATCGCGATAAAATTCCCAGCTTGAAACATGGCTGGACCTTCTGTTTGCATAAAAATGAACACTAGATTCCTCATCAATTTAACAGGAAATTCATACCAAGCATTTTGATAAATAGAATGGCCTATATCTTCCATTTGTGACTTTAGATATCTTCCGATGTAACTATACACTGACAGCGTTATCAAAAAAACAGTTTGTGCCATTAAACTTTGTCCCATCATAACAGTATCTCTGTTTTTCAGTGCTATGATGAACTGAAATCCTGAAAAAATATGTATTTGCCTGCTGAATATACATTCTCTTAAATAACTTAATTTATATTACATATTTTGTGAAATGGCATTAAATAATTTAATATTTACCCATTATGCATAAACACACGCTAATAATGAAGAGCTCTACTAATAAAATAAAACTAATAACATCAGCAAGTTTTCTAATCATTCCTATCAAGTAAATATGTCTCTGTATAAGTTTATTAAAATCATCGCAGATTTGCGGGCATGCAACATCTAAGTTGGCGAAATGGGTTTTTAGAATCTTCACTTGACCACAGATATGTAATGTAATGTTGATAAATAATGCATCGTTACCTTTATAAAATAAAAATATATTAATATACAAAAGAATAATAATGTATATTTACTATTGTAATTAAAAAATATATTTTATAATGCTTCTATAACAGATAATTTTTATACAGTGTTCTTTCATTTAATTGCTCTTCAATTTTAGTTTTGTCTTAAAATATTTTATTTTTATTTATCTGTTTCATTTTCAATATAATTATAATTTTATAATCTTTCTTACGTCGTATTTTTGCCATATCTTATATATCATATATTTTACAGTGCATAATTAAATAATATGAGTAATACAATAAATAACGTGTATGGTTTTTGTGAATTATTATAGTGAGCTTCATTCAACGAGCAGAGAGTAATGAGTTTGTATATGTAATTATTTCCCCTTATATGTTACTTAAAAATCATAATCTCCTATTTATATTATTTGCGAAAGCACTAATAAAAATTAATATATATATATATATATATATATATATATATACATATTAATAACATTATACTTTAATTACTTATTATATATTTATATTATTTATTTATTATTTATTATATAAGTTATTATGTAATTATATATATATAGTTTATATTTATTATGTGAAATACATAAATATAAATTGAAAATTCTTAACTTTTATGTAAAATTTCCACACACTTATACGATTTAAAACAAAGATACATAAATACATTGCACAACAAATAGATATTACCGATATTAGCATTAGTCACTGTTAGCAGCGAAATAGCTTGGATGATGACAAATATTTTATACATGTTTATTGGAGCATGTAAGTATTTCATAGTACATTTTGATGGTATTGGATATTCTAAAACGATATCCTCAGCCGTTACATTCTGATTGTTTTCATCATGATTCATAAAAGGTGTTAACGTATACACTATACAACAAAAATAAGAGAAGCACAGCAGAGGGAATGAAACAATTCTTGCTGCAAAAGCATGTTTTCGCATAATGGTACGTTCTTCTATGTCCTCAATCGTCAGATAATCGTTTAAAGCAGATTTATAATTATTAATTAAATTGTTTGCATAAATACGAAACCATAATATCTTTAACACTGCAAGCGTTCCGCTACAGCTTAACATAATGCAATCCACATTCTGTCCCGCGTTAGTGCAGCCCATGTACATCTCAATGAAAGGTAAGGTTACTACAAAAACCTATTGATATGTTATTTCATATATTATTTTCATATTTTTTGAAATAATGTATTTCGATTTTAATTCGACAGGTTATTGTAAGTATTTGTATTTAAATACAAATGTGCATGATAATTTTTCTCCCTCTTCTTTTCTTCTTTTTATACCTATATCTGTACCTATTTATCTATCTATTTATCTATCTATCTGTCTATGTATCTATACATATATTTATCAATCTAATTCTTTTTATCTGTAAAAAGAGAATCTAACCAACTGCATAGAAAATGTTTTAATTTCCAATACAGAATATATAAATAATATTGTAATTACTTTTAGATTTCTTTATTAAAAATGCAAAACATTAAATATAAATATTAACCTAAACGTTTAATTTCATAAATATAAAAATATTTAAATATATTAAATATTAAATATTAAATATTAATATTAAATATTAAATATATTAAATATTTAATATTTAATATTTAATATATTAAATATATTAAATATTAAATATTATATATTAAATATTAAATTGTAAAATTCAAGAAAAAAGTTTCTCTTAAATATTTTTCAATGACTTACGATCGTATTCGAGAATATTGTATGACTTATCCATTTTGTTATTATTGCTGGCAGTTTCACTTTGTGTCAAGAGAATGAGGAATTTGTACATTTAATATTACTACCGCAATATCGAAATTTTGTCTATAGCGTTCTAATATCAGCGAAAATGTTTTACGTTGTCTTTGAACGATCGCGCGTCAATGATCATCATATTCGCATTCAAAAAGTGCATACCGCGAAACAGATGCTCAAGATACTGCGTAATAGCGAATGAAAGTTATAAACTTGCAATGGCCAAACGCCAATGGGCCAAGAAATCAATTTGAAAGGGGTCATCGCGTACGCGATATCATCCTTCCATCGTTCGCTTGCCATTGTATCGAGATAATGACTTTAACTGCCGATAACTGATACTTACTATATCGACAGATGTAGATATTACAGCTCATTTTTTATTCAACACCAAGCAGGTTTGTATACATGCTTATCAGTCTATCTCTATATTCTTGAAAAAGCATTATGGCAAAATGCAAATAACTACGCTCTTATGTATAATTGTCGCAGAGTAAAAATTTATAGAATACAATTTCTAAATTGTTATCCCGAACAACTACTTGTATTCTTTTGAGCAAAATATTAGAAAGCCTCATGTATATTTTGCTTATCTATGTACGCTCTTTGTATTATATTTTATCTCAATATTCGTTCGGCCAATGAAAAATAATATAGATTCAATTAATTTTTCTTATTTGTAAAATTTTTTCAATAACTTATCATACTTATTTGTAACTCACCACAATGTTATAAAGCATTTTGGACTTATATGGGAAATTAAAATGAGACACCCTATATATTATCAAAAATTAAAGATGTAAAATCTTGAAAATTCTCGTAAAATTTTTTTCAAAACGTTGTTATATCAATTGAAAATGTTCTTCATTATCTTCGATCGATCGTGATGATATCAATGATGATCGAATTCCAAAAGATACTTATTGCACATCAAGTTCCTAAAGCACAATGCGAATAAGTGTCATACACTTGTAATAATCATATGGCAATAAAGATAATCAATTTGAAAGGAATCATCGCGTATGCGATATCGTCTGTCCATCATTTGTTTGCCATTGTGATAATGGCTGTAATATTAATAACCGATGATCTGCCCGCTATATCAGCTTGACAGGTACACCGATTCCTTTTTTATTCATGAGGCATACTACATAAGAGATATTTGTTTATCAAATTGTCTGGATGTTCCTAAAGCCAAATAACTGACGATGTTATATGGACACCATGTACAAGTACAATTATTCGATTTCTCTTTTTATTCAACATTTTTATTATTCAAAAGATATACATGTTTATCAGTCTGCCTTTTATATTCCTAAGACACTATGAAATGTAGATGCAAGCTGCATTTTTACTTTTTAAAATTGTTGTTGAATAAAAATTTATGACAAAATTTCTAAAACTATCATCCGTTGTTTAACATTCATTTTTATAACATATATAAAATGTTACAAAAGACCGTTTGCGTTTTATTCATACGCATTTACTACATTTTGTTTCATCTCGGTATTCGTTCAATTAAATATTATAGTTTTAAATTGTCCAAAGTGAAAATGCATAATGCGTAACCCATTCTTTTCTTTATATTGTACGTCATTACAGTTGATATACTGAGAAAATATAATGCGATATAGGTAAATAATATTGTATATGAAAAAATTTTATATTTATCCGCTACTCTCTAAAAGTGAATCAGTGTATCGCGCTAATGAAAGTAAAACATATACTACTTTCACTAGCGTGAATCAGTATATTATCACTGAAAAACAGTAAATACTCACTGATTACAAGCAGTTATAAGTACAGCACTGATTACAGTGATAATACACTGATTCACTTTTAGAGAGTATAATGTAATGCAATGATTGATAATAATTCAATGCGATTATAATTAATAATTTTATTAATAAGACATTTAAATAAACTATATATTTTATTTATATCTTATTTTGTTAAAAATGTGTTATAAATTGTATTAAAATGTGTTATAAATTTCTAGTTTGTAAAAATATTCTATTTACACATGTTATATTTTATATCTCGAGCATTATACGAAGTACAGACAGATATGAAAAAGAGGTCTTCAAAATGTTTACTAAAGTTGACAAATTTACCACAACAAAATTTCCAGCTTGAAGCATGGCTGGACCTTCTGCTTGCATAAAGATGAAGACTAGATTTCTCATCAGTTTCATAGGAAATTCATACCAGGCAATTTGATAAATGGAGTACCCTATGTCTTCCATTTGGGATTTTATATATCTACCGATAAAGCTGTATCCTGTTAGTGATACCAAATAAACAATTTGTATCATTAAGCTTTGTCCCATCTTAGCAGTATCTTTTTCTTTCATTGCTATAAGGAATTGAAATCCTAAAAAGAAAATATAATATATTATTTGCCTATTGAATATGAATTGTCTTATACAACTTATAATACATCTTTTACGAAATGATATTAAATAGTTTAATATTCACCCATTGTGCATAAACATATGCTAGTAATTAAGAGCTCTAGTAACAAAGTATAATTTATAACATCGATAATTTTTCTGATCAATCCTATCAAGTAAATATGTCTCTGTATAAGTTTCTTGAAATTATCATATATTTGGGGACTTGTAACATCTAAATTGGCGAAATGGGACCTTAGAATTTTCATTTGGCCACAAACATGTAATGTAATGTTGATAAATAGTGCGTCATTACCTTTATGAAATAAAAATGCAATGACATACAAAAATTATTATTATTATTATTATTATTAATTATTAATAATTAAAAATTATTATAAATGTTATAAAATTAAAAATGTTTTATAATTATTGTACATTGTTATTATGTAATTTATATAATTTGTCACAGATAATTGTTGTATATTGTTACGTAATATAATTTTAATACAATTATATTTTTATTTCAAATATTTATAAATAACTAAATATTTAATTTTGTTTTAAATTACCATAACTATTATACTAACAATACCATATCCATTAGATGCCGCACAACACATAAATATTACCTTTATTAGCATTAGTCACTGCTACCAATGCAATTCCTTGTATGATAACAAATATTTTATGCATGCTTATTGGAACATGAAAGTATTTCATAGCACATTTTGATGGCACTGGATATTCCAACATTATATTTTCATCCGTTACATTTTGATTTATTTCGCCATGATTCATAAAAGGTACTAATGTATACGCTATACAAGAATAATAAGAACAGAACAGTAGAGGAAATGAAGCAATCCTTGATAGGAAAACATGTTTTCGCATAATATCGCGTTCTTTTGCATTGTCAATCGTCATATAATCGTTTACAGCAGATTTGTAATTGTTAATTAAGTTGTTCGCATATATGCGGTAAAATGTTATCTTCAGCACAGCAAGTAATCCGCTAAAGCTTAACATGAGGCAGTCTACAGTCCTTTCTGCATTAGCACAGCCCATATATATCTCAATAGGAGGTAAAAACATCACTGTGGCCTGTTAATATATTACCTCATGTGTAACGTTTCATATTTAGAAACAATATATCTCGATTTTAATTTGATTGATTTTTATAAATATTTCTATTTAAATGCAAATGAATGTGCATGTGATAATTATCTAACCTCTTACTTTTTCTTTTTTTCATGTTTATTTATTTATATACCTTTCCATCAATATTCTATCTATTTATTTATCTATTTATCTATAGAATCTAGTCAGAGAAAATATTTTAACTTTTTAAAATAAAATAAAATAAAATATTATAAAATAAAAAAATAAATAAATAATGCTGCAATTTTATCTTTAGATTTTTTTTTATAAAAATGCAAAAAATTGAATGTAATTACATGTTTAAATATTTAATTCCATATTACTTAAAAATATACATAAATTAATTACAAAACTCAAGCAAGAAAGTTCTTCTTAAATATTTTTTCAATGACTTACGATCGTATTTAATTATAATGCATGATTTATCCATTGTCTTATTATTGCTGGCATGATTCACTCTATATACATTGTCAATGAAAAATTTGTTTATTTAATTATACTACTATCGCAATATCGAAATTTTGTCTCGGGCGTTGCAAAATCAACGTAGAAAATGTTCTATACTGTCTTCGAACGATCGCGCGTCAATGATCATCGTGCTCGCATTCAAAAGGTGCATACCGAAAGAAAGACGCTCACGATACTGCGTAATAGCGAATAAAAGTTATAGACTTGCAGCGGCCAAACACCAATGGGCCAAGTAACCAATTTGATAGGAGTCATCGCGTATGCGATATCGTCCTCCCATCGCTTGCTTGCCATTGTTGAGATGATGACTGTAACTGACGCCAATAACTGCTGGCTATATCAACTCAGCACAGGTATTCCGACTAATTTTTTATTCATGAGAGATATTGTGGAAAATATATTTGGTTATCAAACTGTCTCTATGCTTCTGAAGCCAAATAAACAATGTTATATCGTATGTCGACATAACGCAGGTATCTCGATTCATTTTTTATTCAACATAGAAGGTATAAGTACTTATGGGTCTACTTTTATTCACTTAAGATATAAAATATAAATGCGTAAACTATGCTTTTACAAAATTGTTGTTGAACAAAAATTTATACAATAAAGTTTCTAAATTATTGTCCGTCGAGCTATTTCTTTTTATTACGAGAAATGTTAGAACAAAACTGTGTGTATTTTACTTATACGAATATATCACATTTAATTTTATTTCCATATCCGTCCAATTAAATAGCATAGTTTTAATCTGTTAAAATTAAAAATACATACATACTTCTTTTATATTGCAGATCATCACAGATGACGTGCTAAGAAATTCTAATGCGTTGTAGATGTATAAGATATGATAGACTAGCATTTTCTATAGCATATGGGGTAATCGATTTTACGGGAAAAAGGGAAAGAGCTAAGACTAAGAGATATTTTTTCTGTCTTATAACAACTAATGTTGTTAACAATCTCTTTAATGTCATCATATCATATGAATATTTTTATATATAAAAGTTAAACAATATTAAGTGAAAACATAATTTGTGTGTGTACAATTTTTCTTTAATTTGGTTTTCTCTAAATAGGTCAAATTCTAACTACAATTATAATTCACATCAGTCGTCATACACAAAATGACGACTGACAAAAGGCAAGTGTATATCTGTGCAAAATTATCTTGCAATTCTTTCTCTTTATAAAAACAATTATGTACATATAGCAAAATATGTGTATATATACTGAGTCCATCTATATACTCCTGGATAAAATTAACGCATAATTTTTTTTGCACTTTATATGAAGGCAATAATATAATAAGTAAATAATATCATATGTTAGGAAATTTTATTTCTCTTGATTTCAATGCTTTTTCATATCATTAATTCTTTAATATTTCTTTAATAAAATATTTTTTTTTAAAGAATTGATTTTTTAACTAAATAAATTTTATTTTTGTAAAGATTCTATTTTTTCTAAAGGAAATTTTAAATATGATAAGTTTTCTTATGATTTTCAGTAATTTTCCATGCTATTAATTTATATTTTCTTTTTAATGTTTTTGTGAAAAATCTTTTTCTTAGCTAGAGATGTTATTTTTTGTAAGAATTCTATATTTTCTACACTGTAATTTCGAAGAAAGAAGGATATACATACACACAGTGCTCTTTTTACATTTTTAATACATTTTTAAGCACATTTCACATATTTTAGTAAAGAAAAAATTCAATGCCATTAATCTTTGGTTATGAGAATTATAATCAATAGACATCTAAAGACCACAATGTACGAATATGTTATTATGTTATATATAATTATTTCTATATGTAATTATTTTATCTTTTAAAATTAATAATTAAAAAACTGGAGGTGAATATACATTTAGAAAATATTTAAAATTATTAAATTAAATCAATTTAAACAATTTTTTAATTAACATAATTAATCATGTAATTTGTTGAAGTTTTTTATGCGAAATGATTGCGAATTTTATTGCTATTACCTCGTTTATTAATTGTAATGGATTAATTATATAATTGTGCTCATAAAGATATTAACACTCGGTCACTCACTAAATCAACTATTGTAGATTAAATTAATATTTTTGTACATTATACCAGTATTAATACTGTCGTACACTGATACACACACAATGCACGCACTAGCACATTCGCACTTGTAATCAAAATCGTCCTTAATTTTTTGCAATCTTGATCATACTCGTACTTATGCTCTTACTCGATCTGATTTTTTGGTTTCGTGTCGTTAGTTCATATCCTTTGAATTTCCACGCAATATCTCTCCCCATCTACCGCCACGCTTGCGCAAATGCTTATTGACAATCGCCTCAAGCATATCAATCATAGATCACATTTTTCGGTTGTTGTAAATTCAATACATAATTATTAAATATGTTTAAAAATTTATTTAACAAAAATAAGAATCATACTTTACAAAAATGTACATTTATTATAATGAACATCAATAGGGAATCTGAATTCACAGATTTCCGACGATCCAGTTACTATGTAAGATTTTTTTAAAATCATTTCAAGAAGTAAACGTTAATATTTTAAAAATGATGCTTCTTAAAATATGCAAATAGTAAAAGATTATAGAGTAATTAAGAAACCATAAGATAACATTTTTCAAAAATCACTCATAAAAATATGATACCTGTACTGTTTGTTGACGCTCTTTGAAAGATTAAGAAACTCTGAGATGAAATTGATCAGAATCTACGTTTGGAGATAAACGATAATATTTCAAAAATACACCGTAAATATACTGAGACCTGTGCTATAAATTGAGATTCCTAGAAAAACTAAGAAAACAGATTAAAATTTCTATGCATAAAATATATATCTTTGCAATGGTTATATAAATTGCTGTCATTTTGGATATAATCAATGTAATCAAAAAATTCTTTAATTGTGTTTTTTAATTGCTTTAATTAAAAGAAAATAATTAATTAGCTTGTAATTATGAAAGAAAGAGAAAAACCGATAGAGTTGTCATCCCAAAAAAAGACACGCAGTAGCGTAGCTGTTACAGAATTGTATTATTATGCTACTTTAGCGCGAGATGCTATATCTATTAATTCAATGACTATTATCAATGAGAGTACATTTAATACTACTATCGTAATATCGAAATTTTATCTAGAGCGTTGCAATATCAATATAAAAAAGATTCTATATTGTCTTCAAACAAATGCGCAGCAATGATCATCGCGTTCGCTTTTAAAAGATGCATATGCATATTGAAAAACAGATGATACTTAAAATATTGTGTAATAGTGAACAAAAATTATAATCTTTTTAAATAGGAACCAAACGTTAATGGGCCATAAAATCAATTTGAATGGAGATATCGCATATGCGATATCGTCCATCCATAGTTTGCTTGTCATTGTCATGATACTGTTAATGACAATGACAATGGTGTACCTGAATGTCTCTAATAATGACAATCTATAACTGATGCCAATAATCGATGATCCACTCGCAAAATCAATTTGATACAAATATATCAATTCATTTTTTATTTATGAGGGATATTACATAAGAAATATTTGTGCTTCTCAAACTGTCTCGATGCTCCTAAAGACAAATAACCGATGTTATATAGACATAATGTGCAAGTACTATATTTCGATTTATTTTTTATTTAACATAAAAGATATACATGTTTATCAGTCTGCTTTTATATTCCTAAGGCATTATGAAATGTAAATACAAACTACGCGTTTACGTAAAATTGTCCTTGAATAAAAATTTATATGACAAAGTTTCGAAATTGACGTCCATCGCTCAACCATCCCTTTTTGGCGTAAAATATTACAAGAAATTGTGTGCATCTTGCTGTATACGCATTTACTACATTTTATTTCATCTCAACATTTATTCGGTTATATATTATAATTTCAGTCTGTCCAAAGTGAAAATACATAGCGCGTTCACTCTTTTCTTTATATTGTAGATCATCGCAGTTGACATACTGAGAAAATATAATGCAATATAGATAAGTAATTGTATGTCAAAAGTTTTTATATCTCTCCGCTATAATCTAATGCAATGATTAATAATAATTTAATGCAATTATAATTAATAATTTTAATGATAAGACATTTAAATAAACTATATGTTTTATTTATATTTTTTTTATTAAATGTGTTATAAATTTCTAGTTTGTAAAAATATTTTATTTACACATATTATATTTCATGTATCGAGCATTATACGAAGTACAGACAGATATGAAAAAGAGGTCTTCAAAACGTTTACTAAAGTTGACAAATTTACCACAATAAAATTCCCAGCTTGAAGCATGGCTGGACCTTCTGTTTGCATAAAGATGAAAACTAGATTCCTTGTCAGTTTCATAGGAAATTCATACCAAGCAATTTGATAAATGGAATATCCTATGTCTTCCATTTGGGACTTTAGATATCTTCCGATAAAACTGTACACTGATAGAGTGACCAAAAAAACAATTTGCACCATTAAACTTTGTGCCATTTTAACTACATCCTTTTCTTTCAATGCTACAATGAACTGAAATCCTGAAAATAAAATATTTGCTTACTGAACACAAATCCTATTTAATTTAATTATAATACCTATTTTGCGAAATGATATTAAATAATTAAATATTTACCCATTACGCATAAACATATACTAGTAATAAAGAGTTCTAGTAATAAAATAAAACTCATAACATCAACAAGTTTCCTTGTCATTTCTATTAAGTAAATATGTCTCTGTATAAGTTTCTTGAAACGATCATAAATTTGCGAATTTGTAGCATCTACATTGGCGAAATGAGACCTTAGAATTTTCATTTGACCACAGATATGTAATATAATGTTGATAAATAGTGCGTCGCTACCTTTATAAAATAAATATACTTTGATAAGGATAATAATATTTATTATTATATAATTATTATTATAATTTACAAATATGTTTCATAATGTAACATACAGGCAATTATTAAATATTGTTATGTAATATAATTTTTAATATAATTCTATTTTGATTTTCAACTTTAAAGTATTTAATTTTTATTTGTTTATTTTTTTATTTTCTATATAATTATAATCTTCATATATGTATGTATATATTTACATAATTATATTTTTTACTACTATTATATTAATTATATTTATAATTTATATTATTTATTTTTTACATAATCATGTAATATGTTTTATATTTATGTGTAATATGTTTTATATTTATGTGTAATTTCGATTTTTGATTTATTTATGATATGTGATATAAATAATTGGAAAATTTTTAATTTTTATTCAAAATTTCCACACACATTTAAAACACATGATAAATAAGATCAAACAAAAGATATATAAATATACGTCGCACAACAAATAAATATTACCTTTATTGCAATTAGACACTATTATTAGTGACATAGATTGTATGATGAAAAATATTTTGTACATGCTTGTTGGAGCATGAAAGTATTTCAGAGTACATTTTGATGGCAATGGATATTCCAACATCATGTTTTCATCCGTTACGTTTCTTTCATCATGATTCATCATAAGAGCTGTTAATGTAAAAACTACTGCAGCATAATAAGAACAAAACAACAGAGGAAATGAAGCGATCCTTGACATGAAAACATGTTTTCGCATAATTATACGTTCTTCTACATTCTTAATTGCTATATAATCCTTAACAGCAGATTTATAATTGTTAATTAAATTGTTTGCATAGATACGGAACCATATTGTCTTCAGCACACCAAGTAATCCGGCAAAGGTGAACATGATAGAGTCTACACTCTTTTCCGCATTAGTGCAGCCCATGTATACCTCAATGGGAGGTAAGATCATTACTATGCCCTGTTGATACGTTATCTAGTGTATAACACTTCGTATTTAGAAACAATATATCTCGACTCTAACTTCAACTGATTTTTATAAGTATTATAATTAAATGTGCTTGATAGTTTTCCCTCTTACTTTCTCTTTTTTTATATTTATATTTATGGTTATTTATATTTTTTATATTTATGTGTGGTTATCTATATATTTATCTCACTGTATTGGTTATCCATATATTTATCTATCTGTTTATCTATATATTTATCTGTATATTTATCTATATATCTATCTATGTTCTGCCTATCTATCTATGTATGTATTTATTTGTAGAATCTAGTGCAGAGAAAATATGTTTACTTTTTAAATAAAATAAATAAATAATGCTATAATTTTACCTTTAGATTTCTTTATAAAAATGTAAAATATTGAATGTAATAATATGTTCAAATATTTAATTTTATGTTACTTAAAAATATATATAAATGAATTACAAAACTCAAGCAAGAAGGTTCTTAGATATTTTTCAATGACTTACGATCGTGTTTAATTATAATGACTTTTAACTAGTATGACTTATCCATTGTGTTATCACTGCTGGCATGTTTCACTGTACATACGTTGTCAAAAAAAAGTTTGTATATTTAATACTACTATCGCAATATCGAAATTTTGCCGCGATACAAAATCAACAGAAAACATTCTATGTTGTCTTTAAACGATCGCGTATCAATGATCATCGTGTTCGCATTCAAAAGGTGCATACCGAAAGACAGATACCAAAGATACTGCGTAATATCGAATAAAAGTTATAGACTTGCAGCGGCCAAACGCCAATGGGCCAAGTAATCAATTTGATAGGAGTCATCGCATATGCGATATCGTCCTTCCACCGCTCGCTTGCCATTGTTGAAATAATGATTCTAACTGATGCCAATAACCGATGATCCGTTCGCTATAGTGAGTTATAATAGGCGCAAGTATTTCAATTCATTTTTTATTCAACATATTACATGTTTATGAGGGTGCTTCTATATTCTTAAGGCAATATGACAAAATACCTACGTAAATAACTACGTTCTTACGTAAAATTGTTGAATAAAAATTTATGATACAATTTTTTAAATTGTTAGCTGTATAGTGAGCAATTATTTCTTTTTGTTGAGTAAGAAAAATGTTGGAAGAAGTGCGCATCTTATTTGTCTGTCTATGCACTTTCTATTGATATTCGTGAGGATAACAATAAATAGTGAAAATTCAAAATCTATTCAATATTTGTTGAAAATATGATAAATATTTGTTCAATATTTGTTAAAAATATGATAAATAACTTATTCTTTTCAATCTATATTTAAGCCATTAAATTTAACTGATAGGGAAATACGCGACACACACACGTAAATAATTGTACATGTTAGAAAATATCGATTCTCAAATTCAATATGATAATGTATTAATATTATAGTAATTTCAACTATGTTAGTATTATTAATATTAGGAAATATTTATTTGACAAGCAGATTATTGTAAGTGAAAAGTTTATTGACGTAACATTCTTAAAAACACTTTTTCATACATTCCTGTTTTTGAAAACATTGTATTGTGCAATTTCAAACATATCAAATATTGTATTTAGAATTTGCAGATTTGTTTCATTCGCAGCTTAGATTTCAAACTTCGAGCATTATACGAAGTACAGATAAATAGGAAAAAGAGGTTTTCAAAATGCTCACATAAGTTGACAGATTGACTAGAATGAAATTTCCAGCCTGAATCGCGACTGAAGATTTTGCCTGCATAAGAATAAAGATTATGTTTCTTGTCAATTTCCTAGGAAAATTATACCAAGCACTTTGATAAATAGAAAATCCTATCTCTTCCATTTCAGATTTCAAATAATTCCCGACAAAACTATATAGCGTTAGTTGTGTCAAGAAGGCACTCAATACCATTAAGCTCTTTCCTATCATTACTGTATTATTGACTTTCAACGCTAAAATAAGCTGAAATCCTGAAAAAAAATGTTTGTTTGCTAAATATAAATTTCTTTTTCTACATTTGTAATTCATATTTCGTTGAACAATTTAGGTTTTTGACATAATATTCACCCATTATACACAATAATATGCTGATAATGAATAATTCCATAAGCAATACGAAACTTATCAAATCAGCAAGTTCCCTGGCCAACATTATCAAGTAACGATGTCTCTGAATTAGCGCGTTGAAACGATCATAGATTCGCGGTCTTGTGATATCAAAATTGACAAAATGGATCCTTAAAATATTCACTTGACCACAAATATGCAGTGTAATATTGAGAAACAACGCGTCATTACCTTTGGGAAATGCATTGATGCACCAAATATCTTATTACATTGAAATTTAAAACAGCATTTATTATTCTAATGTATACTTAAATTACACAGGCCCGCACAGAAATTTTAGGTTCTGTTAGTTACAAAAAGCAGAATAGATGAATTTGATAAATTTTTTGACACTGAAAACGAATCTGGCAGAATTCTCCAGCTCATAAAGTTTTAAGTAATTTGTGATTAAATAATTTAAAAATTATTTGGACCATTTTTATAAATTTGTTATAGGAAACCTAATTTTTCGAAATATTTCTGCCAATGACATTTTATAGAACTATCAGTTTCGTTTTCAACATCAAAAAATCTATCAGATTCACTTTCTACTGTTTGACTGACTCTCGCAGGCCTGTATTATTTTTTTTATAAAAAAATATATCACAAAATATAGTAAATAATATTGCTTTTATATTGTGTGTGTGTATGTGTAACATAATATGCATTGCATAAGGCGCAAAAGTTTTTAAAAAATTTTAAGTTTATTTTAACAATCAATAAAATACATTAAGACTGTCATATGTAATTATTCGTGATATATTAAAAAAATTGCATCTAATCTAATATGTCTTATCAAGAATCTGAACTAGGTGAATTTAGTGCATTTTGAACCATCTTAAAGAAACAGTTTATCGTTAAATTATGCAAACTTCCGCGCCTTGTATTGTTGTCTATAATGCATAAAGAGTGCAATAATATTAATAATATACTATTTAATAAAAAAGTTTTTGTTTTTAAGTAATATTAAATATAGACACAAAATAAAAAATTAGGTCAATATTACCAAGATTAGTTGTAGTCGCCAGTGTCATTATAATAGTTTCGACGATACAGGAAATTTCATATGTGCTCGTTGGAAACTTGAAATATTCTAGAACGCATCTTGATGGTATCGTATATTCCAATACCATATCCTTGTTCGTTATATTAATTCGATTACCTTGGTCATAATATAAAAAAGGAATTATTCCATATATTAGACAACTAAAGTAAGAAAAGCCCAGCATAGAACAGCAAACAATTCTTGCTGCAAAAGCATGTTTTCGCATAATTTCACGATCTTTTATGTTGTCAATGGTTAGATAATCCTTCAGAGCAGAATCATAATTGTTAATTAAACTATTTGCATGAATGCGGAACCAAGTTGTCTTCAGCACACCGAGAAGTCCGCAACAGATTAACATCAGACAGTCTATGTTCTGCTCTATGTCAGTACAACCCATGTATAACTCCATGGAAGGCAAGATCACAACTAGACTCTGTTGATACATTTCTCCATATATGATGTTTCATGTTTAGAAAGAAATTATCTCACTCTTAATTCAATAAATATTTTTTAATGAATATTTCTATTTAAATATTGTGTCTCTCTCTCTTTTTTCTCTCCCCCCTTCTCTTATTCTATAGAATATGATATAAGAAATATTCTTTTTTTCAGATTGATTTATAAAAGCAAAGTATTATACAATTATATTATACATATTTATATATTCATATATGTATGTAATCTTTGAATAAATTAAAAAACGCAAAAAGATATTATTTAACATTTAATAATTTATTTAAAGAAAAAATTTTTTGCGTTAAAATATGAGTACACAATAAAGTTTAACTAATGATAACATTATTTAGAATTTATGTGACATTTTGTAACACGTTACGTAATTTATTTTATATACAATCGTTATAAAATAAAATCACGAAATATTATAACGCACATTTCTCATTATTTTTCTCGAAAATGATTGTATTATTTTCACACGAAAAAAAACATACTCTTGAAATTTAAAAAAGAAATCTTTAATATTGTTAGAATTATTTGACGACTTACAATCCTTATTTATAATTCTCATTCACTGTTATTACTGCTACCAAAATCGTTTCATCATACACATTATCAAACATCTAAAATTTTGACACATTCTCATAGCGACATCGAACTCTTTTTCCAGAATTTTGCAACTTTGAAAATATTCTTGGTTGTCTTCGATCGATCGTGATCGTGTCAAAGATAAATTTCAAATGATACTTACCGCACAACAAGTGCCTAAGGCACAACGAAATAGCGAATAAATGTCATAAACTTGAAGTGGCCATACGCCAATAGGCCACGTAATCAATTTAAAAGGGGTCATCGCGTATGCGATATCGTCCCTCCATCGCTCGCTTGCCATTGTCGAGATAATGATTGTAACCGATGCAAGTAACCAACGATCTGCTGATTATATGAACGTGACACAGGTATTCCTATTTATTTTCTATTCATGAAGAATATTGTGTAAAAAATATTTGGTTATCAAACTGTCTCTATGATCCTAAAGCTAAATAACCGATGTTATATCAATACATAGATATTTTGATTCATTTTTTATTCAAGATAAAAGGTATACATGCTTATCAGTCTGCTTTTATGCTCTTAAGGTATTATGAGATATGGATGCAAACTACGCATTTATGTAAAATTGTCATTGAATAATAAATTATACGACAAAGTTTCTAAATTGTTATCATCGATCATCCGTTCCTTTTCATTGAGTGAAAAGTTACCGAAAAATTTGTGTGCGTTTTGCTCATGCGCATCTAAACTATTTTATTCATCTTGATATTAGTTCGATTAAATAGTGTTGATTCAATCTGTTAAAAGTGAAAATATATAATAAATAACTCACTCTGTTTTTTATATATTGCAGATCAATTCAGGCATTCAATTAGCATATTGAGAAAATATAATGCGATAGATTTAAATAATTGTGTGTGTGTGTGTATGTGTGTGTGTGTGTGTCGTCAGCTAATTTTATGAATATACAGGATGATAACAATCACCTCACCCATCGTGTGCTAATTATTATCGGAACACTGTATATTTCTCTGCTATAATATAATAATTAAATGACTTCAATGAGACAGGTAATAATTCAATGATTATAATTAATAATTTTATTGATAAGACATTTAAATAAACTATATATTTTATTTATATTTTATTTTGTTAAACATGTACTAATTTCTGTTTGTAAAAATATTTTATTTACACATGTTATATTTTATGTCTCAAGCATCATACGAAGTACAGACAGATATGAAAAAGAGGTCTTCAAAATGCTTACTAAAGTTGTCAAATTTATCAGAATAAAATTCCCAGCTTGAAACATGTATGGAGCTTCTGTTTGCATAAAGATGAACACTAGATTCCTCATCAGTTTAATTGGAAATTCATACCAAGCAATTTGATAAATAGAATAACCTATATCTTCCATTAAGGACTTTAGGTAATTTCCGATGAAGCTGTACACTGATAACTTTACCAAAAAAACACTTTGTGCCATTAAACTTTGTCCTATCATAACAGAATCTTTGTCTTTCAATGCTATGATGAACTGAAATCCTGAAAAGAAAATATTTGCCTGCTAAACATAGATTTTTTATGTAACTTAATTTACAATATATATTATGTGGAAATATAAAATAATTTAATATAAAAATAATTTTGAAGGCACAATACAAAATAATTTAATATTTACCCATTATGCATATACATATGCTAATAATAAAGAGCTCTGCTAATAAAATAAGACTAATAACTTCAGCAAGTTCTCTGATCATTCCTATCAAGTAAATATGTCTTTGTATAAGTTTATTGAAATAATCGTAAATTTGTGGACATGTAACATCTAAGTTGGCGAAATGGGATCTTAGAATTTTCATTTGACCACAGACATGTAATGTAACGTTGATAAATAGTGCGTCGCTACCTTTATAAATTAAAAATACATTGACATACAAAAGGGCAATAATATTTGACATTGTAATTAATAAATATGTTTATAATATAACAGATAATTATTGCAAATTGCGTTTTTTGGTACAATTTGATAAAACTCTTAATTTTCAGTTTTTTTAAATATTTAACTTTTATTTATATATATATATATATATATATATATATATATTATATATATTTATATATATTTATATATATATTTATTTATATATATTTATATATATATATATTTATTTATTTATTTAAATAAAAGTTATATCACTTATATTTAAATTTTACATAATTATAATTTTTTAATCTTTTTTCATATACTATATTTTATAAAATGCTTATGCAAATAATGTATGTAATAAAATAAATATATAACGCATACCCTATGGCAGAAATTTTTAGAATTCCTTAAATTCTACAGTGAGCTTCTTTAGCAAATAGTAATGAATTTATATACGTTATTTTCTCTTACGCGTAAAAAACATAACTTTCATTATCTATATAAAAGTTAATTATTACTAAAACATTTTATTATAGATATTTTAAGTATATTGAAATAAAATCCAGAATATTTTATACATGTTATACTAATGTAATTTATGTTAGACTAATAAAATTTAAAAATTTAAATAATTTAGATAACTTAAAATGAGAGAAAGAGAGGGAGGGAGAGAGGGAGAGAGAGAGAGAGAGAGAGAGAGACAGAGAAAGAGAGAGAGAATTGTTATCGAGAAAATGAAAAAAGGACAAGCAATATATAATATCTGACTTGTGAGTATAAATAATATATATAAATGATATATATAAGTCTAATATATAAATAATATATATAATATACTGAAATATACTGTATAATGTAATAAATCTCGATCAAAGTGCTTTTTGAAGCGTATATTTGGCGTAATTTATTCATTTCATTAAGTAAGAATCGTAGAAACAGAAATCTAAAATAATTATAGTTTCGATATAATATTGATTTTTACAAGCAGAAATTATTACTTTAATGATATTTATAGAATCAAATATAATTCGAAGCTTTATCTCGTTCTATTTTTTAATTATTTAAATATAATTTAAATTCAAAACACCCAGCAAAATAATCGAATCATAATTGGAAGTAATTAATATAATAAAAAGTTTTGTGATACATCAATCCTTTAACAAATATTATTTAATTAATCTATATAATCTAAAACACTCCTATATATTTTAATATTCCGTGTATATGTTAAAGTACATAAAATATTTCGGCAATGAATGGACAATAACACGTTCGGCCTTGGTGCGTATGACGCGCTGTGTTTACATCTTTCGGCGTTGCTATCATTCGCACGGCAACATTCGAAGAGTAAGGTGCGAAATACTTCGTATATTGTCAAATTTTCTCTTTAACAATAAAATATCCTATGATTCAACGCAATCGCGATTAGCGTTGAATCATAATTCGCTATGATAATTATAATTAATATACTTGCTATAATACTTGCTAAACTTTTAATTATAATTATTACGCAATTGGGAGTGCCGTGCAAAATGTCTCACGAATGTTGCATATAACTAATCTTAATTAATCTTGTTCTCGGGAGTGAATGTGAGTACAACGAAGAAATAGCAAAGGAAAGAAAAAGCAAATCTGCACTGAGCAACGTACGGAGCAATAATATGTGGTAAATAATTTATATTTTATTTATCATTTATATTTAGACTATATTATATATGTATCATTTATATATTAGATTTATATGTATATATTATTTATATATATATTTTTATCATTTATATTTAGATCATATTAAATATTGCTTGTCCTTTTTCATTCTCTCTCTCTCTCTCTCTCTCTCTCTCTCTCTCTCTCTCTCTCTCTCTCTCTCTCTCTCTCTCCCCCCCCTCCCCCCTCTCTCTCATTCTAAGTTATCTAAATTATATAAATTTTTAAATATATTAATATAACATAAATTACATTATATAACATATATATAAAATATTCTGGATTTTATTTTAATATACTTAAAATATCTATAATAATATGTTCTCGTATTAATTAATATTTTTATGTGGATAGTAATATTTTACAAACTGCTTCACAATATTATATTATTTAGATATTTTATACATAAAACATCTTTTTATTTTCATAAGTTTATTCGAAAAAGAAATTGGTAATTATTTATATTAACAGACATCTCGCCGATGACCTTGATCTTTACATATAGAGGTGAGGATGCTAATTAATTTTTCTCTTTGTTTTATTTGGCAGTCTCTTATAATTTTGAGATATTTAATGAAAAATGTTTGGTGTGATTATAACATAATTTTCTGATTTCTAATTATAACATAATTTTCTATTTTCATCATATACATTTAATACACATACATACATGAGCTGTTAGTGTAAAGAGGCTTCGCCGTTTCCTCTTCATCCTCACTCCGAAAAAAAGTTTCCATTTTGTGTAATAGAAAAGCACAATGAAATTTGGATTATATAATATAATTCAAACCAAATTATAGTTCTAAATCAGAAATAGGTTTGGATTATATCTTCTGAAAGTGTAACATCCACGTAAGGATGTCCGTTAATATAAATAATCACTAATAAATTAATTTAAAAAAAATATATATAATTAATATTATACTACTATTCATTATTTATTATATATAATTATGTGATGTATATATATATATATATATATATATATATAATATACATCACATAATTATATATAAATCATCAATATATAGTATCATTATATATGTATATTTATAATTTGTAATTTAATTTTTTGATTTATAATGTACAAATATTATACATATGTATATTATACATACACATATATATATATATATATATACATATTTTTAAACATATATATATATATATATATATGTTTAAAAATATTATATAATATTATATATGTGTCTAAATATATAATTAAAAATTCTCTTAACTTTTGTTCAAAGTTTCGAGAGACTCATTTATATAATTTAATATAAGAGATGCCATACAACAAATAAATATTACCAAGATTAGCATTAGTCACTACTATCAGTGAAATAGCTTGAATGATGACAAATATTTTGTACATGTTTATTGGAGCATGAAAGTATTTCATAGTACATTTTGATGGTATTGGATATTCTAATACGATATCCTCAGCCGTTACGTTCTGATTCTTTTCATCATGATTCATAAAAGGTGTTAACGTATACACTATACAACAAAAATAAGAGAAGCACAGCAGAGGAAATGAAACAATTTTTGCTATAAAAGCATGTTTTCGCATTATTATACGTTCTTTTATGTTCCCAATTGTCAAATAATCGTTTAATGCAGATTTATAGTTGTTAATTAAATTGCTTGCATAAATGCGGAACAATATTATCTTCAGCACAGCAAGCGATCCGCAAAAGCTTAACATGATACAGTCCACATTTTGTCCCGCGCTAGTACAGCCCATGTACATCTCAATGGGAGGTATGATTACCACTATAGCCTGTTGATATTATCTCGTGTATAACATTTGGTAAGAAACATTATTTAGAAATAATATATTTCGATTCAATTGATTTTTATAAATATTTGTATTTAAATATAAATATATATGCATGTGTTTTCTCTGTCTTTTCTTGCTTTTTAGGGTATATACGTGTTGTATTAGCTCTTACTGCCAATTTCGATTTAATATTTAAAATTCTGTAATATTATTTATTTAATATGTTTTTTTACATGACATTATTAATTATAAATTAGTAAAATTATAAAATAAATTGTGCGTGTGTGTGTGTGTAATAGCATGTTTAGTGTAATATTTATAAATATAATTTTGATCTTAATATATATTGTCAAAAGACATGACCTTAAGTAATCTAAAAAAAATTTTGTTATTATTTATTAAAAAATTATTAATAAATGCTTTTATTAAAATTCATAAATTAAGATCAAAGCATATATCGAAAGATTGATAAATTTAAATTATTTTACATAATTCATATTAGCATTACTATTTATATATTGCATGTACCACATGTATACACTTAGCAAGTACAGATCTTCTCAGATATTAAAATATTTTTAAAAGTTATTTGAAATTATATAAGACCTTCATCATATCAAACAAAATCATCTAAGGATATTATATTATAATTAATAATTACCATATAATATTTCTCAAAAAGAATTGTTATCTTTAATCTTTCTAATTAAAAAAAATAAACATAATAAAGTAACTCAAAAACTCAAGAAAAAAATTCTTCTTACAATTAAATATTTTTCAATGACTTACGATCGCGTTCGATTATAATGTATGACTTATCCATTGTGTTATTACTGCCGGCAAAGCATTTCACTCTATATAAATTGCCATAAATGAAAAAAAAATTTGTATATTTAATATTATTAATTGCAATATCAAAATTTTGTCTGGCAAGATCACGTTGCAAGATTAACGCAGAAGACATTCTGCGTTGTCTTCGAACGATCGCGCGTCAATGATCATCGTGTTCACATGATGTCACAAAAAGTGCGTACCGCGAAACAGGTGCTCAAGATACTGCGTAATAACGAATAAAAGTTATAAACTTGCAATGGCCAAACGCCAATGGGCCAAGAAACTAATTTATAAGAGGTCGTCACGTATGCGATATCGTCCTTCCATCGCTTGCTTGCCATTGTTGACTATGATTATAACTGACGCTAATAACCGATGATCCGCTCACTATAGTGGCGCAAGTATTTCAATTCATTTTTTATTCAACATAATACATATTTATGAGGGTGCTTCTATATTCTTAAGGGATTATGACAAAATACCTACGCAAATAACTACGCTCTTACGTAAAATTGTTGAATAAAAATTTATAATACAATTTTCCATCGTTCACTTGCCATTGTCGAAATAATGACCATAACTGCTGTCGATGTACCGTTTGCTATATCGAACGCAGATATTTACTTATTTTTTATTCAACATGCTGGATATACATGTTTATCTCAATCTGTCTTTTTTTCTTGATACATTACGACAAAATGCATATATAACTACGCTCTTACGGAACATTGTCGTTGAGTAAAAATTTATGATGCAATTTCTAAGTTGTTATCCGTCCATCGAGCAACTATTTTTTTTATCGAGTAATGTAGAAGGCATCATGTGCGTTTTGCTTATATCTATGTATGTACGCACATTGTATTACATTTTATCTTGACATTCGTTTGACTAACATTAAATAATATAGATTTAATTTATTGAAAAATGAAGATATATAAACTAACTCGTTTTTTTTATGTTAATAGTTAATGAAGATATATAAACTAACTCGTTTTTTATGTTAAGTCATCAAAGCTGATATAAAAAAATAATACATTATAAGTAAATAATATTGTATATTAAAGTATAGAAATTTTTTTCTCTTTGTTATAATATTATAATGATATTCAAATATATATATGTATATATTTTTGACATTGCATAAAGTTGATTAATTCAGTTATTGATAGATTATTGTAAATAATGATTATAATTTAATCATTTTATTATGATTTTAATAAACTATTTATGTTATGTATTTCTTTGGTCTCCTGTGTAATAATTTACAATTTGTAAAGTTTATTTATACATCTGTTTAATTTCACGTTTTAAGCTTTATACGAAGATAAAGACAGATATGAAAAAGAGATTTTTAAAATGCTTAGTAAAGTTGACAAATTTATCATAATAAAATTTGCAACTTGAAAGATAACTGGTGAACTTGTTTACATAAATATGAAGACTAGATTTTTCGTTATTTCGTTATTTAGAAAATTCATAGATACTTTGTTAAATAAACAACGCTCCATTTTGAAAGAACTTTTAAAAATAATTATGTTATATATTTGCTATTATTTTGATATAATTTTACTTTAATTCGAAATTATTGTTACTATATACAAAGTTATTATCAACATTATAGTAATAATTATAAAAATAGAAATTTTAATTACAATTTTTTTACTATGTAATTATTATATAATTGGCTCTTTTTCTCAGTGCATGCCATCGGAGATCAAGATAATGATTCTAATTGAGATCAATAATAGATAACGATGTGCTCGCTATATCGACGCAAGTACTTTGCAGGACATTTTTTATTAAGTATGAAGGGTTAGATATATTCATCTGCCCTTTGCATTCTTCGCATTGATACATTATTCACAAAATATATAAAAAATCTATACAAAATTATTGCTGGATAACAGTCTACATAATTACGCTTTCTAAATTATCGGTTATCAAGCAATTACTTTTTTTTGTTACTCAAAATGTCAGGAAAAATTGTATACATTTTCCTTATCACATATATACGTGCACATTATGCTATAATTTATTCCATCTTAATATCTGTTCGACTAAATAATATGAAACTCCATCCAAAAATATGTAATAACTCATTCTTCTTTTATGTTGCAGATTGCAAACTAACAAGAGTTTTATAGATAAATAATAATATTAATTAAATTAAGAATAATAAATAGGTAAATAACTAAATCATTAATTTATAAAAAAATTAAGAATAATATATTAATAAATGATGTAAATAATATTAATAAATTTATAATATTAAATAATATTAATATAATATTAATATTATTAATTTAATATATAATATTAATAAATTAATCAAAAAGAAAATGACATAAGAGCCAACGCGCGGTAGTTGGAACACAGAAGAGCAACTTCTTTCTTTTTTCAATATTAGTTTATTAAAAAACACATTATAATAAGCGCGTTGGCTCTTATGCCATTTTCTTTTTGATTTTTTGATTACTTGAGCCAAGTCTCTAATTATTAAATTTAATAAATTAATATTATTTATAATAAATATTATAAATAATATTAATTTTATATTAAGAAACTTCTTTTTTTCCATTACTGTATAATACAATATATATTATAACATTTTAACAACAATTTCAAAAATATGTATATTTTTTGCCATTACATGAAAAAGATCGATTTGGCACATATACTACTAATATCAATTATATAAGTAACTAATTTATAAGTAATTATTTTAATAAACTATTTATTTTATTACTTTTTCGATCACGCATCATGTACTTACATATTTGTAGAATTCCTTCTTCACTTGTACAGATTTCATGTTTCCAGCATTACACGAAGTACAGATAGATAGGAAAAAGAGGATTTTAAGATACTCATGTATGTTGACAGGTTTATCATTATGAAATTTCCAGCTTGCAAAGCAACTGGATATTCTGTCTGCATAAAAATGAAGATCAAATTCTTCATTAGTTTTGCAGGAAAATCACACCATGCGCTTTGATAGATGGAGAATCTTATGTCTTCCATTTGAGACTTCAGATAATTTCCAATTAAGCTATACACTGTTAATTGTGACAGAAAGGTGCACAGAACCATTAAACTCTTTGTCATCATAACAGTGTCATTATTTTTTAACGCTATCATGAATTGAAGTCCTGTGAACAGAATATTTATCTGTTAAATATATAAATTATTTTTTATAACGTAATTTCGCGAATCGGTCTCACAATTGATACAATATTCACCCATTACACATAATAATATGCTGATAATAAATAGCTCTATCAATAAAATGAAACTGATCATATCGGCCAATTTCCTTGTCAACATTATCAAGTAACAGTGTCTTTGAATTAGCGCGTTGAAACGATCGTGGACTCGCGGACTTGTAACATTAAAATCGACGAAATGGTCTCTCAGAATTTTTACTTGACCGCAAATATGTAATGTGATATTTAGAAATAACGCGTCGTTACCTTTATATATGAAAAAAATTCATTAATTTAATAATTAATATACTCTTTATGTTAATTAAAAGATATGTATCTAAATAATTTTCTTTTATGACAGAAAGATACACGTCATATTAATAAAAGAAATAAAAAATTTTTTTCAAATAAAATAATATAATTACAAGTATATTTCTATAGTGTTTGATTGATACTAGTTAAAGCAAAAATTGCATAAAATTGTCAATCAATAGAATAGACATTATTACCGATATGAGCATTAGTCGACAGTATCATCGCAACAACTTGGATGAGACAAAAAGCTTTATACATGCTTGCTGGAGCATGGAAGTATTCCATAGTACATCCTGAAGGTATCGCATATTTCAATATCGCATCCTCGTTCATTGATCTAGTTATATTGATCTGGTTTCCTTCATCATAACCGAGAAAAGGAATCAGCCCGTATATCATACAACTAAAGTAAGACAAGCATAGCATGGGACAGGAGACGATCCTTCCTATAAAGGCGTGTTTTCGCATAATCGCGCGCTCATCTACGTTTTCAATCGTCAAATAATCATTCATGGCGGAGCTGTAATTGTCAATTAAGCTGTTTGCATAAATGCGGAACCATATCATTTTTAGCACGCCAAGCATTCCGCAACAGATTAACATGATGCAGTCAACATTTTGTTCCGCGTCAGTACAACCCATGCATAGTTCAATGGAAGGCAAGATCACCATTAAACCCTGTTGATATGTTTCTTCGTATATAACATTTTGTATTTAGAAAAAAATGCTTTTGATCTTAATTAAACAAATTTTATTAATATTCATATTTAAGTGCTGATGACAATTTTTTTGTTTTTTTTTCCCGTAATGTAAAGAAAATATTAGATTTCTACACATAGTGTAAGGAAAATATCTTAATTTTCTACACATAATGTAGAAAAAATACTGAATTTAATTTTGATTTAAAATATTATAGATGCAAAATGAAATGAAATAGATTTATTTTTATGTTGTATTTAAATAAATAACGGGAAGATACATATTAAAATAACGTATGTTGAGACTAATAAAAATTTTTTAAATAACAAATTTAAATTAACGACATTTAAAGCACAAGTTTAAATAGCGCTACAATATAAAATAAAATACAATACAAAATAAAAATTCAAAAAAATTATCCACATATATGTATATGACGTTTTACAATATGTTATTTATCTTATTTCTTTTTTACGTGTATTAATATATTATTTATCTTTTACTTTCTTACAATTTTTAATCATAAATGATGAATTTTTGAAATAGTGTAGCATTTATACTATCCACAATATTTACGCTATTCTATCTAAACAATTGAGGAAATATCATACATGAATCATAAAACATAAGAAAAGAATCTTTCTTAAACATTTTCCGACTTACAGGCGTGCTCACTCGATTTATTACATGATCTTATGAGAAAAATTCACCGGAATAAGTCGTCAATATGTTATCAAAATTGTTATCGCAACATCGAGATTTTGTTTGAAGTAGTTATGCTTTGCAACAAATAGAATAATAATAGAAATAATAGAAATTTGTTTAAATTGCCCAATGTGTAACAAGTGAACGATCCGAAGAGAAATAATTCTTATTTTGTTAGAAAAAAATTTTTAATTATTATTTAATAATTGCATAAGTGATTATTTTGATTAAATAATTATTTAAATACATTATATAATAAATCATTAATAATTCTTTTCAGCACATATCAGTAATTAATTTATCGAAATATTTTTAAAATATTATGAAATCAATTAAATCTTTATTGCATGAACCAAAATTATTTTGCACCATATTATAAAAATATTTTTTCGCGAAATTGATATTACATCTGAAAATATAATCTAATTTTAATATTAATAAGTAAAGGCAATTGAATTTTGAAAGTAAGGCTCATAAAAAATAATAATTGTAAAAGATAATAATTGATAATTATAGCAGTAAAAAATGCGAAAATTCCTTTTTATTCTCTGTTAAAGTTAATGTATCATATAAACAAAATTTATAAAATAAAAATATGCATATGTGAAAAAAAATTTATTAAATATTATTTCAAAAATTCATTATTTATTATTTTTAGATAGACTTTTCCATTTTATAAATTCAATATGTATTTATAATTGTGTGTGAACTGATGTATGAATTTAAATGTGAATCAAAAAATTATTTATAATAATGACATTGTATTAAAATGTCAAACATTGCCTTTTACAGTATTATAAAATAAAATTGTGCCCGTATAGTAATTAATAATTAATAATATTTTAAAGAAATTAATATAATGTACATATTAAAAGGCATTTATTATAATATAAAAGTTTTAGATAATTATTTAGTAATAATTATTAGCTATAAAACTATCACATATTAATTAATAAAGTAAGAATTATTTTCCTTCTCAAATCGCTCACTTGTCATACTTTGCATCGTTCTGGAACAATCGCGCATCAATGATTATCGAGTCCAAACTCAAAGAATGCGTACCGCACCGCCGATGCCCAGAGCACTTCGTAATAAAGAATAGAAGTTGTAATTTTGCAGCGGCCAAACACCGATGGGCCATGCAATCAATTTGAACGGGGTCATCGCGTACGCGATATCGTTTTTCCATCGTTTTTCCATCGCCATCTAAATAATGACTGTAACTGATGTCGATGATCCGTTTGCTATATCGACACAATAAACAGCTATTCCGACTCATTTTTTATTTAACTTGATTGAAACTATACCCGCTTATCACAAAATGCAGAAAATATTGTCATGAAGCTTTACGTATTATCATTGGCTAAATATTCATATAGTTATTTTTCTCGAATATTCATAGGGCTATTTTTCTCGAAATTGTTGTCGATATAAAATAACTACCTTTTTATTGTAGGTGAACTGTCAGAGAGGATGTTTACCTATATATATCATTCACTATGTGTTAGGCTTCGAATGTGTGACGTTTCAGTTGACTTGGCAGCTTTTTGAAGAAATATACCACGATTGTATGTTACCAATTTATCCGTTCAAAAAGATAATAAGTAACAAGTAAGTGAGATACATTTTTAAATCAAACTTGAGCCAAATTTCTAATTATTAATTGAGATACATTTTTCTTTTACTTTATAAATTACTTAGAGAAAAACAAACAGTATAAATTAAACGTGTCCTGTTTAAATCTCAAATATATTTATATTTCTGACTTATTCTGAATTATTGAGTAAACATGATTTGCAGCACCGAAAAGTAAGAAACGGATGCTTTCAGAACATTTTTGAAACTATTGAAATCTATATTATAGAATTTACCCGCTCTTATGTGAACAGGCACATTGGCACGAGCTATTATAAAACATAAGTCTCGCACAATGTTTCTAGGTAAATCGTACCAATCGTTCAAGTAAGCCGCTTGAGAAATCGCTTCCGTTTTCGACGATAAAGTCTCCCCCATGTAACTGTACAAGAATAGCTGTATCATTAATACATTGAACGACATTATACTCGTGCCGACAACAGCAAAATCATGTACTGCCAAGGACACGATAAGCTGCAATCCTGAAAAATGCTTGACGTTTATTTTTCGTAATATTTGAATAGACTTTATAATATTAGATTGATTGTAAAGCTAAAATATGCACAATATTTGCGATAAAAGAAATATACAATTTATTTAAAACCCTTTTTTCATACCTAATAAACATATGAGCGACGCGTGAAGAATCAGTTGAGCTATCAAGATGGTATCGAGTGTACTCACGATGCTATCGGCTAAATCCAAAAGCAAACAGTGTCTCTCGGTCAATGCCATCATTTTCATTCTAGTCGAATAACGGTTTTTCATTCCTTTGTGAAATTGCAATAATTCCAGACTGAGTATCTCCAACTGACCGCAAAGATGCATACAAATGCCGAAGAGAAAAACGTCGCTGCCAACATTCCCCATGGCTGTGAACATCAGCTGAATAGTCTGGAGAAGATACATGCCGTAGCAAACGATCGGCACGTCGGAGGGACAGGTCATTTCGTGTGGCAATTCCATCTGTTCCTCGAATCTTGTGACATTTTGTAAAGAAGACGACATCGCAAACGATAAAAGCGGTCCGAATGCCAATGAAACGACGACAACGTACGCGGAACCCATCTGAAAGAAAAAGACGAATCTGCCCAGGTTAGTGTAGCGAAGCATGACCTGTCGATGCTCCTGCCTCGCGATGCACGTCCAATTGTTCGCTGCATTGCACAGATTCTTCATCAGATCATCGCGATGCAGTCGTATCAGCGTTATTTTTATGATGCTCAACATGCTGCATGACGCCAGTACTAACTGGTCGACGATAATACTCAGTATGCCATCCTTATTATAACCAATACTTATGTAGATCACCATGATACTCTGCCGATACAAGTATGTGAGATTTATTTGTATTATATTTTTATAGGAGAAAATAATTTAGACGCAACGTTTAAAATATTGATTGTCAATTTTTCAAAAATGAAGCAGAAACATTTAACAAGCATAAATTGGTCAATGCTAATACTTGAAAATATTTTAATCAATATTTATGTGTATGTATTTTCTAGTTTTTATTTTATATAAATTTAATTTAATTATATAAATTATTAAATTAAACATATAAAATTAAATAAAAGGTTTCAAGTTAATTAATTTTGCACGAAAATTATTAGAATATCATTTTCAAATTCAAAATTTGTTTAAAAGATTTAATAAATTATATAAAAATTTAATGTAAAATTTTTGTAAATAATTATACATATAATTATATAAATTTTATAAATCATATGTATATCATATGTAAATTTTATAAATCATATGTAAATCATATGTATAATTTATATAATATAATATAATTATATAATATAATTTATATAAATAAATTATTTAAAAATTATAAAATAATTAATGTTTAAAAAAAAATTAATAATACCAATATATTGTGTATCATGGAATTAACAATTTGTGCAAAAACTTGTGTTTGTGTGTTATCTGTGATTATATTAAATTGTGAGGAAAAAAATTTCTTTATTGTTCTTGTTACATTTAAAGGAATGTAACACACACATTTCGCCTCATACTTATTATTACTTTCCTTTACAATCAGAAAACTTTTTAATTTACACAATCACGAAGAGATAGTTTCGGACAACAATTCTCATATATCATCAAATTCTTAAACTTACTTGTATGATTATGACAAGTAGGGCACGATATTTTGCAAAATTTCTGTCATGATCCAATGGCCATGAGCCGAGTGGCCACATTGTCCGTCTATACAGAGAAAATTCATGAGCCATTTCTTTATTCCATATGTTGCACGATGCCATCTTTGCATGTTAAAAGTCACGGAATCATTGAGCGTAGTCAGGAGAACTGACGCAGCATTCATTCATTATTGATCGGGATGCACTTTGTTATGCACCCCAAACTTCTTCATGCAGTTTTTAACAACTATTAGTGTATCATTTCTTCAACCCTTGAGTCGGAATTGATTACTCATCGCAATTCGTGAAAACCTAGCCCTAATATGTGTCATTGATACAATAGCGTAATGATAGAGCATATATGTTATTCTTCAATAAAGTCCTCAGTCTATTGCAGAATTTTATCACAAACAAAGTTTTAGCGGAGTTCATGATCGAAGAACATTGATGAACCGAAAGAAATATATAACAAGTAAGCGAGATATATTTTCCTTTTACTTTATAAATCATCCAGAGAAGCAAAAGACAGAAATTAAATGTATCTTATTTAAATCAAGTATATATTTACTTTGATAACAATTATTAAATAAGCATGATCTGCAGCACCGAAAAATAAGAAACTGATGCTTTCAGAACATTCTTGAAACTATTGAGATCAATATTATAGAATTTACCCGCTCTTATGCGAACAGGCACATTGGCTCGTGCTATTATAAAATATAAATCTCGCATAATGTTTGTAGGTAAATCGTACCATTCGCTTAAGTAAGCCGCTTGAGATATCGCTTGCGTTTTCGACGACAGTGTTTCCCCCATGTAACTGTACAAGAATAGCTGTATCATTAAAATATTGAAAGACATTATACTCCTCCAGACAAGAAAAAAATCATGTATCGCCAACGACACGATAAGCTGCAGTCCTGAAAAATATTCGATACATTTATTTTCTATAATAATTGAATTGATTTTATTAATAATTGAATGAATTGATTTTATTAATAATTGAATTGAATTTATTAATAACTAATAATTGAATAAATGAATTTAAATTGAATTTATTAATAATTGAATTGAATTGATTTTATTGTAAATAAAGTAAGTAAAATATTTACGAAAAAAGGGAGTTACGTAATATGTTTAAAATACCTATTAAACATATGAGCAAAGCGTGGAGAATTAATTGAGCTATTAAGATGACATCGAGTAGATACACGATGTCTTTGGCTAGATTCAAAAGCAAACAATGTCTATCGATCAAAGTAATCATTTTCATTCTTTTCCAATAACGATTTTCCTTTTCTTTGTGAAATCGCAATAATTCCAGGCCGAGTATCTCCAATTGACCGCAGAGATGCATGCAAACGGCGAAGAGAAAAACATCGCTGCCAACATTTCCTGTGGATGTGCTGATTAGCTGAACAGACTGGAGAAGGTACATGCCGTAGCAAACGACCGGCACGTTGGAGGGACAGACCATTTCTTGCGGCAATTGCATCTGGTCCTCGGATGTTGTGACGTTTTGTAAAGAAAACGACGTCGCAAGCGACAAAAGCGACCCGACTATCAACGGAGCGATGACAATGTACGCGGAACCCATCTGAAAGAAGAAGACGAATCTACCCAGGTTAGTGTAGCGAAGCATGACCTGTCGATGCTCCTGCCTCGCGATGCACGTCCAATTGTCTGCTGCGTTGCACAGATTCTTCATCAGATCATCGCGATGCAGTCGTATCAGGGTTATTTTTATGATAGTCAAAATACCACATGATGCCAGTACGAATTGGTCGACGATGATATTCAGTACGGCATTCTTGTTGTAACCAATACTTATATAGATCACCATAATAGTCTGTCGACACAAATATATGAAATTTATTATATTTTTAGGAAAATACGTGCCACACGTACAAAATATTTATTGTTAACCATAAAAGAAATTAAAAAAATACAGATTAGTTGACAATAATATACATGAAGATAATATAATATATTTTTATGAATGTTATTTAATTTTCTTTCTATATAAATTTAATATAATTTAATATAATTATAAAATTGTAATTATGTAAATTATTAAATAGCTTACATGCAAATTATAAAAAATCTATAAAATAATTAATTAATATGCTTTACCAAAAATAAATAATAAAAATATTTTTAAATAATATTCTTTAATTAATTATAGAAATATTTTTCATCTCAAATTTAAAATTTATTAAATAAATTTAATAAATCATATAAAAACTTAGTTAAATAAATTAATTAAATTTTAAATTTGAGATGAAAAATATTCCTATAATTATTTTAAAATATTAATTAAAAATATTCTTATTATTAGTTTTTGCTAAAACATCTTAATTAATTATCTTAGAGATTTTTTATAATTTGCATGTAAACTGTTTAATGATTTACATAATTAAAATTTTATAATTATATTAAATTATATTAAATTTATATAGAAAGAAAATTAAATAACATTCATAAAAATTGATTATATTATATTATCTTCATGTATATTATTGGTTTGTACTTTTTTATTTCTTTTATGATTGACAACAAATTATTTAAAAATTATAAAAAAATTCATCAAAGAAATATATTAATGTGTTACGTTACATTATCGATTTTTGCTAAAAATATATTTGTATATATTTGTCTCTAACGATACTAAAGTTTCCAAGAAACTTTCTTTCTGATCAGTTTAGTTTTATTCATAGAAATAAATGTATTACTGACTCAGACAATTCTCTTTATAATTTAAAGATTTTATAGTGCATATAGACAGAAATAGTTTTTTAAAAACAAATTTTATATGTAAATTGTCAAGCTAACAAATTTACCTGTGTGATTACGATAAACAAGGCACGGAATTTTGCAAAATTATTATTGCGATCAAATGGCCACGAGCCAACTGGCCACATTATCCGTCTATAAAGAGAAAATTCATAAGCCATTTCCTTGTTCCATATTTTGCACGACGCCATCCTCGCATGTTAAGGGTCACGGAATCATCGAGTGTAGTCAGGAGAACTGACGCAGCATTCATTCATTATTAATCAAAGTGCATTTACCTATGCACCCCCGAACGTTTTTCCACGTACAACCTTTATCAACCCTCTGGTCAGAATTGATTACTCATCGCAATTCGCGAAAACCTAGCGCTAATACATGTCATTGGTGTAACAGCTTAATGTTAGAGCGCAGATGTCATTTTCCGATATAGGGTTCTCACTCCATTGGGGTGAACTTTATCACATGGAAACAAAGTTTCATCATGTCACGATCGGAAGACATTGACGAACCAAAAGAAATACATTCGCAGGAAGTTCGAAAACTAGTTTATACATACATCATGGAAAACTAGGTGGATAAGTATTTTCTTCTTTTTTTCTCAATTTTGAATATATAAAATTCAGTTTAAAGTAATAGATTTATTAGATGACACTTTTACACATATAATTAAATTATTTCTTTTTTGATTCTCCCTTGAGAAACATTACGTTTTGTATTAGGGAAAGCTTTGCGATATTGTGTGCGGTATTCGTTGAAATTATATTTCATGTTTGCACCAATCGTATAAATCATTTTTTTTAACTTACAAGAAAAAATTTATATTTTACGACAACGATTATGAAATTTGCAGCAAAAATTTATTTTATTTAAACTATACAAATTGTTGAAGACAAAATACGTTTTTACTTTTGAAAAAATAGCAAGAGCGGAAAAGATAAATTCAAAATGCTTTTTAAAATAAAGCTTTTTAAAATAAAGCTTGGGTCTTTTTGGCTGAGCTATGTTTTTTTGAAGTTATGCGAAATTTTGACATTTTGAAATTTTGAAATTACCTATACGATAATTTTGTTAGTCAAATAAATGTATTTATTAGATAACTAGTACTTTTTACTTACAGAAAATTGTATTGTAAAATATTATCTTATATACAAAAGAAATTTTATAAGAGATTTTTCAGATGTTTATTTACAAAGTTTTTCTAACAGTGATAAATTTTTTTGCGATAAGTTTAACTATATAATATTTCAATTGTTCGCTCCTTCTTTTCCAATCATAACACGTAAGGCGGATAAATAGGATACGGCAGTCTTCAGGATATCCGTAAATGTGGCACGCGTGACGTAGAAAAACTTTCCGGCTGTCAGACGGATAGGTATATTCGTTTTTATCATAATAAATGTTAAATCTCTTATATCGTCAGTCGAAAAATCGCACCAGTTGCTGTCGTAAACCGCGAAGGACAGAGCCTCGCTTTGATCTCTCAAATTATCACCCGCAAATGAATATATAAAGGATTGCAGCAACATGACAATCATTATTACAATGCTCTTCGTTGTCATGATTGTGTCGTGAACATGCAAAGATTCGATGAGTCCGAAACCTTAAATCAGTACATTTTATTCCTTGATTCTTGATCATTTCTTCTATAATTATAGCAAAATGCTATTCCGGTTAATACATATTATATCTTATAGTATAAATATGAATATAAAATTAAAAAATAGAGAAAAATATTAATTTATTTCCAAAGTATCCAATATAATATTTAGATCGGACTTGTCTAAATTTACTTCTTATTCCTCATAATAAAATTGATATAATTTAAGTTAAAGTTTGTTGCATTTTATTTTTTTTTCTGTATCGTTTAATAAAGCGATACAAATCAGAAAGATGGACGTGTTTTTTTACGCAAATCAAAATTTGAATTTGAAGATTTAATTTATATTACAAAAAAATAACTCACTGTAGTATTTTAATGATATGAAATATTCTTACACACTATAAAAATCTTTACAATAAAAAATTGTATATATAAAAATATAATTAATTTGCTAAGTAAATTTATTATAATTAATTATAATTAATTATAAGTTAATTAATTTTTTTTTAACAATTGTCTAGTTATAATAATACACATAAACTCCAAATATTATTTATATCTCAATTTTTTATGCGAATATGTTTTTTCATAATAAAGTAATTATGTATAGAAAAGTTAATTAGAAAAAGTTAAATGAAAAATTTCTGAAACATGCTATATATATTTTGTTTTCATTTTTTTATGGATTAAATAATAATAAAAGATGTTAGATATTTTATTTTCATTTTTTATAGACTAAATAATAATTAAAAAGGATTCAATCGGAATTATTATATACTTATAAAAATATATTACGAATATATACATTTTGTCAGATATTAATATATCATGATCACCGATATATTAATAATTCTAAATCTCTAAATCTTCCTCTGATCAAAATATAATCATGGAAGTGCTTCACGGACTTACATACCTGTTATGCATATCAAAATGGCGCTAGTGAAGATCTGAGTCAAAATTATAATATTATAAGTATCTTCGATAGTCTCGGTGAGCCTTAGCAATCGCCGATGTCTGACGACAAATTCTTCAACGAGGCTGCCCTTCTTCTGCTTGTGCCTGCGCCGACTGATCTGCTGGAAGTCGATCATAAGAAGTTCGAGCTGTCCGCAGAGATGCAGCGTGATACCGACGAAAATCCCCTCCGTGCAACAGTTTCCGGCATATGCAATGAATAACTGTACCACCTGATAGAACGTAATGAGGACATACTGGAGGCTGGTGACAGACTCGAAGAGACAAGACGTCGGGAGGTAAAATGTCCTCTCATTGGCAGTCACAACGGGTAACAACCGCAACATATACAACATAAAAGCAAAGAATCCGGAATAAAACAGGGATAGTGATATTATTCTCGCCATGCGTGCATGCTGGATCATGATGTCGCGCGATTTCGCATCCTCGACGCTACACCAGTCCTGAATAGCGGAGAACAAATTGGTCGACAGTGTGGATCGCTGCAACCGCAGCAGAGTGAGTTTCACAATTACCAGCATCGCACTTGCGGTCACCACGTATGTATCAATCGGATCCCCGGAAGAATTCTCGCAGGCGAGGTAAACTTCCATCAGCAGTGTTATTACTAGCAAGATCTGGAATAACGGATTGTCGCGACAATAAAAGCGTCATGTAAGTCTCTCATTTTTTATTCTCATGTTCGAAATATTATTTAAAAAAGGAAATATTATTTTAAAAGATATTTCCAATGTTTATCATTTTTCTCCCTTAAATTAATTATATATCTTATGATATACATTTAAAAAATATGTTAAAATACTCCAATATTTTTATTCTCTTATTTTTATTCTCATTAATAATTATTATTAAACTTTAAATTTATATTTTATTAGTAATACATATATATAATTTTTATTTAATTTATTTACTATTATAAATTTCAAATTTTTATATTTTATTAGTAATTAAAAAAAATTAATAATTAAAAAAAATATTGCATGCAATATTTTTTATAAATTTTACATATTTTACATATTTATTTTACATATTTTTACAATATTTAAAAAATCGCATCACTCTGAATGATATTAATTAATATCGTGATGTATTTTAACATATATTTGATTATCTCAATAATTTTAAAGCAATACATAAAATATAGACAAATGTTCTCCTCCCGTTACCTCGCTTACGATCGCAAACAACCAACGCAGCTTTGAATATAAAGTATTATCTTCAATCGGCCATGTGCCTACAAACCATGCCAAAGCCTTATAACTCGATAATGCGTAAACAGCATCTTCATTCCAATATACCATCCTCGAAACTAGACACTTCCGGACTAATCTCGTGAACGTGCATCTTTAATAGCGCATAGCAATGTAATTAAGCATTAATAATAGTCTTCATTAATCAATTTGTCACTTGACAACTGACTATGACGCGTGCATAACGTTTCTTCTTCATCCCCATCCTCTCTAGCTGTCTCTTACCCTAAAACTATCGATTCTCGCGAGAACATAGCAGCGTTGAACCTCTCGTGCGTCAAAGTATATGCATGTTTTAAGCAGCCGGGTGAGTGGGTTGGCAAATTACCTGATTATCTATATCATTACATGATGTCGCGTGTACAATGTGCATAGAAAATACTGACAGACAAAATTTGTACAATTTATCAATTTTCCGAGAAACCTAGTGCATCGTGAATGCGATGTATATATTATATACGTTCACAATTTCCACAAATAAAACGTACGTACTTTACGTATAAAGGGGGATCACTTTGAAAGTTGAAATTATGTAGTGAAAGGTTAATAGGTGTAGTTTAGTTTTCAATATTTCGAATTATATGAGTATTAATACAGCTTGAACACAACTTATTTTTCTTTTTATAGACAATAAAACTATGTGCATCTGCGTACAGTACTTTACAATGCCAATACGTTGACATACCTTCACCAGATAAAAACTAATTAAAAATAAAAAACGTAAGTAAGTCTTTAAGATAAAATTTTGTATTTTTTAGTTATATATTAAGAATAATAAATAAATACATGTGTATAATAATTTTCAAATATAATAAATATATAATAATTTTCTAAGATATTCTAATATTTATCCAATCTATATCGAATTAGACAAATATTTAAATTCGTGACGTGTCATTTTTGTCGACAATCAGACAGTAAGAAAAAAAGATTAATATTTCATTTTTAATTGTTTTTTCCTTTTTTTATATTATTTTGTTTTTCTTTTATTTATATTATTTTATAAATTTTGATGTTTTATTGTAACAACTAATTATAATAAAATAGTAATAATTAAAATAAAATACATCAATAATAATAACGCGCTATGTGTGTGCTGGTATTTATAATAAAATATAAAATAATTCTGTCTATAAAAATATTTAATTTAATAATTGACAAACATTCTGTTAAATATTTTTATAGATAAGAATATTGCATATTTCACAATAAATAATAATAAATTAATATTAATGAATATTAATAAATTAATCTATAAAAATATTTAACTTGTGTGAACAATATTTAATAAAGATATATGTATAAAATTAAAGTTTTATTATATTCTATTTCACAAAGAAATACGTATTTCTGAACGAGGCCGATATTAGTATATCATTCATTTTATATTTACGATATAGGAGCAAAAATATAAATACACGAAACAATTAAAAATGTGAATAGTAATATATTGAAATATAAATATATTTTCTATTCTATTTTATCTACAATTTATCTACATGCAATAATGTGATAAGTAAATAATTATTCCTCCATCGTCGCTTGTAAAAACGATATATATGTCAAAGCAGTTTTCAAAATGTCTGTTACCGTGCTCCGCGTGATATAAAAGAATTTTCCAGCACTGAGCTGCAGAGGGATATTCGTTCTCATCATAATGAGTATCAAATCTTTCATTGCGGTGGATGAAAATTCATACCACGTTGAGTCGTATATCGTCGAAATTATCGATTCGCTTTTATTTCGCAAAACATCGCTAGTGTGCGTGAACAAAAAGGATTGTATGATATAATATTGGACAAACAAAAGACTTTTCATAACATCAGTGTAATCCTGATGCTTAACAGATACAATGATACGCATTCCTGAAAAGAACTTTTTCTTTTACTGCGTTACTTTCTCCACATGCTCTCTAATGCATATTTTTTCGAGCATCGTCTTATTTATTAAATTATTTTATGTCATTATAGAAATCTTATAATATTTACAAATTATTTACAAATTATTAATCAAATATAAATCTATTATATCGAAAATTTAATTCTTTAGTTGTAAAGTAAACATAAATAAATAATTAAAACATCAATGAAATTGACCAAGACCAATTGTTATGATATTATATATATATATATACCTGATATGGCAATGAATACGGTAATTATTGACAAACGAATTAATAAATTCAGATTAAAGACATCTTCAATATTTTTAGCCAGTATTATCAGTTCATAATGTCTCCTGATCCATTGCCCCAAAAAATTTCGATAATGAATTCTCCCAGTGATTTTTCTTCCAACTTCAACGAAACTAATCCTTAGGAGTTCTAGTTGCCCGCAGAGATGCATAGTAATAGCGAAAAAAAAACTATCGCCTATGCACTCTGATACATACATTATGAATCCCTGTAATATTTGCATGACAAAAATTGTCTTATATGTGGAGTACGAAATATCTTTAAATAAACATGATGTCGGAAAGACAAAAATCCATAAAGATAGAGTTTTATTTCCGATAGTTGCAACCTGTTGTGTATAAAATATTTCCAGATATATTACATAATATTAAAATTATATAATATGTAAATGCAAAGTCATAAAATATATGATATTAAGAAAAAAATATATGTATATAATTTATTAGTAAAATATTGACACAAAAATTAAAATATATTTTAATTATAGATTTTAATATATTTTAATTATATATTTTAATTATAGATTTTGTGAGTCTTATAAACAATAAATTCTAATATCCATTATAAATAAAAACAAATTTATGAATAATTAACAAGTTTATGAACAATTAATTAGATGAAAGAAAAACAATAATCCGCAAAAAATCACATATATAAAAATTTTGACTCCACCTGTTGTTTACTTCTGATAAAGGCAATAGGGAAATATAAGAAAGAGCATATAATGCCAATCATCAATTGAGACAAAATAATTATTCGGCCTAATCGTGCGTATTCCATCATTGTTACATAAGATTGTTTCTTCATGGACAAAGACCAATCGTCAATTGCCGAACTTACGTTGATGGCAATTCTTTTTTTATAAATACGCGCCAAAATAATATTTATCAACGCATGAGAGGAAGCCTCTATTATAAGAAAAAGCTCCAGACTGTCCTTAATATCATCGCAGTTTTTAAAATAATCTATCATCACACTCGTCACTGTGAAAGACTATAGGATAGCAACTATTTCAACTGCTTTATAAATGAATATATTGAATTATATATTGTGCAAAGTTTTTGATATAATAAAAATATAAAATGTTGTGAAAATATAAAATTTGGTTATATAAATCGTATATAGTCTGCACAAACTTATTGTAAGAGAAGGAAGGGAGAAAGTATATATAGTTACATAAAATTCTTAAAAATCAATATATATTATATGTATATAAATTTACTTTTTTGATTAAATTTTTGACATTTTAAGTTTCAACAGTAAGAGTAAACGAATTATTATTATATAAATTTCTAATAGAAAAATTTGGTACATTATACTCTTTACATATTTACTACCATGTTCTACATTCGAGAGAAAAAGCTAATTGTTTGCACTTTACGTTAGCTCTTCTTACCTCTATAATAAATGTCAAAATCCAGCGAAATGTGCAGACCAAATTATTTTGCTGCAAAGGCCACATTCCGAACATGCACATCAGTACTCTTATCTCTCGGAAGCCATAGTCCATACCATTATTCCAATGTGTCTTCATGTTTCACAACGGTTAGTTACAAAAAAAGAATAGTGGTCATATGTGACAGAATGTTGCCCTATGTCTATGTATTTCGAGAGAAAATACTATTGTCGATACGCAAGACTCATCGTTTGTTCATTGATCATTTTATGTCGATAAGATAAGTGGCAGAAAAAATTTATGTAACCATATATTTTCATAATATTCATTCATCTCCCTAACATACGCATCTAGTATTTTCAGTGTCTTGGATAACTTTCCAAGTCCATCAATATTCAATAAGTTAATGATTACGAACCAAATACTATATTAGAGTTATCGCATCTGTTTGAAATAGTAATCGACAATTGCATGTAATAAAAGAAAATTGTTGTTTGACAACAACTGTTGTTAAACAAATTTGTTTAACTATATATTCTTTATATTAATACATATTTTTCAGTTGTGTGTTTGTGGTCTCTTTCTTTCTTTTCTCTTCAAAAAATATCAGCATATTCTTGTTGCTTGAAGTTTACATTAAATCAATACTTATAATTAATAACATTAATTATGTTTAAAAGTTTGTGTATCATAAACATTATTTATGTATTTGTAATATAAATAATTTTCTTTCTTTTCTCTAATATATAAATAATTAATTTATTAATTTGTCAATGTTAGAAAACCATCATAATAATGTATTTAATATAGATCCAGTCAAGTGTGTTTTTTATTAAACAAAATGCTTACATTTATATATAGTCATTCAAGTATCTATCTGATGATTTTGTTGTGATTATTTCAACAATCTCGCCAATACAATACAAAAAATAACATTATTAATAACAGGTTTGTGATTTTATCACAAATGTTGCATTTAAAAAATATTATAGTTTTTAAAATCAATATTTTTTAAATCAATATGTTATACGATGCTAAATCTAAAAAATACTTCCTTCTTTATTCTTTAATTAAATATTTGTCACGAGTTTAATATTATTTTTATCACTGATAAATATAAGAGAAGTTTCCACAATCTCTTTAAAACTATCGAAATCTATTATTAGAAGTTTTGCTATAGTTAACCAAAGAGCATTAGTTGCCGGAAGTATCATGAATGGAACATCTTCCCTATAAGCACACAATATTCCTAGAATATTGTATAAATATTATTAACTGTTAATAATATTTATACAATATTTTAGGAATATTGTGTTTTATAGGGTTTTTCATCACACTTACATTAAAATTTTATTACAGTGTCTCGTAAATGACGTAGATGACTCTTTGCAAATGAAACTCCAACGTTTGTCCGGCAAAGTAGTAGAAAGTAGTGAAAAGTTATATCCGCAGCACGACAATGAAAAAAAAGTTCAACGACGATCATATTGTAAGCATAAGAATTAATTAAAAACCTAAAATATACATATATAATGAACTAATGGTAAGTTTAAAAAACTTTTATGTATTTTTCAATATTTAATATATATATATTTATTTATTTATACATATATATTTTCATTTATTATTATCCCATTTTAACTTAGACACCGTAATATCTTCAAAGTAATGTATTTTTTTTAATGTTTCAAATAAAAATTGTAAGTTTGAAAGGAGAAAAAAGATAGAGATATTGACCTTAGATATAAACACTAAGATCGTATGAAGATCAACCTAGTTTTTTAAATAGGACTCTACTCTCACTTATCCTATATAAACCCTAAATAAACCTATATTTTTATCGATTCCTCATAATATTTCACGTAAGAAATTATAAGAATAGAATATTCAGAAATTGAATAGTTTATAAGATATTTTATACTTTAAATTGACCTAATTTTACATAAATTATAAAATATCTCGTAAAATATTCATTTTTTGATTGATTTTACTTTAAAATTTTTGTGTACAGAATAATGGGAGGAATCAATTAGTGTAGAGGAAAAACGTAATTTTTTTTAAGAAAAATATGAATTTGCAACGGGTAGCTGCATATTTTCTGTTAATTATATATATTATATAAGTGTTTAAAAAAAGATTGGACCAAAGCTCGTAAGCAGATAGAAAGCAGTTAACTGAATAAAAAAGTCCTGTACCAATTTGCAATTTTCGCAATAATTATTGAATTTTTAATTAAAAAGAATTGGCAAAATGAGCGCACGTTTTACGCAAATAGATGAGGTATACTCTAGGTGTCAATAACGGATGTCACTCGAAAAGACAAGAGTAGAGAAATAAAGGCGAAACCTTTCATTGCCATGCGACACTTGCCGCTCACAAATATAAAACACATATTCCATAGTCTAGTTGTGCGAAACGCGTGCTCGGCAATATTTTTTAATTAAAAATTCATTAATTATTGCGAAAATTATTGCGAAAATTGTAAAACAGTAAAGGACTTTCCTGTTCGGTTTATTGCGCTCCCTCACTGGCATTGGTCCAATCTTTATCAAATATCCTGATATATATATATATATATATATATATATATATATATATATATATAATATGTTAAAAGGATAATATAAATATAAGTATATTTATATAATATATATAATTTTAAAATAAAATAAATATATAATAATTTTTAAATATTCTAATAATTTAATAATAACCCACATCGGACTTGACATATATTTAACTTTCACGTGATATGTTGTTTTGTCAAAAAGTAGATAGCAAAAAAAAAATAAGTTAATATCTTATTTTCAATGGTTTTTTTCTCTTTATTATTTTTGTATATTATTTCATACATACCAATATTTTATTATAATAATTAATAACAATAAAATGATAATAATTGAAATAAAAACATCAATAATGCACTATGTGTATGTATTAGTATTTAATAAAATATATAATAATATCTTGTCTATAAAAATATTCAACTTAATAATTTATAAATATTTAGTTAAATATTTTTAGATAAGAATATTGCATATTTTATAATAAATATTAATTAATCTATAAATATTAAAATACTTAAAAATTATTTTAATAAATATATATGTATAAAATTAAAGTTTTGTTATATCTTATTTGAATTGGAAAAAGTTTCGCGTTCCCGAACGCTTATACTGGTGAACTCTTATCTCATATTTAAAAAATAAACTAAAAAAGGAGCAAAACATAGATACATTAAATGATTTAAAAAATATGAATTGCAATATATTGAAAAATATGTATATTGAAATATAAATATACTTTCTGTTCTATTTTATCTACAATTTATCTATCTATGACACAATGTGATAACTGAACAATTATTCCTCCATCGTCGCTTGTAAAAACGATATGTACGTCAAAGCAGTTTTCAAAATATCTGTTGTCGTGCTCCGCATGACATAAAAGAATTTTCCAGCGCTGAGTTGCAGAGGAATATTCGTCCTCATCATAATGAGCATCAAATCTTTCACTGCGGTGGATGAAAATTCATACCACGTTGAGTCGTATATCGCCGAAACGATAGATTGGCTTTTATTTTGCAAAACATCGCCAGTATGCGTGAACAAAAAGGATTGTATGATATAATATTGGACAAACAAAAGACTTTTCATTACATCAGTGTAATCCTGATGCTTAATAGATACAATGATACGCATTCCTGAAAAAAACTTTTTCTTTTACTGCGTTACTTTCTTCACATGCTCTCTAACATACGTTTATTAAATTAGTCTTATTTATTAAATTACTTTACGTCATTATAAAAATTATCTTATAATATTTATAAATTTCAATAAATTATTAATCAAATATAAGTAATCTACTATATCGAAAATTTAATTCTTTAGTTATAAAATAAACATAAATAAATAATTAAAGCAGCAATGAAATTGATTAAGACCAATTGTTAAGATATTATATATATGTATGTACCTGATATGGCAATGAATACGGTAATTATTGACAAGCGAATCAATAAATTCAGATTAAAGGTATCTTCGATATTTCTAGCCAATATTATCAATTTATAATGTCTCCTGATCCATTGCGCCAAAAAATTTTGATAATGAATTTTCCCAGTGATTTTTCTTCCGACTTCAACGAAGCTAATCCTTAGGAGCTCTAGTTGACCGCAGAGATGCATGGTAATAGCAAAAAAAAAACTATCGCCTGCGCACTCTGATACATATATTATGAATGCCTGCAATATTTGCATGACAAAAATTGTCTTATATGTAGAGTACGAAACATCTTTAAATAAACATGATGTCGGAAAGACAAAAATCCATAAAGATAGAGTTTTATTTCCGATAAGAACCTGTTGTGTATAAAATATTTCCAGATATATTACTATTACAATTATATAATATATAAATGTGAAGTCACAAAATATATGATATAAAGAAAAAAAAATATGTATATATAATTATAATATATATATAATTTATGAGTAACATTGACACATGAATTATAAAATATTTTTCAACTATAGATTATTTATCTTATAAACAAATTGATTCTAATATCCGTCATAAATAAAAGTAAAATTATGAATAATTAACAAATTTATAAACAATTAATTAGAAAAAGGAAAAATAATAATCCGCAAAAAATCACATATACAAAAATGTTGACTCCACCTGCTGTTCAGTTCTAATGAAGGCGATAGAGAAATATAAGGAAGCGCATATAATACCAATCATTAATTGAGACAAAATAATTATTCGGCCTAATCGTGCATATCCCATCATTATTACATAAGTTTGCTTCTTCATGGACAAAGACCAATCGTCAATTGCAGAACTCACGTTGATAGCAATTCTTTTCTTATAAATACGCGCCAAAATAATATTTATCAACGCATGAGAGGAAGCCTCTATTATAAGAAAAAGCTCCAGACTGTCCTTAATATCACCGCAGTTTTTAAAATAATCTATCAGCATACTCGTCACTGTGAAAGACTGTATGATAGCAACTACTTCAACTGCTTTATAAATTAATATATTGAATTAGACTGCACAAGATTTTTAATAAAAATATAAAATTATGTTTATATAAATTGTATGTAGTCTGTACAAATTTAACATGAAAGAAGAAAGAGAGAGATTATATACAGTTACATAAAATTCTTAAAAATCAATATATATTATATGTATATAAAAGTTTTTTTCGATGAAATTTTTGATGACATTTTAAATCAACAGTAAAAATAAACAAATTATTATTATATAAATTTCTAATAGAAAAAATTTGGTACATTAAGCTTTTTACCTATTTACTACCATGTTCTACATTCGAAAGAAGAAGCTAATTTTTTGCTTTATGTTATCTTCTCTTACCTCTACAATGAATATCAAAATCCAGCGAAATGTGCAAACTAAATCATTCTGCTGCAAAGGCCATGTTCCGAGCATGCACATCATTGTTCTTATCTGTCGGAAGCCATATTCCATACCATTATTCCAATGTGTTTTCATGTTTCACAACGGTTAAAAAAAAGGCTAGTGGTCAGAATGTTGCTCTACCATGTGCAATTTCGAGACAAATTACTATTGTCATTGCGCAAGACCCATCGCTTGTTTATTGATCGGTTTTTATGTCGATAAGATAAGTGGACAAAAAAATGTAACCATACATACATTTTTGTAATATTCATTTATCTTTCTAATATGCACTTTTAATATTTTCAGTGTCTTAGATAGCTTTCCCAGTCCCTCAATATTCAATAAGTTAATGATTACGAACCAAATACTATATTAGAGTTATCGCATCTGTTTGAAATAGTAATCGATACAAGTAACAAAAAAAATTATCAAATTTGTTTAACTATATATTTTATACTAATATACATTTTTCATGTGTGTGTTTGTGGGCTCTTTCTTTCTTGTCTCTTTAGAAAATATTAACGTATCCTTCTTTCTTGAAGTTTGCATTAAATAAATACTTATAATTGACACTAATTATGTTTAAAAGTATTATATATCATATATATCATAAACGTTACTTATGTATTTGTAATATAAATAATTTTTTTGCTTCTGTAATATATAAATAACTAATTTATTAATTCATTGATGTTCGAAAATCAATATAATAATGTATTTAATACATTTAGTCAAGTGTGTTTTTATGTTCAATGGTTTTATGTTCAATATTTTTTTCTCTTTATTATTTTTTCTATATTATTTCATAAATTCCAATGTTTTATTGTAATAATTAATAACCATAAAATGATAATAATTAAAATAAAATACATCAATAATGCATTATGATATGTGTTGATATTTAATAAAATATATAATAATTCTCCCTCCTGTCTATATAAAAATATTCAACATAATAATTCATAAATATTCAATTAAATATTTTTAGAAATATTGCATATTTTCTAAAATATATTAATTAATCTATAAATATTAAAATACTTAGAAATTATTGTATTAAATATATATGTACAAAATTAAGGTTTTGTTATATCACATTTAAGATGGAAAAAGTTTTCCAAACGTACTTATTGGTGAACTCTTAACTTATATTTAATAAAATAAAATATAGGAGCAAAACATAGATACACTAATTGATTGAAAAATGTGAATTGCGATATATTGAGAAATGTGTGTTGCGATATATTGAAATATAAATATACTTTTTTTATTTTATCTACTATATATGTCATAATGTGACAAGTAAACAATTATTTCTCCATCGTCGCTTGTAAAAATGATATGTACGTCAAAGCAGTTTTCAAAATATCCGTTGTCGTGCTTCGCGTGATATAAAAGAATTTTCCAGCGCTGAGCTGCAAAGGGACATTTGTTCTCATCATAATGAGTATTAAATCTTTCATTGTGGTGGACGAAAATTCATGCCACGTTGAGTCGTATATCGCCGAAGCAATCGATTCGCTTTTATTCCGCAAAACATCACCGGTGTGCGTAAACAGGAAGGATTGTATGATAAAATATTGGATAAACAATAGACTTTTCATTACGTCAATGTACTCTTGATGCTTAACAGATACAATGACACGCATTCCTGAAAAAATTTTTTTCTTTTACTGCGTTACTTTCTCTGCATTCTCTAACGCATATTTGTTCGAGCATCATCTTATTTATTAAATTACTTTACGTCATTATAAAAATCTTATAATATTTACAAATTTCAATAAATTATTAATCAAATATAAATCTACATATACCGAAAATTTAATTCCTTAGTTGTAAAGTAAACGTAAAGAAATAATTAAAGCAGCAATGAAATTGATCAAGACCAATTGTTTATGATATTATATATGTGTACCTGATATGGCAATGAATACGGTAATTATTGACAAGCGAATCAATAAATTCAAATTAAAGGCATCTTCGATATTTCTAGCCAATATTATCAGTTCATAATGTCTCCTGATCCATTGCCCCAAAAAATTTCGATACTGAATTTTTCCAGTAATTTTTCTTCCGACTTCAACGAAGTTAACCCTTAAGAGCTCTAGTTGACCACAGAGATGCATGGTAATAGCGAAAAAAAAACTATCGCCTACGCATTCTGACATATATATTATAAATCCTTGTAATATTTGCATGACAAAAATTGCTTTATATATGGAGTACGAAATATCTTTAAATAAACATGATGTCGGAAGGGCAAAAATCCATAAAGTTGTACTTTTATTTCCGATTATTGCAACCTGTTGTGTATAAAATATTTCCAAATATATTAATGTAATGTATAATGTTAGAATTATATAATATATAATTGTGAAGTCATAAAATATATGATATTACGAAAAAAAAAAAAATATATATATATATATATATATATATATATATATATACATAATTCATAAATAATATTGACACAAGAATTAAAATATTTTTTAATTATAGATTATTTGTGAGTCTTATAAACAATTAATTCTAATATCCATCATAGTTAAAAACAAATTTATGAATAATTAATAAATTTATAAACAATTAATTAGGAGGAAAAATAATAATCCGCAAAAAATCACATATACAAAAATGTTGACTCCACCTGTTGTTTACTTCTGATGAAGGCAATAGGGAAATATAAGAAAGCGCATATAATGCCAATCATCAATTGAAACAAAATAATTATTCGGCCTAATCGTGCGTGTTCCAACATTACTACATAAGATTGTTTCTTCATGGACAAAGACCAATCATCAATTGCAGAACTCACGTTGGTAGCAATTTTTTTCTTATAAAGACGCGCCAAAAAGACATTTAGCCATGCGTGAAAGCAAGCCTCTATTATAAGAAAAAGCTCTAAATTGTCGTTGATATCACCGCAGTTCTTAAAAGAATCTATCAGCACACTCGTCACTGTGAAAGACTATACGATAGCAACTACTTCAATTGCTTTATAAATGAATATATTGAATTATATATTGTCTTGATTTTCCATAATAAAAATATAATAAAAATATAAAATTTGGTTTATATAAATCGTATATAGTATGCACAACTTTAATATAAAAGAAGAAAGGGAGAGATTATATACAGTTACATGAAATTCTTAAAAATCAATATATATTATGCGTATAAATTTTTTTTATGAAATTTTTGATGACATTTTAAATCAACAGCAAAAAAATTAATGATGAATTATTATTATATAAATTTTCAATAGAAAAATTTGAATACATCAAACTCTTTATATATTTATCACCTGTTCTACATTCGAGGGCAAAAGTTAATTTTTTGCACTTTACATTATCTCTTCTTTCTTACCTCTACAATGAATATCAAAATCCAGCGAAATGTGCAAACCAAATCGTTCTGCTGCAAAGGCCATATTCCAAGCATGCACATTATTGCTCTTATCTCTCGGAAGCCATAGTCCATACCATTATTCCAATGTGTTTTCATATTTCACGGTTAGTTACAAAAAAAGGATAGTGGTCATACGTGACAGAATGTTGCCCTACGTCTATGTATTTCGAGAGAAAGTACTATTGTCGATGCGCAAGACTCATAGTTTGTTCATTGATCGGTTTTTATGTCGATAAGATAAGTGACAGAACAAATTTATGTAACCATATATTTTCGTAATATTCATTCATCTCTCTAATATGCGCATTCAGTATTTTCAGTGTCTTGGATAAAATTTTTTCTCAGTCCATCAATATTCAATAAGTTAATGATTACGAACTAAATACTACATTAGAGTTATCGCATTTGTTTGAAATAGTGATCAACAATTACAAGTAATAAAAGAAAATTGTCAAATTTGTTTAACTATATATTTTTTATATTAATATACATTTTTCACATGTGTGTTTGCGGACTTTTTCTTTCTTTTCTCTTAAAAAAATATTAGATGTCATTGTTGCTTGAAGTTTGCATTAGATAAATATTTATAATTAATAATAATTGTTTAAAAATTTAATATTATAACATTATTTCCATATTTGTAATATAAATTTATATATATTTTTTTTTTCTTCTCTAATATATAAATAACTAATTTATTAATTCATCGATGTTTAAAACCACTATAATAACGTATTTAAGTAATTTAGATTCAGTCAAGTGTGTCTTTATTAAACAAAGTGCTTATATTTATTACCAATTATTCAAGATCTATTTATCTGATCATCTGATCAGTATCTATCTGATCATTTTGTTGTGATCATTTCAACAATGAGAAGTTGTATCGGCAGCACGACGATAAAAGGTGTTCGCAGCGGCGAACATATTGTGCATAGTAAGCATAAAGATTGGACCAACGTTCGTGAGCAGATAGAACGCAGTTAACTAAATAAAAAAAGTCTTGTACTAATGTGCAATTTTTCTAATTATTGAATTATTAAAAAGAATTGACAAATGAGCGCGCGTTTCTCGCAGATAAATGCGATATGTTCTAGATGTATTCATAACGGGTGGCGAGTTTCGCTCGAAAAGACAAGAGTTGGAAAATGCAAATGGCCAAACTTTTCATTGCCATGAGACATTCGTCGATAGTATTTCATTTTCAATGGTCTTTTTTTCTTTACTAGAAAAAAACAAAGCGCGCGCTTCGCGCGCGCCATTTATTCTGTTACATTATATATTTTTAATGACATATATAATACTAACTTTATGAACACAATTAATCCCTTCGTAATTATTTTCTTTTATTAATTTATCAATTCTTTGTATTGCACTGTCAATATAATCTTCGCGATGTCAAATGACAAATAACACTCAAATGACACGAAACATACAACACCATAAAAATCAATCAGAGCGATGGAAAAGAGGCAACAATAGATTTTGAGATTTTCGAGATAAACCGATACATTCGAGAATCGACCTAACATGCCTTTTTTAGAATAGGATTATTGTATGTTATTTCATAGATTGCAATGTTTTATTGTGATAATTAATACTTAAACCATAAAATGATAATAATTAAAATAAAATACATCAATAATGCACTATGTATATGTGTTGGTATTTAATAAAATATATAATAATCCCCCCTCCTGTCTATATAAAATACTCAACTTAATAATTCATAAATATTCAGTTAAATATTTTAGATAAGAATATTGCATATTTTATAATAAATATTAATTAATCTATAAATATTAAATTACTTAAAAATTATTTTAATAAATATATATGTATAAAATTAAAATTTTGTTATATCTTATTTGAGATGGAAACAATTTCCCGAACGCATATATTGATAAATTCTTAACTTAAATTTAATAAAATAATATATAGGAACAAAACATAGATACACTAAATGATAAATTGAAAAATGTGAATTGCAATATATTGAAAAATGTGTAATGCGATATATTGAAATATAAATATACTTTCTGTTCTAGTTCATTTACAATTTATGTGATAAGTAAACAATTATTTCTCCATCGTCGCTTGTAAAAATGATATGTACGTCAAAGCAGTTTTCAAAATGTCCGTTGTTGTGCTTCGCGTGATATAAAAGAATTTTCCAGCGTTGAACTGCAAAGGGATATTCATTCTCATCATAATAAGTATCAAATTTTTCATTGCGAAAATTCATGCCACGTTGAGTCGTATATCGCCGAAACGATCGATTCACTTTTATTCCGCAAAACGTCACCGGTGTGCGTGAACAAGGATTGTATAATAAAATATTGGACAAACAAAAGACTTTTCATTGCGTCAGTGTAATCCTGATACTTAACAGATACAATGATACGCATTCCTGAAAAGAGCTCTTTCTTTTACTGCATTACTTTTTCTACATGATCTCTAACAGGTTTTTTTTTCGAATATCTTATTCATTAACTGGGGATGACAAATTAACTCGTCATTGGAAAGTGCTTCTCCAACGTGCATTACGAATTAACTCGTCATGGATATTTGAAAACAGCGTGCATAAACTTAAACTTGATGAATCATTTGTTTTTTATTATTGCCATAATGGTTCGATATCTTTGAGTTCTCTATCGTTCAATAGCCATGTAAAAAGCAAATTATGATATTTTGCACTATTTGCGGACATGACGAGTTAATTCGCTATCGTAAATTTATTAATTAATTTCACCATAGCACGTGCAGCATGCGTTTTCAGTAAACGAATTTCCCGGTTAATGGATTAAATATACTTTACATCAATTATGGAAATCTCATAATTTTCGTAAATTTCAATATATTATTAATCAAAATTCTGTAAATCTACTATATCGAAAATTTAATTCCTTAGTTGTAAAGTAAATCCAAATAATTAAAACAGCAATAGAATTGATCAAGATTATTTATGATTACAAATGTATACCTGATATGGCAATGAATACGGTAATTATGGACAGGCGTATCAATAAATTCAGATTAAAGGTAATCCTCGATATTTCTAGCCAGTATTATCAATTCGTGATGCCTTCTGATCCATGGCCTCAAAAAGTTTTGATAATGATTTCTCCCAGCCATTTTTCTTTCGACTTCAACGAAATTAATTCTCAGCAGCTCTAGTTGGCCGCAAAGATGCATAGTAATGGCGAAAAAAAAACTGTCGCGCTCTGAAATGTCATAAGTCTCTGTAAGATATGAATGACAAAAATTGCCTTATATGTGGAGTACGAAATTTCTTTAAATAAATATGATGATATTTATGAATGATAAACACAGTGTCATTTCCGATAGTTACAACCTGTTATATAAAATATTCCAGATATATTACACATATATAAATAATACATAATAATAAATAATAAATAATATATAAATAATACATCAAAATAATATTGACACAAGAATTAAAATATTTTTTAATTAGAGATTATTTATGAGTCACATATACAATAAATTCTAATAAATAAAACCAAATTTATGAATAATTATACATAACATATTTGTAACAATTATTTATCAAATTACTGAAATTCTCATTACAATTGCTGAATTTTATTTTAATTAATGAATTTTATTTTAAATAATGTATAATTTTTTATTATAAATATAACATAATTAGAGAAAGAGGAAAAGTAACAATTTATAAAAGACCACATACAAAAATGTTGACACTATCTGCTGTTTATTTCCGATAAAGACAGCAGTAGAATACAAGAAAGCATATATAATGCCAATCATTAATTGAGACAAAGTAATTATTTGACCTAATCATGCGTATTTCATCATTATTACATAAGATTGTTTCTTTATGGACAAAGACCAATCGTCAATTGCGGAATTCACATTGATGGCAATTCTTTTCTTATAAATACGTGCCAAAATGATATTTAGCCACGCATAAAAGCAAGCCTCTATTAAAAGAAAAAACTCCGATTGTTCTTTATCACCGTAATTCTTAAAAGAATCTATCAGCATACTCGTCTATGAGAGACTATACGATAGCAACTACTTCAACTGCTTTATAAATATTTATATTGAGTTATATTGTGCAGTATTTTTGATATAATAAAAATATAAAACTTTGTTTACATCGTATATAGTCTACACAAATTTAATTTAAGAGAAGAAAGGGGAAGATTACTCGTATATACAATTACATAAAATTCTTAAAAATCAATATATATTATGCGTATAAATTTTTTTTTCTGAAATTTTTGATGACATTTTAAATCAACAGCAAAAAAATTAATGAATTATTATTATATAAATTTTCAATAGAAAAATTTGAATACATCAAACTCTTTATATATTTATCATCTGTTCTACATTCGAGGGCAAAAGTTAATTTTTTGCACTTTACATTATCTCTTCTCTCTTACCTCTACAATGAATATCAAAATCCAGCGAAATGTGCAAACCAAATCGTTCTGCTGCAAAGGCCATATTCCAAGCATGCACATCATTACCCTTATCGTTCGGAAACCATAGTCCATACCATTATTCCAGTGTGTCTTCCTGTTTCACAACGGTTAGTTTCGATCTCAAAAAAAGGATAGTGATGGTCACATATAACAGAATATTGCTCTACGTCTATGTGCGATTTCGGAACAAATTACTATTGTCAATGCGCAAGACTTATCTTTTGTTCATTAATTGGTCTTTATGTCGATAAGATAAGTAGCAGTACAAATTTGTGTAACAATTTTCGTAATATTTATTCATCTTTCTAATATGCACTTCCAGTATTTTCAGTGTCTTAGATAGCTTTCTCAGTCCATCAATATTTAATACGTTAACGACTATGAACTAAATGATACATTAAAGTTATCGCATCTGTTTGAAATAGTAATCGACAATTACAAGTAGCAAAAAAATTGTCAAATTAATTTAACTGTATATTCTTCATATTAATATACATTTTTCATGTGTGTATATGTTTGTGATGTCTCTTTCTTTCTTTTCTCTTCAGAAAATATTAACATATCCTTGTTGTTTAAGGTTTGCATTAAACCAATACTTACAACTAACATTAATTATGTTTACAAATTTGTATATACAGCATGATTGATAAAGACTAGACCAACGCTCGAAGAGAACAGTGCAAAAAGCTGAATAGAAAAGTTCTTTATCATTTTGCAATTTTTGCAATAATTATTGAAATATTAATTAAAAAGTACTTGCAAATGAGCACACCTAGACTATTGGATCTGTTCTCTTAATATGTTAGGAGCAAATGTCACATGAGAATGAAAAGTTTGCTTGGCTAGGACATTCCCCGATTTTTGTCTTTTCATTGCCATGCGATACTTACCAATAATTATTGCAAAAATTACAAAATGATAAAGAAGTTTCCCGTTTCAGTTGTGCTCTATCTACCATTAGTAAAATTTTATCAAACATTCTATATGTTATATATATAAATGAATATCATAATTTAAAAATATTATTTATCTCAAATATTATTTATCTCAAATATTATTTATCTCTAATATTATTTATCTCTAATATAAATAATTTTCTTTTTCTTCTGTAAATAGCTAAATATTTACATTTTATTTTATTTAATTTTCAATAATTTATTAAGTTGTCGATGCTCGAAAACTGTCACAATAATAATAATATGTTTAATAAACTTCAAACTCAAGTTTTTACTCTAAAACGCTTCCACTTGTTCATTCTCACTCCATTTATTCAAGTCTCCATATGGACATCAGGGACATTATCATCATCTGACCATTGTATTATGGATGATTTTAGTAATCTCGACATAGTACAAAAAGTAATATAATAATGAGTTTTGTTTTATCAAGTTTTGCATTTAAAAAAATATTAAAATTTTTTAATTTAAAAAAAAATATGTTATATGATGATAAATTAAAGTGTCTCCTTCATTATTCTTAATAAATATTTTACGTATCTATCATTACTCTTAACACGGATAAATACGAGGCGGAAGCCTTTAGAATCTCTTTAAAACTATCGAAATTTACCGCTAAAAATTTTCCTGCAGTCAACTGATGAGGGTGAGCTGCCCGAAGTATCATCAGTGGAAAATCTTTTATCACGCTTACATTAAAATTATACCATGGTGTCTCGTAAATGGCATAGGCGAGTCCTTGCGATTGACACTCCAATGTTTGTCCGGCGAAACAGTAGAGGAAAAGTTGTATCAGTAGCACTACGATGTAAAGGAAGTGTTTCATAGTAGCAAATCTATTGTGTATACTAAGCGTGAGAATTAATTGGAAACCTGAAATAAATATGATGATGAATTAATGGTAAATTTAAAAAATTTTTCATGTGATTTTTTTAATATTTAATACACATACATATATATATATATATATATATACATATATATATATATATATTTGTTTATTTATTTATAAGTATATATTTTAATGCTCCAAAATTTTTATAAAATTTCAGTTTAATAAAAAAATAATTTCTTTTTAACATAAGAACAAAGATAGTTATTTCGTATAGTAATTTTTATGTCGATTTCAACTTTAAACTATTTATGTCACAAGATTTACTAATATTACAATTAATAATTTCATCAATTTTTGATTAATTAAAATATTATAAGATTAATTTTTTAAAAATACTAAAAAGAGCAGATTTCAATGAAACACGCTTCAGATAGTTCCATAAGCAAGAAAAATATACTTTTTTAAATTATAAAATTATATACTTTAAATTATAAAATTATATACTTTAATTATATACTTTAAATTATAAAATTATATACTTTTTTAAATTATAAAATTTGGCGAAGCATAAAAATTCATATTAAATCCGAATATTTAGAAGAATGGCATCTTCCTTTATTTCTTTTAAAATACATATATAAATTTCTTTTAAAAATAAAAATTACCTTCGATGCATAAGAGCATGACGCTCATCAAAAGTTGCGACAAGATGACTAAGCTGTATGCTTTTTGCAGGTGATGCGCCAGATCTATGAGACGATGATGTCTCTTCAACAGAAGGCCAAGTTTATTTCGAGAAAGTGATTGCTTGCTACTTATTTCAACAAAGTCCACCCTAAAAACCTCGAATTGTCCGCACACATGCATCGTAAGATCGAAGAAAAATCCGTCGTTTCCGCACTGCGAGATACAGTTGACGAAAATCTGTAGCGTTTGCAGGACTTCAACAAAGCCGTAAGCGAGGGATGTGTATGTTTCGAAGACGCAATAGGTCGATAATAGCAATCTTCTTTCGCTCGTTTTATTGTAATTCTGCTGTTCCAGGGAAATCCAAGGTAGATCGAGATTGGCGAATATAAAGAGCGAGAAAAGGAATACGCAGGAGGCGCAACCTACATAAAACATTACCGAGAAACCCAATCTACCTGTGCGCGCATACTTCAACATTATATCGCGCGAGTGAGGATTCTTGACGTAAGTCCAATCATGGACGATGGCTTGTACCAGAATCAATTTGTCTCTCCAATTCACGCGATGCAAGAGCAGCTTCAATATGCTAATCACCGACGAGGAGGCCGACAAAAATGCTTCGAAAGCGTCCTCGTAACCGTGACAATGTCGAATCACTTCCAGTGATAGGCTGATCGTTGCAGTCATCTTCACAAAAATTAGATAGATGCATCCGGATTAGATCCGTCTTTATATAAATTCTTTAGTCTCATCGAATCATATATTGTAACGTGTATGATTTATTATTTATAATTTTTTTTTCAGTTTTATTCGTGCAGTAAGATATTCTCAAGATACATAAAAACTTATAAATCAGACAAAAAAGAAAACTAAGGATTCCTTAATTATTTTAATATAATTATTAATATAATTATATATAATATAATTATAATATAATTATTAATATAATATAATTATATTAATAATTATATTAATAATTAATATAATATAATTATATTAATAATTATATTAAAATAAGAATATAATTATTTTAATATAATATTTTAATATAATTATTTTAATATTCGAAAAAATATATTATAATTTAAATATTAATATAATAACTTACTTCCACCATTGTCGATATAAACCATCGGATCCTCGAGAATACATTTTCTTCATCCAACACCCAGAGTCCAATTATACCGAGGAGATATTTATAAATCGTCAAGACGTACGCAGTTTCGGCATTCCATTGCGCAGGCGATGCCATTTTCAAACTTTCCTTTTAAACTTTTTCAGATTATTACGCAATTTCTTCGATTATTATTTCCTCCGAGATGAATATTTTACGATAAGTCTGTCGAGTTTCTCTTCGGTTTGCTTCTCTCCGAAAACGGAAGTAATAACCTAACTTAACCTTTTGTCTCTCTACGATGCATCGTTCGATATCCGATTTGTTATAAATGCAAGCCGCATTTGTTATGCCGCGACAACCCCTCGCGACTACGTCTGGATTTCTTTCTAAATTCATTATTCATATGATTCCTTCAACTCTTGCGATTTCTTGGAGAATGCAAGTATAATTTGCATTTGCGTTTGTATTTGTACAAATTATACGGTTGCGACATCATCCTCGACAATACAAATTTTTAGAATAATAGCTTTAGAAGTTTAGCGTTTAAGTGTTCTATTTATTGATAAATAAAAAATCTGCAGTTGCGAGAAAGAAAGAAAGAGAGAGAGAGAGAGAGAGAAAAAGAGCTTTAGGACAATTTTCTGAAATTATCGTTTTGTCATCCATTCAGGAAATGATTCATATGTATTTTCCCAATAAATAAGCAAAAAACAGAAACAACAGAACATCATGTTTAATAAAAAAATGTAATAAGAAACTGAGAAAAGAAGATACTATTATTACAACTACTATGTATTAAATAATAATATGGAGAGTTTTCTTTCACAATATGCTAATTTATCGTGTGTTTAAATTTCTGCAGTAAAAAAAAATTATCTTCGTTGAGTAGTGAATAGTATTCTTCTGAAAAGACAATATAACGATAAAATATAATTTGCAAAGAATGCGATAAAAAAATATTAGATATCTATAAATATGTATATATATATATATATATATATATATATATATAAATAAAAATTTGAAGTAAAGAATAATTAATAATCGAGAGGTATGCATAACATAAATTTGAATATGATATATACTATCAAACTATATTATTAATTTATATTATATTATAAAAAAGAAACAAATAAATATAAAATAATACAAATAATTTAAAAAAAATAAATAATATTGTCTAAATAATAAATATAAATGTCTGAGCTTTTGTGATAATCGTTGATAGTCGTTTTAATAATGTTGTTTTCATATGGAACAAATTTAAATATAAATACTATAAGCAATCGAAAATTAAATATTTTAGATTGACAAACGACGCAAAACTCGAATAATACCAATCAAATAATTTGAGTATACTTAATTATTATACAAAAACGTGCGTGTTCCAAGATACTTTAATCAAATATATTTGCATCTTTTACATTGTATCACTCTTTGTACAATATTGTTTTCTGCATATTTTAAATCCAGCCATACACACATTCACACAAACACGTACACATATGAAGCCCATATGAATTGAAGAACATTATGATTCTCTTAGTGCTATTCGTAAAACGGAAACGTACGAGGCTGCTGTCTTGAGAATGTACATCATTGTCTCGCGATTAACGTAGAAAAATTTTCCACCGGTAAGACGAAACGGAATGCTCGATCTCATCATCGCGAAGTGCAGGTCCTTCATCAGCTTTACAGGAAGCGTGAACCAGGAAGTTGCGTATAACGCATAAAATATACCTTCACTTTCCCTCTGTAGGAAGTCACCACCGTAGGTAAGTACCAAAGATTCCATTAATAAGTAATTCAAGACTACAATGCTCTTCGCCGCTTCGACGTGATCTTTCTCATTTAGGCACAAATTTATACGTAATCCTAAATATAAAGAATTTGTTTTAAAAGACGAAAGTGACAGTTTCTCAATATGACATTTACAGATAATTAAATAAGTTAAATTATAAAAGAATATATATAAAATTTATATATCTATTTTAATTAATAAAATCTTCACATATATTACCTATCAGTGCAAGCATAATCGTCACCATCACGAGTTGAACTAATATAAGCAAGTGGAAAGTGTCTTCTAAATTTTGATAGAACTTCATTAACTCCCCGTGCCTATCAACCAAGCTGACGAACTTCTTTCGGTAATTTGCCTCCGTGTTTGAATCATTCGCGAAAATTTTAAATTTGTTTTTAAGCACCTCGACTTGGCCAGCGAGATGCAAGGTGATGTTGAAAAAAAAACTGTCTATGACACATTGCGTCGAACATACTAAGGATGTTTGAACAATTTGAAAGATGAGGAGTATGACATATTGCGAACCAGTGATTGAGGTAGCCAATGGGCCAGATGGGACTAGGAGCATCCAATATGTTGTATTAGCATCAGCTGTACATCATAAGAATGCAAAGTACAAGAATAACGATATATCAATGTACGAATGCATTTGAGAAATTAATAACGCAAAGCAAAAAATAATAGTGTATTGATAAATATACGAGCAAATTTTACCACTCAGTGGATCCGTGAAAAATATCTGCTTCAGATTTATAAACACAATCGCTGACATGTAAATACTAAAACATCCGCCACCCGAGTATAGCAACATGAGAGTGAGAATTCTGGCTCTGGCCGCATATTTCTTCATAATCTTTCGAGTTTCTTCGTTCTCTTTAGTAGACAACCAATCATCGATAGCAGCATCGAGATTTATGCTTAGTTTTTTCTGACCGATAGCGATGCACACATGTTTTATCATTCCAAGCACCGTGGACACGAAATATAGTATGCTCTCTATACCTCCTGTGCCCGCATTCTCATTGTTCCACATGAGATCCAACGTCACAAAGGGTAGTATCATGAACTAAATAACAATTCTTTAGCCTCAGAAATTAATATATATAAATACTGATAAAAACTTATAATAATAATAACAACTTTTGTACCTTATATTAGTAGATTTAAATTTTTATAGGACATAATTTTTTAATTTCTTAAAATATTAATAATATGAAATATTAATAATTATCAAAATAAGAAGTTTATAATCTGAAATTTATAATCTAAAACTATCAAGATAAAATTCATGATCTATTAAAATTATAGCGGATAAAAAATTAAAATTATCAGGAAAGAAAGTCTATTTCTTTCATTATTGTTTTATCAAAAAATTTATCAAAAAAAAATAATACTTCAGCAAACACCAGTTATATAACTGTTAATTATAATTTTCCACTCAACAATATAACTGTTACATGTTATGAGTGGGAATTTACAACTAGCAATTATATAAATGTTTCTTGGTGTTTGCTGGGACAGAATTATTTTGCACTTGTCAACTCTATTTCGCATCTCATTCCTCGTCACGTATACGTCATATCCATCCAGCTCACGTTAACGTACCTGCGCAGTAACACAAAAGACGTATCGTATCTTCGTGAATAGCGTCTGCTCTTGCAATGGCCACAGACCGTATATTTTCAAGAATATTCTATGAATGGAGAAAGCGTAGGCGAAGTCATCGCTCCAACGTTTAGCCGACATTTTACCATCGGGGCAGCTCGAATGACAGCCTCATTCAAAAGCACTTTGCTCAATTGTTACAAAAAGTTGCTAAATATTTGCCAATTTAACATCAATTTACTATCATTTTCATCGAGCATTATCGAATTATCACAAATCGCGCCATTAGTTTATTACTCCGAACTCATGTTTTATTAGTCCCCACTTGGAACTTTTCTTAGGCTGGTAAGATAAATGCGAAAGGAGAAAAAGATCGGTGTCTTTATACTATTCCGCAAAGCTTTTACGAAACAGCGGCGAATTTTCGTAAGGTTACGTATGCATTTGTCATCCTCGTATCAATTGATGTGTGGAATTGTGCGTTTTGACATTTATTTCATTACAATATGTGTGTGATATAAATCTTCAACCTTTGATTACGGTAGAGTCTTATTTAACGTTTGGCAAAATACGTTATCGGTATCGCAGAGACACGTACAAGCCTTGATGCATAAACAGGATTGAAGAAAACATCGCAGGTACCTCGAATCGAAGATACGATTTCTTCTCTCAGTCATAATTTATAATTGTGTGTGTCAATCTTATATTACTTTCTTTTACGTATCTATCACCATTCTGAGAACGGAGAGGTAGGAACCTGTGGCTTTCAGGATTTCTTTGAAGGAAAATAAATTCATAGGTAGGAATTTTCCAGCCGTTATCTGATGAGGAATCACTCCTCGAAGCATCACCATAGGCAGATTTTTCATTATCTTCACGTCAAAATCATACCATGGACTATCGTAAACACTATACGCGAGTCTTTCACTTATAGATTCCAGCTGATTGCCAGCGTAGCAGTAGAGGTACAGTTGCACTAGCATCGTCAAGATCAAAACGATGTGCTTGATCGCCGCGATATTGTCATTTAATCTCAACGAAATTAGCAATTGCATACCTGAAAGTAAGTCTTAAATTATTATTTTTATATTCATGTCAATAATTTTTTTTAGTAACATATATTTGACAGAATAAGATATTAATAGCATTAATGCGTTATTCTCTCTGTCCCCGAAATTTATTTAAAATTTTTGTCTTCTAAGAACTCGATGGTTCTTTAAAATATTTATCAATAATAAGTTTGGTAATTTTTAATTAATGGACACACTTACTTATTTATCTTGAAAATATTTAAATACTTCTGTTTTGGGAGATTTCATTTATCCAATGCCCATTAAAATCTTTATTTAAGATCTCGATTTATCAAATAACTTAAAATCGTAGACAATAATAATATGCAGTTATAGCATCACAAAACAGGATTTCTCAGATATATTTAAATTACATAGAAGATATTCTTGCGTTGAATATGAATGGTACATTTGCCATGTGAAAGATTATAAATTGTTCACATGCAAAAAGCTAATCATGATTTTAAAAAGTGCGTGAAAAGAAAGAAAAGATACCTTCCACGCAAAGCAGCAATATACTCATCAACGTCTGCGCAAAGATGGCCATGCTGAAAGCGTATTCGAGACTATCAGCCAGCTTTATCAGGCGGCAATGCCTGCCGATCAACATTCGCATTCTCCTCTTGCAGACTCGCTCGTCCACTTCAATATCGGCGAAGTCCATCTCAAGTACTTCGAACTGTCCGCACAGGTGCATCGTGAGACCGAAGAAGAAGCCGTCATTCCCGCAATGTGAAGTGGCGTTTACGAAGATCTGCGCCGCTTGTAGCAGCAGGACGCAGCTGTGGACAATCCCGGACAGCGATCCGAACACGCAATAAGTCGCTAGGAAATACGTCGGCATCACGGTGGCATTATTATTCGCTTTGGACGCGTTCAACCAGGGTATTAGATCGTCGAACGGTATAGCCATGAAGAGAAATGACATGCCCGACGCGTAGCCCAGATACAATATTGTCAGAGACACCACCCTACCCACGTTGGTGTACCTTGTCATGACCTCCCGTCGTCGAGCATCCCAGGATATTGACCAGTCGTCAATGAGGGAGGTTACCAAGATGTAGGTGTGCTGCCAAGTCAGCCGGATGACAAGTAGTTTGGATAGACTGACGACAGACGAGAGATCCATTAGAAAGGCCTCCATCATGTCCTCGGTACCGAGGCACTGCCGATAAGCTTCCAGAGACAGGCTGCCGATAGTACTAATCTAATCGGGGGATTGTATTAATTCGCGCGATGATCTCTCTCTCTCTCTCTCTCTCTCTCTCTCTCTCTCTCTCTCTCTCTCTCTCTCTCTCTCTCTCTCTCTCACTCTTTATTTTTAATTTCTAATTATTCATTTTAATCATTTAAATATTTGTATTCAAAAAAGGGAAAGAAACAAAGATGAGACGAAGGATAATACAGCTGACTTAAAATCATTTTACGTTGATTGTATAAATAATTAGCATTCGACATTTACCTGAATTAAAATAGCTATGGAGCATCGTACGATAGATTTCGGTTCTCCCGCATTTAAGGGCCAAACTCCAATGATGCCAAGAACTTTTTCGTAAACATTTATAGCGCGATGAGTCTCGTCATTCCAGTTTCTTACTTTTTTCATTATCAAGAATTATCTCTATATTTTTCCTAATGATAAATTTAAAAGATCTAAATAAATAATAAAAATGTATAAATTTGAAAATGAAACATAAAATGCAAATGCAAAAAATATGCATTTTATCGTTACATAAATACACTGCAGATAGGAATAATATTTTAATAACAAAAAATTCAAATATATTCTATTTGATATCGACCTAATCAGGAATCCAGTTTAGTCTCCAATTGCAAGGAATTATTACACGCAAATTGAACAAAATTATCGATACGAGTTTCGATAAAATTTATCCGATTTCTTTTCACTGCGCGAGACTTGATGGAACTAGAGACTTACTAAGGCACACGGCAAGCAAAGCCATCTCAAGACGTCCTTCTTTGATCTTTTATTCACGCGAGGAACAGAATCGACGCAGCAAAATCATACGTTTCTGTGATCGATGACTGTCTTACAAAGTTTTGAACCTTTTTATCGATTAAAGACTCTGTCCAGATGTTAGATATATGTATGTAAATATGTATTTGCGGTATGCAATGCATGCGTCTCTTTTATTTGGAGCAAGAATAATGAAAGGCGTACGAAAATTAATAATTTATTGCAGTTTTTATAGCAGTTGTAGTCGAAATCAAAATATGCTCAATCTCTTTACCGTGAAACATCAGTCTTATGTTTTGTGACTGTTGCCGTGAGTTTATATAAATAAACAAGAAAGGATAAATATTGTTTTATATTGTTTAAAGGAAAATATATCAATTTTTTTTCCTATCAAAATATTAAATTATAATTTAATTATAATTTAATTATAATTTAATTATAATATAATTAAAAATAATCAATCTATTATCCGCGTTACTTTGAGTGGCAAACGAATACTCGAATATCTCATCCAAATCAGCCTTAAAGAATATTTAATATTGATATGTAAATATAATATGTGAATATTTTTTAAATTGTGAAATAATATAACATAATGTAGTATATTATATTAAATAGTATAATTTTATATATAATATATAATTTATATATGATAATAATTTATGTATGCAATAATTGATATATGAATATTTTTAAAATTGAAATATGATTGATATAATTTATTCCCAAAATTATCTTTCAAACTATTTTACAAAGTAAATATAACCGATGATACTGCATGTAAATTCTCCACAAGGATAAAATAACTTATTCATTCAACATGACACGCAGGACCGAGAGATATGACGCTGTGGATTTCAAAATATCTTTGAACATAATCATGTTCATGGGCAAAAACTTCCCGGCCGTCAGTTGATGCGGAATACTGGCTCGCATCAAAATAATCTGAAAGTCCCTGGCTACATTGGTCGGCAGCTCGTACCAATCGCAATCATAAGTGGCGTATGACAACGCGGTACTTCTCATCTCCAAGCAATCACCGGCGAACGTGTAAAATGACAGTTGGATCAGCATGAGAAGTAAGACGCTAGAGTTATGTATAATCATAGATAGATTGCCGAGATGTAACGACACGATTAACATGAAACCTGGAAGATATTACAACGATGGTACGATTAGATATACTCTTCTCAGCGGTGGATATATTACCGCCAAAATGTGCGAGATTCTATATTTTATTGCAAACATTATAAATTGCCAGATAAATTACACAGCCATATAAAATATTTTTACAAATTGAAAAGGCAAAATGTTTATACATAAGCTATTTTGGATGCTATAGATGCACTCGTAACTATTGGTTTAGGATTCTCCATAATTTCTCTATAATTGATTTTTCAAAATTAAATTCAAAATTAATAACTCAGCTAAAGATTCAATAAAAAAATAACTTTATATGATAGAAGTCCAATTTTCAAAATGGCCTTCAAATTAACGAATCCACTTAGATGTATGTGTAAAAGTGCATTACCGTCTATACACATGAGAGTGGTAGTGACGAACAGATACATCAAAATGTTGGCATTGAACGACTCTTCCATACAGTTAGCTAAACGGATCAGCTGACAGTGCCTCTGGACCGCTTCGGCTATCGCGCGATGCGCCTGGTTGACCCGGAATTCGGACAGCTGGACGCACAAAGCGTCAAACTGGGCGCACAGATGCATGGCCAGTCCGAAGAAGAAGCTGGTGGTACCAAAGGTCGATATGCCGGTGATGAGCATCTGCATCGCCTGGACGATCATGAACATCTGACGCGACGACTCGCTTCGAAACACGCAGGACTCGCGAATCCGATCCTCGCGACTCGTGTTTGCGTTCTCGATCTCGTTACCGTGCTTCTTTCCTGTGATTGCCGATATCGCCATAGAGGTGTAAACACTCACTATGATGCCCACCAGGATGAAGGTGAGCGTCGTGACGCGCGTCGACATCGTCGCGTACTTCTTCATGATCCAGCGTACCCTCTTATCCTTCTGCGTCGCCCAATCGTCCGTCATCGAGGTGACTATCTCGAGCAATTCTTCGCGATGGATACGAGGCGTGATCAGTCTCGTGAGGGCTAACATGGCGGCAGCGCCTGTTGTTAACGAGTCGAAGGATTTTTTCGTACCGTTACAATGGAGATAAATTTCGGTAAAATAAATGCACATCGGCAGCACCTGGAGAATTACAATAGAAAATTAAAATTATTATATTAAATAATTAAAATTATTATACATGTATTGTGACGATAGATTATATTTTAATATTAATTATTTGCATTTCTGTCAAAAATGTATTTTTAAGTGCAAATATTATCGGCGCTTATTAAAAGATATCATTTTTAGATGACAGTTCATAAAAAAAAATAATGAAATTTATTTATATAATAAACAAATATATATGCTAAATTATTTATATAATAAATATATAAATAAATATATCATAAATTTGTATAATAAATTTGTATAATACATGTATATACTAAATTATATATTTATATAATAAATAAGTACATATTTTAAATTATTTACATAATAAATAATAAAAATTATTTGACTTTAGAGCTACGTTAATTAGAATGTTACAGTTTCAGAACTATAAATTAAGCTTAATTATTTTCACACTGAACTAAAAAAAACTAAAAAACTTTATGAAAGCATAAATACAGTTTTAAATTAATGTTCTTTACAAACATATCATTTACGATTCCGATGGCAAACGAAAACAATTTGCTATTCTACATAACTGTATTTGACAAAAAAAATGATAGAATTACATAGATGTTTCTTGACACAATCGTTATATTTCGTGAGAAAAAATCACACTCACAGAAGTTTTCAAGGTGAATGAAAAAAAGGATATATAGCTATCTTTAACAATGTCATGTTGTATTAATACTTATATTAATCTTCATATTTAATCAATATAACTGTACTTGATTAATAACTCTTGTATAAAAATAATGTGCGATTAATGAATAAATGGCTAATTTAACGGTACTTGCTTCCAAAAATACGGCAATGATCCATCTGAGATCCATGAAAAAGTCCTTTTTCTTTACGGGCCAAATACCAACGCAGCTCAGAGCCAATTTGGGCACCAACAGCGTCGTGATGATCGTGGTGCCTCTGTGGATGATCATTCTAAATCCGAGGACTTCCGTCATAGATATGCGCTGCAAAAACCGCTCTTTTTTCGAAGATACCACTATGTATTGTGCATCTTTTATTCGCGTGCGACCGTTTCCAGCCGCGCTGACTTTTCGCAGGACTAAAGAATACGTAGCCTTTTCTTGAAGAAAATAGAAATTTGCACGCTATATACAAATATTGCAATTTATACAAAACCGCTAACTTAAGACGTACGGATATTATAATGATTGTAGTCTTCCTCTCTTTTGTCTCTTGTAAAAATATTTAAATCTTAAAATATAATGCGTGTCTCTCTCGTAAGAAATATATATATCATTCATCTATATGTCAAGTTAGACTTTCTTCTTAATTCCTTATTTATGGACAGTAAATTTAATGCTTTGTTTTTTTCCGGAAAAAACAGAGATGTTGAAAAATGTTCTGATGTATATTCTGATTTATTGCGATTATACATCTATGAAAAATTTATTTGATTCTTTATAAGTCGAGAGTACATTATACAACTTTGTTGATGACTTAAAATATTAAATTCTAACTATATGTAGATTATACAAATTGCATTACGTATAAATTTCTAAAGCATAAATTTTTGCTTCATAAAAAAGGAATGTTAGTCGTAAAATATCTTTTCGATCTTTTGTATTATTTTAAGGAGAACGGTTCTGGATTAAAAATTTCTCATGTCGCGCTCGCAAAAAGACTCAACAGCTTTTTAATACATTTAAGAATTTAGGATAAAACATCAGATAAATTATCAGTGAGTCAAAAATTGCTATTGTTTTTTCTATCATTAAAACACAAGACAAAAAAATTAAATATAAAAATTATATATGAATAAAAAGAAAAGAAATAAAATAAGAAAGTAAATGAAATAATAATTGAAAAAATGTTTGTAATTAAAAAGTTAAATAAAAAGAAATAAATAAAGTAAAAAATAATTAAAGAAGATAAAAAAATTAAATTAAAAGATTATATAATTATCGATCAATTAAAATCGCGTTATCAAATACAGATCAAGCATCATTTTGATATTGAAATTACAGAGACTAGTACGTTGAACGGGACATTCCCTAATTCTTTGCAGGGTCAACGACTGTCCGTCGAAAGTGGCTTTTGTGTGTATTGGTGTGTATGGGAGCCGGTTTTACCACGAAACAGCTATTCGAGTCTGTTACAACGACCTTGTGCAAAGGACCACGAGATATTTTATCCGGTGAAACTTCTTGCTCCTCCGATATCCGGAATACTTCCCAAATAGATTAGATAAAAACACGCATTTGCATATTATCATCGAATCTCGATAAAAAAACTGATGAAGCTATTCGATAACGGTAATTTTCATTTACGATTGCAAACATTCGTGTTATTAGCAAAATCTGGCCTAAATCGTACTGCAAATTTATCAAAAATTATATTTAACACTAATAAATTGATTGTTGTTATTTTATAAGCACTTAATAATTAAATATGTTTAATATTAGTATTTACCGTTCTTTCAACTAATTACAAAAATAATTAGATTAAAAAATGTGATTAAAATATAATAAACATTTTAATAAAAATAGACTTTTATCAATTCTGATATAAAATTAATGCTAAAATAAAATGTTTGTGAAGTAAATTTATTCGCTTCGATACAGTTGTTATCCAAATCTGTAAAATTTATTTATTTGAACCTATTAATTTTTGGCATTAATCTTCAATTGCATTTTTCATAACATTTTAACATTGCAAAAAAAATATGTAAATGTAATGATATATGCAAAAATTAATTATATTGATAGAAAATCACAAGCCTACGTAAAGCTATTCAAGAAATTCTCTACATGTGACAAATCTTTAAATAAAAAAAAAAAGAAAAATTCGAATGCAAGTATGATAATGTCTTGAAAGTTTTCAGAGCAGAAGTACAAAAATTCCACGAGCCAAGTACGGATAATATCCGGGCCATGTGGAATTCTGCGGGAATCTGCATCGAGAGACGTACAGGAGGTGCATTGTACATCGTCGGCTTCTACGCTCCAGAGCCAGGGGAACTTGCTCAGGTAGGTAAGTACCGTTCGACGAGCTACGTCTGACGCCAGTCAAGCCAGAACCTTCGTCGTGTCAAGTGCACGGGCTCCTGAGGAACCGTACATGTGTATAGTGCTTCCGTAATCGAACACACAGACAGAGCCCGTTTGATTTTAAAGGTACGTGGAAGAGAACAAATTGCTACACATAAGATTTTCGTATCTTCGTATCATTTTCGAAATTTCTAAACTTTTGTAGAATGAGAAATTTCATTATAATATATTTGAAACATTCACGTGTTGATTGGATAAAGGGTAGAAGCTCGTTCGATAAAGTGAAGCATAAATGTGGCAGTGAATCAAGCAAAATATAACAATATTGCATTCGCTTCCTATCATCTTCTTATCTTCTTTGAACATGTTTTAGTCAAGTGGTTAGCATATGTCGATGTATTGAGGATATCTCAGCTGATTGAATTGACAGGTGTCATGATTATTTGAGTGACACGACGCACTATATCTTTGTAATAATCGAGATATTATGCGCTCCTGATGCTATCATAATTGCAATGTAAAGCTCAATCGCGTCCATCGAAATTTATCTCGCACAGCCACTCTGCAAAAAAATGAATCCCCTGCCAAGACTTCGGCGCTCAGAATTTTCCCATCATAAATAAACGTAACGGCAATTCGAGCTCCAATCCGATGATCGCCTTTCCACATTCAGAAACACCATCGAACACGCTCTACTTGACTGCGACTACCGTTGCTGCTGGCGCGGCCATGCGAATTTTTCAACCATCAATTCTCTCCACTCATGTAATCGTAACTTACGGCGAATTCTTGTGTTTGCCTTGCTGATCACATTGGCGAGGTGTACTAAGCTAGCTGACTGTGTCCGAGATATTAAGTAACTGTTCCGCGTTGCTTCATAAGCATAACACAACTTACAATTTATAAGAGTAAGAACGTCTCACGTGCTTGAACTTGAAGTAGCATATTAGTACAACGTAAACTGTAACTAGCACCTAGATTTATAGATTTGTATATGCATTCTTTTATTTATATATTCATTTATATATTCATTCATATATTCATATATTTATTTATTTAAAAAATTAATCTATAAATATATATATATATATATATATATATATATATATATTAATTTGTTAAAATTAATTTTTTCAAAGATTAATCTTTTAAATCTTAAACTTAATTTATATATATATTAGAACCAAGAAAAATTCGTGCCATGTGCATATTAATCAATTTCAAAGGAAAATTAATTTTCGCCATATCAAGAGATTAAATGGATCTATATGTGATAATACAAATTTGAATTTCGCGGTTAGCAAGATGGTAGTGCGTCTCATTTCTCTCTATCGAAAATTAATTTTCCTTTGAAATTGATTAATATGCACATGGCACGAATTTTTCTTGGTTCTAATATATATAAATTAAGTTTAAGATTTAAAAGATTAATCTTTGAAAAAATTAATTTTAATAAATTAATACATACTCGTACAAGTGTGTCGGAAATTATAATGCAAGCAAAATGGAAGTAACTCCTCATGCAAATGTAAATTCAAAATATAAAATTAAATTTTTCACATATAAAGTTTAGTTTTCAAAAAAATTGATTTTGAAGATCCATTCAATACGTATGTACTTGATTAATGAGAATCAAATCTTGCTATATACCTATATAACTATTTCTGTTTATATTTATGAACATTGTTATAATTTATTAAAATAATGCAACAAGTTTCAATAATGTATTTATTTTATTAAATTGCAAATTTTGCTAAAAATATCCCTCTTTTTATCGCATATAAAACTCTTATTATTTAAAAGAGCATAAATAAATGAATTTTTATTTATAATTGTTTAATTATTTACAAATGCAAATAGAATTAATTATTTATAACAAGATTCGGTCAATTGACTTGTCAAGTGTAAATGTATTTAAGGGATTTTTCAAATTTCTTTTTTTCTCAAAAATAAAGCTTTATATGGAAATATTTTTATTCAACATTTTCGATTTGTACTTGAAAAATCACCTCCATTTTGTTTGTACCATTTGGTACATCCTAATAATAATTATTAATATAATAATCCTATATAATAATTATTAATATTATATTAATATTAATATTATATAAATTATTAATGACTAATACAATTTAAATGAATGAAAGATTGCATTAATCTTTTTATATCATTAATCTTTTTTATATCAAAATAAAAAATTCTTTATAGTGCTTTCAAAAACATAATCGATATTTGAAATAGGGTATTTCTGCTGAAGCATCCAAGAAAATCGTCCGACAGTACGATAAAGGCGCCTTTTTAAAGCCGTTTGGTGTCTATTGCAATAATTTATGATAACGTGCAACTAACTTTTCGATAACTCTTTCAAATGTTAGTCAGCCAAGGTCTTTTTTTATCAGCATGGTGAAGTCACCACTTGCATAAATAATTGTATATTTTCACACATTCGTTTGAAAATCAACCGAGTTGTACATGCAAATGCAATTTTGTATACTAAATTGACGTTACAACGTTGTTTATGAAAAAATAAAACAATTTGTCCCGTTAAATAAATAAATATTCATAAATTTTTATGTTTATTTAATTATTTTATTGAGATAATTCTGTTAATTGTATCAAGTAGTTTTGTCATGTAAAATCAATATGGCGGTTTATCTTTTTGAAACGATAAGAATGCTAAAAAAGCGTTAATAATTGATAATTAATCTTACTATTACAGCTTTCCATCAGTTGACAAACAATAGAATTGAACTAATGTAACATGATAAATGAGTCAGTTTTATTATCTCTCTCAATTACTTTATAATTGCTTTATAATTGCTTTAGCTTTTGAAGTAGTTTTAAAAGACTGTGCCAGCTATTACAAAAAATGACTAATATCTTTGTAACAACTTACAAAATTGCGCGATTATGCATTTCAAAGTACTCATTATGCAAGACATACCGTTATATCAAGGTCACCGTTATTGCGTTATTAATTTACATGGAACACCTTTCGATGAGATTCGACATAAATATGTCGACATAATTTCAAATGTAATAATGTCGGCCAGCAATTAAATCACTGACGTTGGCTTATTTAATTTGCTTATGATTGTTCGAAAAAGAACAACAATCATGCAACTTTTGTGACGAAGAAATTGATTGTTTCTTTCTTGACCTCGAACCTCGACGACATTGCAAAAATTTCGCACGAGCTTTCCCTCTCAACAACTGTTGGAAATGAGGTGATATTCTACGTGTATGCATGTGTTTATTTTCATGCAGGATATTTATAAAACCTGTGACAAAAAATGTGAAATTAAATAAAAATAAAGCAACTTTTATTTTTATTCTTGCGATATGTTTTACAAATTTTTAGAGAATCAAGATAATTAAAAAGAATCAACATAATAAATATACAAAATGACAATGCCATTTTCTGGTTAATAAATATTAATAAATATTAAGAGTTATTTATCCTTGGAATTAGAAAAATAAACTAACATGTGTGCACATTGTAGAAAATATCGAAAAACCAAACAAGTTTGGATTATTTTTCATTTCATAAAAAATATATATGAAATATAATGTAGGCCATTTATATCGGTCATAAGAAACTCCTTACATTTATTTCAGACTATCTAACGTTGAATATAAAACGGGCGTTATATTGAAATAAAAATTATTGTATATATCACATGTCTATTAAATGTGATACAGGCGAATCGGCTTCTTCTTCCTGCGGACTATCATTGACGACTTTGAGCGCGTTAGGAGTAACGATGACTAACAGTTCGTACCGTTAGGCCGAATCATTATTCCAGCTGGAGAATGTCAATTTCATGCGGTTTACGGTACTCAAATTGCGTGTTAGTACACATCGGCATTGCGTCGATCATTTAGCGTCATTGTCTTTGCAACAGTTGCGACTGATCCTTCAGAATAATCAATAGTGATAAACGACAATGTTACTTGGTCTAGAAATAAATTAAAATCGCGTTAGTGAACTAAATGACAGGATTTAGATATCATTTTGATCTATATTGCCCATTCCTACGAATTCTTAGGTTCATATAAATGATTTGTAAAGCAAATAAATGTAAGAAAATATATAAATATATTCATACGATATATTTTTTTACATTTATTTACTGTAAATAGATAAATAAATTAACTTAGATATAAACTTAGGTACCATAATACCTCGAAAATAATGCATTTTTAAAAAAATGTTTCAAATAAAAGTTGTAATGAAATTTGGAGAAGAAAAAAAAAGGATATTAATTTGACTTTTTAGATATAGATGCAAATTAGTTCTTTTTTTTAATGGGATCTTTTATCTACATAAATCGATCATAATATTCCACGTAAATCGATCATAATATTCCACGTAAAAAGTTAAGGATAGAATAGCCAGAAATTGAATAGTTTACGAGGTATTTTATACTTCAAGTTGACATAATTTTACATAAAAACTATAAAATATCTTGTAAAATTTTCATTTTTTAACTATTCAATATTTTTCTACACAGAATAATGAGAGGAATAAATTGGTGTAGAGAAAACACAAAATTGTTCTTATCTTTATCTTTTCTTTCTTTTTTTTCTTATCTGCTTTTGCTTTAAGGAAAAAATATGTAGTTGCTCGCTGTAAATTTATACTTTTTTTAAAGCAGTTACGTGTATTTTTATAATTTTTAATATAATTTATAAATATAAGTATATATTTTTTTCTTACATTTATTTTCTTTACACAATTTATATTTATTTAAATTAAAAAATTTTAAATATATAAAAATATATATTTTTAAATTTATATAATATTTATATATATTTATATGATTTTATATATAATATATTTATATTTATATTTTTATAAATTAATAATATAAATATATATTTGTCACAAATTATGTGTCGGAAAAGTGAATAAAAAATGAAATTCCTGTTAAGAACAAATCAATTCACAAATTGATCAAGAAATTTCGTTATTTATAACTATTTTACATAATACATGCGTAAATATGTAGTCGCAATTATATGCCTTTTTCTTTGTGCGCTGACTCAACGCGTTCGTCACCCATGCTTTCGTACGTTCTGAAAATATGCGCATGGGTGTTATATTACTACCTGGCGAAACGACTGCGTCGTCAAAGAAACAACGGTATTCGAGTGGCCACGAGCCGAAACATTTCCGGTATATCTCCTGCACTTAAAATATTTGCGATAACAATCTTGCAGGACAGATTTTTTAAAAAATCTCATCCCCTCTTAAAAATAACTCGATGTCTTCCATCAAGAAGCAAGTGAATTTCTTCGTTAATCGAATGTCGTTAAATTGAGAAATATTGGTTTTTGGCAATTAGATGATTATACAGATAGATCATCGAGCAATTTACGCTAATTTTACTTTAATTAACGTTAATGAAATATTCTAATCTGTGTTGTAGAAACGAAAGGATGTGGTTATCGAGAACATCACTTTTACTAATATTAATCGGGTTGGCGATCTCCGAGGGGGACAATGAAAACGATGCGTCCAACGTCTTCATCGAGGAAGCCAAGAACCTCTTCAGTCCGAAGACGATCGAAAACATGGCCAACGCTTTTACGGACTCCGGCAAGCAAGTACGATAAAGATACTCATATATTTCTTTTAAATTTATTTAATTCAGAAAGTTTTAATTCATTTAATCTGTTACGTCCTTGTATCTTGTTAATTTTAATAATCATTATAAAAACATAATCGTTGAATATAAAATGTAAACACAAAATACGGAAATGATAGGTTGGCGACATGATGATGGAGAAAAGATCCACAGCAGATGGTGTAAGCCAAATCATCTCTGGGATCAGCAGCTTAATGTCGGGTGGCCAGAATAATCAAGGTTTTGACATGATTGGCACGATCTTGAATGTCATGACCGCGAATAACAATGTTGGCAGGAGGTCGGCGAGAGAGAACTCAGAACACGACGAGGAGAACGTCATAGACTGGGGCAACATAATCAACATGGGTAGCATGTTATTCCAACAAAAAGCCAACAACGACATATTAATGGGTCTCGTACCAGTAGTTTTAGAGAGTCTAGGTCATGGAACTAGCGACGGTCATGCCAAAAATAATGATCACTCGGGACATTCCTGGTTTCTGCCGCCCATATTGGAGAACATTCACGTCATGTGGGAACATTTCAGGTATTGCAATGAATCGTGTGATGTGAATATATAAAGTGTTGCCCAGATGTTTTCTCCAAAACTTGATGTAGTACAATAAAATGTTTTAAACAAAATTTATAGTTTTTAAAGAAAAAGTTAGATAATCTTGAATTTTAACTGTATGAAGTATATATATATTTGAATCATATTTGAAGATTATATAAAGGTGATTATATAAAGGATCTAATTTTTATAAATGGAACATACTGTTTTTGGACAAATCGATTTCTCATAATATTCGTTAAAAGTTCTAAAAATATAATGGCTGAAAAATGAATATCTTACGAAATATTACAGTTTATATAAAATTATGACAAATTAAAATATCCCATGAAATTTCTATGTGAAATACTTATATATTTATTTCTTGATTCTGTAAAAATTTGTTGTTTCTATCTTTTTGAGAGAAATCAATTTTACTGAATTTGAAGGTACAATAAAAGTTCATTATATTGAGAAAAAACTAGAAAATAATTTTTAAAAAGTAACTTTTTTCAATATTTATAAATTTCTTATGAATTTAAAATACTTATAAATTGTTATAAATTTAAAATATTTATTTTTAATACATGTAAATTTCTCTTGCCAGGCGCTTATTTTATATTATTATATTAGTAATTTTTCTTAATATTAATATGTTTTTTTAAATATTTTAGTAATTCGGAGCTCGGGCAAATAATATGGAAAAACAGCGGTCTATCGAAAATAATTGTTCAAATGTCTGATGAGAACGGTAATATTCTGTGGGAAAAGATCCTAAACAGTTTTGAGAATCCTACGATACGTCGAAGATGGATCAATTCGCTTACAAGTTTTGTGGCCGACTGGATCTCTCATGTTTCCGATCCGAAAAATCAGTTCCGTTATCTTACGGCTGTGCAATATATCGGCAATAGTTTTCTCAAGTCTCAAGGATTCCCGAAGACGATGATGTTCGACACAGCGAGACCAACGGAGAGCCTTACCAAGTTAGCGATGATTCAATTATATTTATATAAATTATTATAAATGTAAATTATTTAGTAATAAAATTAATAATTTGTAGTGTTAAATATTCAAATTAAACATAGACTAAGACTTTTATGGAACAACTTAGTCTATGTTTCAATATATAATATTTATTTAAAAAATTATAATATTTATATATAATCATATTTTTTTTAAATATAATATAAAAAATATATTTAATATATTTATAAAATATAAATTATACATATAATAGTATTTATAATATATATTTATCCATACTTCGATTTTTTCGCTAACACATATACATATAACAGTCAATGTTTTAAAATTAAATTTCAGATTGGCAAATGCAGTTGCGAAGAAATATTTAAATATGAATATTGAGAGCTATCAATATATAAAACCAGCAGTAGCGTACTTCCAGGAATTAATAAATTTAGCCTCCGAAAAAGGGTTCATCATGTCCAGAGTAAATGCACGAGAATTAAGTAACAGGTTAAGTGATATCATCAACAATGATATCATTTACCCTAGTCTCAAGGTATAACTTTTTTCTCATTACAAATTTAATACTGCACAGATGCACAAATTTGTTTCTTCATTTTACTCTTTTTAACTATTTTACTATTTATTTTTTTACTATTTTTTATTATTACTCAAATAATAATGCTTATTTATGTATAAAGCTCTTTTTAAAATTTAATTAAAATTAAAAGATTCTTAAAAACATAATTTTTAGGAAAAAAGTAATATATGTATATAAATGGAATATCTCAAATATCAATATAATAAATATGTAAGAATTACAAATCTCATGTTTAATCGTGATCGTATTGTACTGGGATTTAAACGTATCTCAAGTTAAATTTTGATGATTTTCTATGAACGTACATAATTTATTTCCAGACGTACCGAGCATTCAAGTGGGCGACGAAAATGCCGCATTGTGCTAGTCAAATCTTGTGTACTCTAAACGAGAAGAGTCAACAAGAAGACACAAAGGAATCACGTCTGCGTAGCAGCTTACTGAAGGTAGCGAGTTTCCCTGCTGCTTGGGCGGTCAGTAGCAAGTTAGGAATCAATTTCTGGTCTCTTTACGGAGCCATCATGGAGGAAACCGATTGCATTGTGAGTAAACTAATAAATGATTAATTAAGGGAAAATACAAAGGATGTGATTTTAATAAAAATTATTTTATAAATTATATAATAATTTTTTTCAAAATATTTCTTAATTAAAAAATACGTATATATAAGTAATTTTTTTTTATATATCTTCAAAAGAAAAAGGAAATTTAATCTGGAACTTTATTTTATTCTATTTTCAGAATAAATATCCAGCAAATTGCACTCTTTTCCACGAAGAAGAGATCAGAGCGACTACAGAAAATATTCATAACGAGCTTTGAGCTTAATTAACTAATAGCTTGTGAAAAACATTGGCTATTAAGTCACCCCTAGGCTAGAAAGACGTGTCGCAAAACCGCGTGTGTTCTTTCTTCCATACTCTCTCTCTCTCTATCGTATTTATTGCATAAAAAAATATGAATTAATTGCGCTCGATGAAGTTAAGTTGCGACAATTAATTCGATAGAAGCAACTGAATTATCAAAGACTATTTCGTCCTTATATGTACATATGTGAGCGAAAATACTAAACAAAAGTCAGTTTTAAATATTAAATTTTAATAAAATGTAACTTTAAACGACACAAATATCGAAAAACGTTATAAAGTTGTATAGAAGACATTATTTTTATGAATATCTAATATGATGAATATTTTTTAGATATTTTCGTATTATTTCAATAGGTTTATGCTCTGCGCTCAAAGTAAGATTGCGAAAGCATGTATAATATATGCAAAACATTGATAATTAATGAGGTAACTTGAAAGATAAATACTACATATGTAATTAAGAATATTCATTATAAGTTTAATATATATATATATATATATATATATATATATATATTTACATAAATGAAACTTAAAATTAATTATTAATGTATTACATTCTGACATAAAATTGCAAGTAAATCTTGTTTGTTGTAATCCCACGAAAAAATAAATACGCTGGAATGAGGTATCATATTTACAAAAGGCAAACAGATTTTAATCGTTTCTAATTAAAAGCCATTCACAGCATTATTTATTCTTCTCTTAATTGCTTATGTAGTATGTGTTACTTAGATAAAGGAAAGTGCAATCGTGAATCTCCTAATATATGTTGCACTTTAGCGCATCTCCTTCGCGAGTGCAATAACATGTGGTGCTCAAAAAGTCTCTACCCTACTCTTATTGGGTATATAAATGTCATATTAATAATTGTATGTACGAATACACATATCATGTCTTTCCTCCTGTCTCTCATCTTTTTATTATTTTATACTAGATAAATCTATAAAAATTCTAATATAATTATTAATTATTAATATAATTCTAATATAATAATTAAAACAGCAAGAAGGCACATTCCCCTTTGCAAAAATAACGCTCGCTGTTACGGCTGGACGGCGACTCTTCCTTTCATGTGAAAAAAATAGAATCTTTCTCGAGTCCGGAACTGATGACGAGCAGCTCGTTCCAACGTGGAACGGAAGTCCGACGTGGGTACGTTCGATTACGCGACAACGGGTTCGTAAGAGCTCAAGCTGCGGTATTCAAACGCTCATAGCGAATCCACAAACAACAGTGTTCTCAGTAATATTTTTTTGTAAATAGTAGATAAAAGATAAATAAAGATCATGTGTGTGAAATGGAGATGGTGTAAGTCTGCTTTCTTCTGTGCGCCCTAATGTGTACGTGTCGTTTTTCTTCCGGCGTGCTTATTACTTCCTCTTGATGTTCTTGCACGCCCATTCTAAACCCTCCTGAGGAATAAAGAGAAATTTATTTTTACGGATTTTTAGAGGTTAATAAAAATTACATCTATCCAGAAAACACTGTTTTTGTTGCAGTGAAATATAACATGGAACTAATAAATAACATAATTCAAAAAAATTGCTGTGATATAAAAGTGTAATTTATCATATGTGTATTTTGTAACATTACAATATGACAGTAATGTAACAAAATATTACTACAATATAACATTATTTGTCGGCGAAATCAGAATTAATGAACTCGTATTTCACTTTTCATTATAAAATAGATAAAAATAATACAAAATAAATAAATAATTCCAACAGAGGATTTTTAGAATATTAGATAAATTATTAAAATTAATAATAATAACATGTATACATTCGTTTTATTGCTTTTATAACATTAATATAATAATGTTTATTGGATATGTAAATTTAAATTTTAAAAAAGTGGTACAAGTAAACAAAAAAATATCCTGATAAAATTTAGAGGAGAAAAAATTAAGAGGAGAAAAAATGGATATTATATTCGACGTACTTTCACACCCTTGCCCTCGATGGCGATGCACGATTGTATCTGCCAATCTCGATCCTTGATATTGTGTAAACCGAGTCCCTCCGCTATTTCAGCCGCTGTCACAGCGTGTCCTAGATCTTGTTTATTTGCATATACTAACAATGGTACTCCACGCAACTTCTCCTCCAGCAGAAGCTCCGATAATTCCTGTCCTGTTTCTTCCAGTCTCTTAATATCCGCACTATCAACTACGTAAATCTATTTCCAACAAACGTTACAAAAATTCGAATTTTAAGAAACCTAGTGTGTGTTTAAAGAAAAAGACAGAGTCCATAAAGAAAAAAGTAACAGTGTGGATCTTTATATATTATGTAATCAAACATAATTCATAGAATTCACATAAAATAGAAATAATTAAATGCACATCGCAAAACATTTATGCAATTTTAGATTATTCTATTGTTTGAAAAATAATTTACGCTGATTAATAAGAGAATATGAAGTATCTCATATTTTATGTAAATGCATATTTTCGATGATCGAACAATGCCATCCAAAATCATTTTTCTATTCGTAAATTCATTTTTTAGTTGTGCATTATTACTATTGTGCTATTTCTATATTAATAATGATAAATTATCTTAAATATAAAACATAATAATTTATGTGCATATTTTGCAAAGTTTATATACATATTAACACATAATATATAATTCATTTATTAAAGGATCGAAAAATTCTGCAGCACTTAGAGAAAATTAATTACTCTTTTTTATTATGTTTTTTATGTTAATTATATTAATATAAATCTTATAACATAAAATAAAAAATTTATATTTTATACTTTATGTTATTCTCAGTAAAATGTTACAAAAATGTCATCATTAGAGAATAATAAAGTAAGATTTATAATTAATTAAATTAATATAATTATTAAACTTGTTGATTTATAATTAAAACTTAAAAGTTTGGGAAAATAATAAAAAAAAACTTACAAGTACATCCGTGTTCTCGAAGTAGTTGCGCCAATAAGGTCGAATTTTTCGAGCCCCACCAATGTCCCAAACATTCAATTTAAAACCTTCACTTTGGACACTTTTTATATTAAAACCTTGTGTTGGAGTAACCTTGAAAAAATTATTTATTTATTTATTTATTTATTGCATAATTTTTATATTTATTTATTATCATATTTTGAACGTTATTTTAATTATCAATTTATCGCATATTGTAAAATGTTAAAAGGAGAAATTTACCTGCGTGATATCCTCACTGGCCAAAGATTTCAAGATAGTTGTCTTTCCAGCATTGTCGAGGCCCAACAATAACAATCGTAATTCTTTATCAGGATTTGATCGTAATTTCCGTAAAATAGCAAGCAGACCCTGACATCGAATATGAATTATTTGTGCAATTAGTTGTAATATATTTACGTAAAATACATTTTTTTAAATTGCAGCGCGTTGTACTCATTTATGTTACAATATAATTATTGATAAATGTTGCTTATTTTTCATAATAAATTAACTTTATTAAATTATTTTTTCTCTATAATAATTATATATATAATATTATATTAAATATATTATTATAAAATTTCGTATCGTGAAAATACACAAGTTTCTTGTGCATATTACATCTCCTAATTAAATAAGTAAAATTTATATTTGAAATTTATATTTCATTTGTTACATATATCTATGTATTATTTTTTACACAAAAAAAAAGAAATATAAAATTACATTTTTTTGTCAAACTATCTAATTAATTCAAATCTTGATGACTCTGTTAATAACTTTACAATTGCGAAAGAGAATTTATATGTTCCTGAGTATCAATATTTTGTATTAAGCGCGCAATCAGTACTACAATCATAAGAAATTCCCCAAAAATAATTCCCTTCTAAAGGGATGCGTAAAAAAAGTATGGCGACCATAATCCGTATCATTTCACAAGTGCATAGACATATGTGTTCGATATATGAAAAATATAAGTGAAGTCTCACACCATAAGACGACAAGAATCATTTTTTTAATGAAAAATTTTACAATTTGTAAGAAAGAGTTTTTATACAACTCTTGATATAAGTGCATTTCAGGATATATTGTGGTGTAGAATCTTCATAGATTATAGATTATTTTGATTACTTCGTGCGTTCAAGAGTATAAGAAGCAGTGGCAGTGAAGGAAGGAGTGCATAATATGTGCATTTGCATTTTATTCGCATGACATTTTTACCATCTTATTGTTGTTATTTCAGGTACTCGAACGAAGACGTATTAACGATTTGCTGTAATGTTGTGTCGACTGCTTCGACTTTAACATGTTATGTTGTTTTTCTGGTATCCAAGGACAATTAGTGCCATCTATGTACTCTGACATTGCTCTAGTGTTACGTGCTAATCCAATAAGTAGGTGAAACTGCTATCTCTGTTACCATGTGCGAATAATGACGTTATTATTGCTCTTGTAAGATAACAACGATTAAAATGTAATTTGTTACCTTCACCGGATATTTTAGGACTCATGGAACAAATTCCATGGGATGGTAAATCTTGCCAAGAGAATAAATTTTTATCAAAAGGCATAAAACGTGATGACTGACAATACTAGCCCACGTTCTTAATTTTGTTTTTATTTTATAGTTTTAATTCAAAAAAGAATTAATTTTATAGTTTTAATTCAAAAAAGAATTAATTTTTTAAATAATCGTGACCTTAATGATACGGTTGACGTGAATCTCACTCGTTTAGATAAGACTCAATTTATTACAATACCATATGTAGAGAATTCGAGTCATGACTTGTACCGTCTTTTGTGGAATAGTGGTTTTAACGTCGTCTACAAAATAACAAAAAAACTGAATAATTTGATTAGACGCGGTAAAGATTCCTTATATAACAATGATAAGACAAATGTGGTATACAAATTAAACTGCAAAGATTGCAATTTATCATACATCGGACAAACAAAAAGACATTTACGTACGCGAGTGAAAGAACATTGTAATAATAATAAAGCTACACGAATCTAATCACTCGGTCATTAGCAAGCATAGATTGGAATCCGGACACGATTTCGACTGGTTGAAACCCAATATCTTGCATAATGAAAAATATGTACGAAAGAGAGAAATTGCTGAGATGTTTTTCATCAAGAAATTTAATAATTTAATCAACCTACAGAAAGACACGGATAGTTTAAACAATATTTACGACAAAGTAATAAAGGTCACGTAGTTCAGTTTTTATATCGTTATTGTTTAGTCTCTTGACGAAGTCTCTCACAGACGCATTAATTTCGCCCGAATTCAAATTTAGTTAAAACAACGTTTTTGTTTAATGTGACTTGTACAATTTACAAGATTATCATCCATGCCGGTCTCCTGATTTTTATTACATCGGTATACTAAAATTGTTATATTTTAATTCGTTGAGCGTACTATATATTCAAACCGTTAACTAATTTAGTAATCATTTATAATCTTTCCAGTATATACTTGATAAGGACTACAACCATATGGTCGAAACGTCGTACTAATAAATTAATTTCTGGCTAGTTTGGTCGATTATATTTCTTTGATCCCTTTATTTGACTAGCGACATCAAGATATTCATAACCTTTTTATAGTTTTATTTAAACAGGTCTTACAGTACTAATAGTCCCTTAGAACATTAAAGGACATGGGTTTCTTAATAAATTTATTTCTCTTGATTAAACCATCCGTTAAAATTTATTCCATGAAGTATCTTATATAAATATGTCAATAAATATAATAATAAATAAATATAAATGTAATATATGCATATTTCTTTTGATTTAAAAACATTTTCTTTAAAAAACATATTTTGATTTAAAAGCATTTTTTATCACTTTTTCAATAATTGAATAATTTATAATTTCATTAATTATTTAAATTTTTGATTATCAATAAAATTTAATTTTTATAATAATAAACTAAAAATAATAATACAGGATTTTTTTTATTAATAATTTAATAATTCATTGAAAATATATATCGTATAACTATCACAGCTTTGTGCAACTAGTAAAAAATAGGCGAACGAATATCTAAATATGGATATTTCACGAGCTTCACTATGTATTTGTTCACAGAAATATGCCAGTGTACTATACCGGTTTAAATGCCAGTCCGCTCTTTTCCAATCAGGATGGAATTATCACATCAATAACACATTTGACTCAGATTCCATTTGCTAGGGTTACAGATATTGAGATTAGTTGGAATTATTTTCTTCTTTGGCAGGATACGAAATTATACATTACTGGAAAAATCAGTGATAAGGACGATAAAAATAAACCTCGTTTAATTCAAATTCCAGAGGAATCGTCAGGAAGGTAAGAGGCACAAAATATCATTACTTTTTATTAACGATTTTTTCTCTTATATATTGTATTCTCTTTGTTTAGTTGTAAAATAGCTATTCCTGGTCGGGAAAGTGTAGTTATATTATCAACACATAATGAAATCTGGAAATATAAGGTATATGATGATACATGGCAAAAAGTAACACCTTTTCTTTCTAGTCATGACAATACACTAACTGAATATCCCATCAAATTATCACAAGCAGGATGTACGGTAGTTCTAACTAATTTAGGTACATAATAAATCAAATATTACTTAATTATTCCATTAAATATGTATTTTTACATAAATTTTATAACTTTTTTATTTGTCGAGGACGTGTATTTAACGCTCCACTTTTGGTTCAAATGCCAAAAAGAGTCAAGTTCGTTGATCTTGTCTGCGGTTACGACCATACTATTTTATTGGCAGAGAATGGTGACGTTTATTCAATGGGAATGGGAATGTATGTAATTGCAGTTACACATTACACACGGGAATTATTAAAAAATATTTAATAGATTCCAAAAAAATTCACTTTTCAATTTTCATAAAATTTCAAATGACATTTTCACACAAAAAATAAAAATTGTGCGCAAGGATATATAAAATTGAAAATTACATATTTTAAATATTTTTATTAAAAGTTTGTGACCTTTAAATTAAAAGATATATGTCAAAGTCTTTATGTTGCAAATTAGATTTTATGAGAAATAAGATTTTATCGGAATAATATTTAAAATAATTTTTAATTTTTACACATATTATTCAATCTTTTTATTTCTTTATAACAAAGTAAATAAATTATTATTTTATTATGTGATCTATGACTTATTTTATTATATGATCTATGACAGACGTGGTCAGTTAGGACACAATGAATTGGAAAATTGTGATGACCCGAAACTCATCGAAGCTTTAGCAGGTTTGAAAATAGTACAAATATCAGCGGGTGGTTGGCATTCCGCTGCAGTCACCGATCAAGTCAGTATAAAAATTGATTACTTATATATATCATTATATTACTCGTAAGTAAAACCAATTTAATGCGACAGGGTGATTTGTATACTTGGGGGTGGAATTCAAATGGAGAGCTAGGAATTGAAAGCAAAGATAAAAAGGTTTACGCTGTTCCAACTTTAGTGGATTTTAAAAATGACAGAGGTGAAACTATAGAAATCAATGTTAAAAAAGTTGAATGCGGAAATTCCTTTACTATATGCTTAACAGGTATAAAATATTTCTTAAAAACATGTATTATCTCAATAAAGATATGTGATCTTCTATTTTTTCTTTTAGACGACGGTTCTTTTTGGGGCTGTGGCACTAACAAATACGGCCAATTGGGGAAACTTCAGCAGAACTTTGAGAGTACATATAAATTTATTGAATTAAATATCCAACCATTAGATTTTAAAACAGTGAAAAAGTTTAAATGTCACGAATGGGGCACAGCAATAATTACAGAATGAGTAGCATTTTATATGTAATTATATATTCATCGATATGAAATAAAATTCCTTCGATTTTTTCCCATATTTATTTTTATTTCATAGTCTCTGCATGCATCTCATAGATTTGTGCCGCTTCCTTCGCTTCTATCAACGGTAAAATAAATCGACGATTGTTTGCTAATATTTCTTCGTCAGTTAAAGAAGATGGTGGTGTCGGAGGACCAACTTTCATATTTAGATTTTCTTCAATTGCTCGTTTTCCTTTTGTATTAATTGTTTTCTTTCCTAAAAATACAAAATTCGACAGCTTACGATTATGCATTAATAAGAAATAAAAAACATTATTGAGAAAATACAAAACTCGATATTAATATTATATATTATAACATTATATATGTAATAAATAATATTATATACAATAAAATTATATAAAAATATAAAATAATATTATATACAATATTACATACAATAAAAATTGACAAAAATATATCATAATATTATAAATTATATATTATATATAATATTACATATGTATTTTATAATAAACTTGCATCAATTGAACAATAATTATGAGTACTACGTTGAACAATTACATAGAAGTTATATAGATCTTAGATTTCTTTTTGTATTATGTCGCGCGAAAACAATTAAATACATATACATAATTATTTTATTACATCATTTACCTTGACGTTTTTTGCCGTTGCCAATTGTCCATTCATAGGCAGTCTTTTCTAATTGCTTCCGAAGCTGCATGTCAAACGATCCTTTAGGATCCGCGACTTTAATTTGGCGCGGTGTCCGGATAGTGTGCGACATATGATGAATTTGCAATTGTATTGGCGTTACGAAAACTGCATATATAAGAGCATACCGCAATTCATTAGCATACCTGTTCAAAAATATAAAGGTAAGATAAAATCCTTCTGCTATCGTAATTCATTGAAATATCATTAAAACTAATTGAGAAATCATAAATGAGAAATTGAGAGATTTATAAAAAGTAATAATTTTTTTTTATATTTACATGCTGTACGTCGCTTCAATAATTGTATCCAATGCAACATTTAAATGCCTTAAATTGGAAGATTCAATCACATTCGCATCTGTGGATATATCTATTTGCGAATTTTCTATGTTTATTGGAGTTTGAAAGTTCCCTTGCAAACTTGTTGAAAAAAGCGACACAATTTAATTAACATAAAATGTAGTATGTACTGTTAAAGAATTGTGTGTCTACCTGTTTTTAGAATCTCTCGATTTTTCCGCAATCGAGAAAGCTTCTTGGGCATCATATTCTGACATTAATCTCTTGTCAGACAATTTATTCGTGATTAAATGTTTCATTTTACTCGTAAAAGATTCATCAATAATGGAATTTGTTGATGTAATTTTGGGATATTTATCCGCGATCAATTCCCAATGCAATAATTGGCTGCCACTAGATATATTCTCAGCAATATGTAGAAACAATATTCTCATTTCTTTGAAAAAATCTTCACGTGATAGCTTTTCATCTACAAAAGTAGATTCTGTCTCCGAGAATACATTCTTGCACAAAAAATTGATGTATTATATAAAAAAAGCCTCTTATTTTAATTATATCCAATAATGCTATCCAGGAGAGATTTTAGGAGAGTCAAAATGTATCAAACTTTTATTAGCAAATCTATTTTTTACCATGCGTTCTTTAAATGTTTCTCTTATATAGAGTTATTTCTTTTATAGAAAATCTAATTAACATCATTTCTCAAAAAATATCAATTCAATATTCACTTAAATCCTCTGCTACCTCGAATTAATTTCATTTCGCCGGCCAACCAGCTAATTAGGACACTTCTTTGATGATCGTTTAGACGTTTTTTATAATTTAAAAGTTGAAGCGCTATAGCGTCCAGAAACCAGAAAGCGGCCTTGTTAGTTTTGTAGTCTGTAACTCCCAGAAGATCACCTAGCAATCTGCATGTGTGGGTAACAATCAAATATTTATCTGTAATCTAAATTTCCCAGAAATGTGCGTATAAAACATTTTTCACGTATTTAAAGATTTCACCGACTCGATGAGATATTGCGGTTGCTCTATCTCGATCTTTATCGTCTTCCCGACGAGACTGTTAAAAGTACTTGGAAGAGTCGGCATATACATAATTTCTTCAGACATCTGCGCCTTTAATAAATGTCGAATGGAAATATAAAGCATTTACAGAACTATTATCATCACGATGTAATAACATTTGCATTAATGACAAAATCAATAAACTGTATATGTCTGTCATAGAATAAACACACACATTTGAGTGAGATGATATCTCAAAATTTAGCGATTTAAAAATGTATAAAGCTAACAATATACATTATTCAAGTCTATCTTTAAAATTGAATGTTTTGGGAATCAATAGAAAATGTCAAAAATAAAATTGTTAAATATATATTATTACTATGTTAAATAACCTCGTTTTCATTTTTATCGCGTTCTCCTTCGACTGTTGAATCACTTTCAGAGCCCGACATGTTAGATAATTTCGTGTATCATAAATTGGAAAAAAAACCAGGTTACGCGTTCATATAAAGTTATTCGATACTCACACCTGCGCACTATCTTTCTCTCTCTCTCTTTCTCTCTCGCATGGATGTCAATGCAATTGCAAAATCCAAACGGAGAGAATCGCTGGTCGCGTCGTTGACGGCGTGTCGTACATCGGGTGAGAATAAAAAAAAAAGTCAACACGTAGACGGCCTTTGTTTTGTTTTTACTCATTGGTTTTATTAATTTTTTTTCCATATTTTGTTCAATATTTTCAGAAAATAACACTCCAAAGCGAAAAAACCGTATATTCTCACCAATCCCAATGTATGTATAATATATATATATTATACTTTTTCATATATAATATATATGTATATATATATAATATATATATAATGTATACTTTTATACTTTATATATAATAATATTATGTAGAGTAGCGCACACTTTAGACTGTTATGTATATCGATACCTTTTATAATTTTATCGATAAATTACAAATATTGAAAAACATGAAACAGACACAGTCGGCGGGGACGCGCGGACTTCGCGCGCGCGCGGCGTGTGTGACTTTTTTTCTCTCTTACGGAATCGTGAAAAAAGTTGTCTCGCGATGGACCGCGCTGCCATTGTCCGCCATCTTCCGCGGCCGCCCTCGAATCGAAATCGCAAGTAACGGCGCCTTGAATTCAAGGAATTAGACTTAGACAGAGCGAAAGCGACTTCGGTAAAACTTGGAAAAATCGCATTAATATGCTTCCTTCATTTGTACGTATCGAGGGATTCTCGAGAATTTTAAAAGCGGATACAAAAAAGGGGAAGGCTGGTCGGGAAGAAGCGGCGGCAGCTGATCCTCGTCTCTCTCTCTCTCACTTTCTCTTCCTCCCTCTCTCTTCCTCTTGTCAAAAAAATGTTCTAATATACTATAATATATAATATATAATATATACGCGCGAAAACATACGCGTGCCCCGGCGCGACTGACTTTTTTTTATTTATATATTTTCACACCGAAGTCAGAAAGGCAATACGCAGTATGAACTTACTTAGTACATTTGTGTCTTTTTTTTTCTCTGTGTGTCGTGTGTACGCGTTTTATATGTGTGTGTGGCTCTTTTACAACTAATTTTCCTCATTTGTTCCTATTGTTCCGTGTGCCTTCTTCCTCTTCTTCTTCTTCTTCCTCCTCCTCCTTCTCTTCTCCTTCCGTTAATTAGAGTCTATTTTTTCTTCCCATTACTTTTTTACCCCATAATATATAACACGCTCTCTCTGGCTTTCGCTTCGTTATACCATTCTACCCCATTCCCTTCCCCCTTCCCTCTCGATTTACCTCGCATTCCCCGCGTTTCTTTCACGCTTACGATAGCTCTGTTCCGTCTCCCCCCTTTCCTCCCCGTCCTTTCAAGTCACAAAAATTATCCGGAGACATATGAGAGTAAAGAGGGATAGAGAGGTACAAAGAGGAAGGATTCGAAGGATTGGATGATTGGAGGATAGCGGAGAGATAATCGTATACAGACGCGACTATAAACTGAATCACAATTAAATGCTCCGAATCAAAGTAAAATAAGATAAAAAAGAAAAGATTATACAGGTGGGATGGTGGCAGTTGTGATCGCAAATTATGTCGATGTCGTTCGCTGCGCGTGTGTCAAGTCTTCTGAATAAAAAGATCGGAGATCTTACAAAAATATACAATTTTCAAATAATAACTAAAAAAATTCGCAAAGTTTAAAAATGTCTAAAAGAATCTTGATCATTCACATTGAGTGTAATATGTTTTTAATTCAAATAATCTGTCAATTATTAATAATAAAAAATATTATGTGCAATTAGTACAATTTGCTCTTCTTTATATTCATGGTGTATATAAATATTCTTTCATTGATTAAATAAGACTTTATTTATTCATCCACTTATTGATAAAAACTGCATCATCTCTTTGGTTCTTCTATTATTTACCACGGCATTTAATTCGCAGTCATTTTTAATTTACATGCATTTCATGTAACTTTAACAATATTTTTAAAAACATTTACAATAAGCAATAAATACATTTTAAAAATTCAATTATTTTAAATATATGTATTTTCTAAGTAAGTCTAAATTAATCAATTCAAGATTTCATAAATAAAACTTAATAATATTTAAAACAATTACGTAATAGTAATAAAAGTGACAATTTTATACTAGATATCTTAGAGGTTAATTTATCTCAATGCACTCAGAAAACTCTATTAATTTCAGAAAACTTGCTCGTGCGATTGCAAACAATCCTCTTATGAGATCACAACAGGCTTTAGGACAAGGCGCGCTTCCCCGTGCATGAACAATGAAATGTTTCAATTTCTTTCGTAGTTGAATTTTTTTGGCATTGACTTTACGTATAATAAATTAAAAAAAAACGTGTAATCTCGCGTCGTAATATTTAGATTACAGACGTTAAAACAGAAAAGAAATTGGAAACATGCGGTTGCACGATACGTTCGGAGAAGCGGAAACCAACCAATCGATAAACTGAATATTTTTCAATTGATTTTATTGAAAATAATACAACAAAATGTCTCATAATAATAATATAATAATAATAAGAATATATATAATAATAATTAAAAATAATTAATAATTATAGATACGTACTTGTTTTCTACTCAATATCTAGAGATGATCGCCTTAAAACATTGTTTAAATAATAATATTATCATCGCCATTTTAATCAATGCAATAATAAAATAATAATAATAATAATAATAATAATAATAATAATAATAATAATAATAATAATAATAATAATAAAGGCAATAAAGTTAATAATAATAATAATAATTATATCATAGAATAATGTATCAATAAACAAACTTAATAGACTAATTATTCGTTAATCATTCGTCATCGTTCTCGATTGCTATCGATGGATCTTTTACTTTACCTAGTCATTAATAATGGATAATTAATTAATTCATTAATTAAATTACACGTTGCTTGGATATGCACATAGAGATATAAAGTCGTTTTTGGTCCCACCTAACTGCAAACGTTATATTCATACAATTTTTTTATGTGTATGTGTGTGTCGCTTGGATCGCTTTACATGTGTAACGCGTGTGTGTTACGTGTTTATATGTGTGTTCGTGTGCACGTGTTGCAAATAACTACTGTTTCACTATCGGTAAAGCTGTCGTTTCTCTATTTCTCCCTTTGTTCCCTTTCCACTCTCCCCTTCCCTCCCTTTCCCTCCCTCTCTACATCCGTGTATTCCGAAATAATCTATCGCGTATACATGAACAGCATTTCGCGTGCACTCACGAATCGTATCTGGCGCGGCGACAGGGTGTCCCCGAAAAAAAAAAAAAAAGGAAAAAAGACCGGTACCGCAAAAGTGACGAAAAAAAAAATGATGAAAGAAGAAAAGAACGAAAAAAGTCGATCCCCGACGACCGATAAATATATATTTACCGCGATTATATATACACATACATGTCGCTCTTCCCATCCCCTCGTGCCGTTATTTCGCTTTTCTCCTCCCCTCCGCTGCCCTTCCCACCCCTTCTCGATCACGAGAATCTTTCCTTCCGCTTCGCTTTTTCTATTTTGCATCGTTATCACCGAGGACGAGTATCTTGATCGAGACACCCAGCATCCCCCTCGCGTGTTATCAATTTCTACAACTGGCATTGCGTTCCGTTCTCCCCCTTCCCTCTCTCTTCATTCGCTTTTTAAAAAGTACGCTTAAATTTACCTAATAACATTATATTCTCACTATATTTATAAGAGAGATACGTCGTCGTGCGAGGGCGGACATCTCGAGGGCGTCGACCCTCGCCGAGAGGTACGTGTCTTTTATTTTTTTTCTTCCCTATCTATCCCTCTTTTCCTTTTCGTTTACAGCCAATCGAGATAATTTTTTTCGTCGCCGGGATCGGTCGCGGGGACCGATCGCCGAATAAACCTAATTAATCTTTCTTATTAAGGCTACGCCGAGTAATTTGTCGCGAATTTTTTTTTTTACAATTTCCTCGCACTCGAATACTGCTTTGTATCAGTCTCATATTTTTCTTCCGCCGAGTCCGCGTCCTCGTCGGAGCGTCTCCGAGGAAACGCGGGAAGGCGCCATCGATTCGTCGGCGCTAACATATGTTTCGGATCAGACTCCGCGTATATATAATGCCAGTTGTACGCGCGCTTCTCTTTCGGAGACGACTGTGTATATATGTGTGTGTGTGTGTGTATGTGTGTATGTGTATGTATGTGTGTACGTTCGTCTTTCCGCGAGAGGAAAACGTGCGCTTGTAAAGTCATCCACGAAAGGAGGCGTTCAGTTTTTTTGTGATCTTCTATTTCATCTAATCACCCTGTGTGTTTAATTGCAATATATTTATATAATTTTTTATTAATAATTTTCGATAAATTGCGTTTTTTTAAATTGACCCTCGTCGTTCTTTTAATCTCTAATT